AGGAAGGTGGTGGTGGTGTTCGGGGGTGGTGGTGGATTTTGGTGATGCGGCCAGAGGCTGATGGCTGGATTGTGGCGCTGCACTGCCGCCCGACGCAGCACTGCCGGCGTGTCCTGGACCACCCGGCGCGGCAGCAGCATGGGCTGAGGCATAGTCGCGCTCCATTGCATCCAGGTCGTCGTCGGACATCAGGCCTTCGTCGAGTTCGTCATCGAGCTGCTCGTCAAAGTCGTCGCCCGCCGACTCGTGCTGCTGCTGCCGCCGCGAGTGCTGCTGCTGGTTCTGCCGCGTATGTTGGGCTGCAGTGTTGTTATTACTGCCGCCGCCGCCGCCGCCGCCGCTGAACAGTGTGTTCAACAGGCGGCTCTTCATCCGAGCAGTGGCGCAGCAAACAAACGAAGCAGGGAAAAAAAAAAAAAAAAAAAAAAAAAAAAAAAAAAGAATAAACAAATGATTTTATTATTCTATGAGACTTTGCATTGAAAACTAATGTGTTGACCGCCATCGTTCGCTCTCTATTTCTGACGTCCAAGTTTCATCGCATCACTTTGATTTGGTAATGGTGAATAACTGACGCGAGCTCAGTCGTCGCTTTTTTGAGAACAATCGAGCAATGGCGCGGGAATCTGAGTCGGTGCGACACGCTGGTGGGCGATTCGCTAGTGTGCTCGATGCAGGCGACGCTGCGTCCCACTACGTTCCAGATAACGAGTTTTACTCTGTCGTTGCAGCCATCCTGCGCGAGGTGCGTCGATGCGAGTGTTGGTTTCAAGTGCTTTGCGTCTTGCTCGTTTCGCGATTGCCCCTGCCCGCCTCCCTGATGCTCGGATTGGAGCCCTGACCTCGATTCTCTTGTTGAATGCCGTTTTTCATCATAAGCGCAGACTGACTGGACGGAGCCGTGGCTGGTTGGCTTGCTCTCGTTCCACGTCTTCAACGTTATTGTTGCGCTGTTCGCGCGCCGCCATTCGACGTTCCAAGCCACGTACTTTTGCGTTCTGAGTAAGTCTGTCGAAACACAAATTGGGAGGTTGTCCATTGTTTGAGCTCTGCAAGATGAGGTGATTTGCACTGACGGGAAAAACACCTCAACTGACAACTCAACCTCGCTCCTCACAGTGGTGCTTGCATACTCGACGGAGCACTTGAACAAGTGGGCGGTGGACAACTGGCAGCAGTTCTCTGCAAAGGCGTATTTTGATGTCCATGGTTTGTTCATTTCGACAGTGTTTGCTGGACCGTTGCTTCTGACGAGTCTTCTGTTTGTGGTAAGTTGATTTTCAAACTCGCCCACCCACTCCGTTCGCTCAACAGAGCTGTGATTACTTTCCCTGAGCTGAGCATTGTGCCATTGTCTCACTTGAATCTCGCTCTACTTTCTGTGCTAGGTTGTCTGGATGAAGACGGCGGCTGACTTGCTCGTCAAAGTCAAGCGAGCAGAGCTCCGAACGCGGGCACGCGCTGCACGTTCGGACGGTGCACAAACAGCTGCAGGTGCATCATCAGCAGGATCTGGCTCACAAAGTATAGCCACGAATGCGGAATCCAAAAAGTCACAATGATTGCCTTTTAAAATTTTGTTTTCTCATTCTTCTTGCTTATGCCGAACAGCCGATGAAGAAAAAATGTCGTATAATATGGAGATATCACGAAAAATAACAACACAATCGAGAAACAGAACAAATGGACGAGGGGGAGGGGGAGGGGCAAATAACGAGATACAGAATAACGGCAGCCGAAAAAGCGCAAATAGATGGTACTATGCCATGTACTTCATGACCGCATGAAGAGCATACATGAGACCAGCTTGCTTGTTCGCTTCAGTGGCCAGAATAGCAATGTGGATCTTTTCCGAGGGCAACAAGCCTCGACTGGCAGCCACATACTCTGCTTGAGTGATTTCCGCGGGCGAGCAGGCAAGGCGCTTAATGTACAGCTTGACCTCTCGTTCCAGGAGCTCGTTCACCTGAACAATGCGGCAAAGAAGAAGGGAAAAGGAGAGGAAATAGGATGAGTCGAAGCATTGGCGGAAGAAAGCACAAAACAGAGCAACCGAAATCACCAAGACATACTGTGCCGTAGTTGAAATCATCGTGCAAAATGCCATTCACACGGGTGATGTAGTACCACACCGCATAACGGAGCTTTTGGGTATCGATGCCGCCCTGACCACCCATTCTGCACAAAACGATCAATCACAGAAAGAAAAAATTGAGAAATCAAGTCGACACAAGAACAGGCCATCGACTCGGATATCAGCAACACCAAACAATCAACAAGAAAACAAAAAACACTTACGTGGCGTAGGTCATGGTTTTGGCGATGGAAAACTGCTGATCCAGCAACTGGGCACAGCTTTCGTAGAATCGATCAACCAGCGAGAAGCCGTGATCCTCCCACGAGTAATCCTGGTACCGGAAGACAGAGTACTCGCGCGACTTGATGTCGAAATCTTCGTGGGCAAAGTCTGGACGGCGAATAAAGCGGTTGATGTCGCTGGCCGAGGCTGCGTGGTGGATGTGGCCAGTGTTGACTGTACAAAGGAGCGATGCAGAGAGTGTTGTTAGCAAGTGCTCTTTGGAATGGACTTGCATCGTTGCCAGCAGCACGCTTCAGCGAAACGAAAAAAACAAAAACAGAATCCCGCAGATCTTACATTCGGTTTCGGACTTTTCAAAGTTCTTGACATTCTCTTCTTCAGTCACGTCAGCCTCCCCAGCAACAGCATTCAGTCGCTGGAGCATTGCGGCAGTCCACGAGCTGTCAGTGGCGTCGCCGACAGCATCCTGCGATGAGTTCAATTGCTCGGCGACTGTCCGATTCAGAGGAAGACGACGATTTAACAAAAAAAAAAAAAAAAACTGAGCCATCGATGTTTCCAAAAAGCAACCTCCTCATCAACCAACTACCCGCATTCTACTACATACGCTCTGCACGCTCGGACTCGGTCGCGAAAAGATGGCCTCCCTCAAGATCAACTTCGGGGGTGAGGCCAGCACCAGCAGCGATGGCTGAAACAGAGTGGAAGTGCGTCAGCACAACAATGGCTTGCACAAGCTCGGCCAACGACCAGCTGTCCTGGCCCCGAAGCAACGTGCGAATGTGCTCGGCAGTGACGCGCCATGGCTGGTAGGCGAGCAGCATGTTGAGCTCGTCCAAGTTCTGCAGCTTGACGGGCGCAAACTCCAAGCCTTTCAGCCAAGTGGTGTCGCCCCCGTTGACAAGGAAGGTGGACTGCTGCACGGACACGACGTACTTGACGCCGCAGCGCGCGGCAGCCATGATGGCAATGTAGTTGCGCCAGTGCGCTGGCAGCGGGCCGTCGCCACGAAGAATAAAGTGGTGGGTGTGAAGGAAGGCCGCAAGGTAAGTGGGGTGGTAGCTGAGCGCCCGCACAAAGTGCGAAACGCGGCAGTCGTGCAAAAAGCTGTCGACCATCACCTGGTACGAGGCTTCCGCGCCAGGCTCCTCGTTCATCGGCATGAGCTTGGGCGTGGGGATGAAGCGCGACGGGGCGTTGTACCGCCGGTACGGAAGCGAGATGGCCTTGTCCCGCAGACTCGTGAGCAGACGCTGGAAGCGGTCGCGCACATCCGCGAACGGGCACTCGGTGGTCAGGCGGAGAATCGAGGGGAGGTGGATGTTGAGCAATCGGCGTGCGCGCTCGGGGCCCGTCAGCCCGTGGGTGCGCCCGTGCTGGTCGTGACTGTGATGAGCGTGGTGGCTGCTGCTGCTGCTGCTGCTGCTGCTGCTGTGTCGGTGCGCGCTCAAGGATGCGTCAAAATCGCCGCTCTTGTGGCTGCCGGATCCACGCGGAGTGAGCGGCGGCGAGTTGCCCGCGGACGGCGAGTCGTCCGGAGACGCGCACGTCGAGTCGTGCGGTGATGTGGCGTTGGACGTGGTGACCGAGTCGGCAAGGAGCAGGTTGCCGTCGGCAGGGTTGACGACAAAGACGTTGCCGCCCGCCGAGTCGCCCGACAAGAGGAGGTTGGTCTGCGACGGCGACGAGGCAATGAGCGACGAAGGCGTCGCCGCGCCAGTCGCCTGTGCAGCCCATCGCAGAATGGAGGCGACAATGCGGTCGAGCTCACGAGCGCGCTGTGCAGAGTCGCGCGTTCGAAGGCCGCCCAAAAAGTGCTCTGCAATGTCTTCCTCGCTTGCTCGGCCTGGGTCGGAGCGGTGCGCGTTGTGGCTGTGGTGGTGGTGGTCTGCGTCGTCGTCGTGGGATGCGTGGTCGTCGTCGTAGTGGTGGTGGTCGTGAGCATAGTCGTGCTCGTGGTCGTGCTCGTGGTGCTCGTCGTGATGGTGCTCGTGGTGATGGTGGTGGTGGCCATGATGGGACTGAGAAGCTGCTCTTGGCCAGCTGTCACCGACCTCGCTCGCCGTGGTTGTCATTTCTGTGATATTTGTGTGTGTTGTTGTTGTTGTTGTCACTTGGTGCTCAGTGGTCGCGTGTTTGGGATGCAGATGAGCAGCCGATAAAAAAGCCGAACGTGTGTGTGTGCGTCTCTTTTTTCAGCCTAATTTTGCAAAGTGTAAAGTGTGGGTTCCTGAAAAAAAAAAAAAGAAAAAAAAAAGGTACAAAAATGAAAATGTCAGAATGTTGGAAAAAAAAGTGAGTGACACGGGGGGAAAAGGGAGTTGAAAATATGCAACAACAACAAGAAAGAGGAAGGGAACGAGAAGCAAGAGAGGCGGGGGGAAAACAGCGGAATGAAGCGGATTTGAACACAAATGAACACCGAGGTTTGCGCCCCCCCCCCCATCAACCCACTGAAACGAATACAAAAAAAGCGTTTGAAGAAGAACAAGTCCAGGAACAAGAAAGACCGCAGAGTGCGAGAAATGAACGAATCGGGGAAAGTCAGAGGCAAAAAAAACTAAAAAAAAAAAACGCATGACAAGGAGGGAAAAAAAAAAGTGATGGTTTTTTTGAGCCATTTGCCGTGTTGGGGGCCAATCACCCCGCGGTAGCACGCCATAGAGTGGAGCTGCGAGTGTGCAGACGAGCAATTCCGGGTAATGAAAGCATGAGGAATGCAATGGCGTCGGAGTTGGATGGACAAGCGCAGCGGAAGGCAGTCAAACCGAGCCATGCAAAAAGACACTGGAAAACGCTGAAAAGGGAAAAGCGCAGCCACACGCGCGCCACGGTCGGGGCGACAAAACGCGCAGTGCTTCAACGCATCGTCGCCAAGCATCGCAGCAGCACGCGAGCAAACACTTTGTCCTGCTCAACGTGATCGAGCGGCAGATCCAACCACCGCTGGCCAAGGGTGGCGAAAGGCGAAAAAACAAAAAAAAAAAAAAAAGAGGCGAAAGGGAAAAAAAAAAAGACATCCAAAATGTAATGCAAAGATGGTCGCATATCTCGTCGTCCTTGTCGCAGTCCGCGTCCGTGTGGGAGCGAGAAGGACATGCAAAATCGACTGCTCGTGGGATGGACCAGAGTGGAGGAACGAAACAGTCGCGAAAAGATGGCAAAGAAGGAAACAAAAAAAAAAAAAGCGGAATATTGAAAAAAACCCAAAAAATCCAACACTGTGTGTCAACGTCCAACAACGATCGCACTGCAACGCATCGTCGAGCGCAGCCAAGCGAACGAGTGCCACAACACTCTCGAGCGAAATCATATCACACTCTGCTGCTGCTGCTGCTACGGTGACGGGCGGATCAACGAGTGAGCAGGATGAAAAGTCATCTGAGGACGGGAGGCAACAGATGCTGCCAATCAACGACAAGCACAATGACGAACGTGGCACTGTGCGCTCGGTCGCGATTAGCCACAATCCAAGCCCCGCAATTAGGGGAAATCTGGACCAACCACGACCCCCTTGCCTCCCTCTCCAAGCGATCAAAAGCAAAGCAAAGGCAGAGAAATGGGACGAATTGATGGAGGTTTTGAAAAGAAAAAAAAAAAAAAAAAAGGAGTCAGAGAAATGAAAATTACAAAAGTTGGCGCCAAAAGCAATAGTAATAGGGAAAAAAAAAAAATGAACTGAGCTGAGAACGATTCTGATTTTGGCTTTGGCGAAAGGAGAACGAAGGAAAAGTATTCGTAGAGAGAGAGAGCGAGAGAGAGAGAGAGAGAGAAAGGGAGTCAGGGTGAACAAGGGATCAACCGGAGAAAGGGAATCGAAGGGCCGGGCGGAGGTGGGATTGACATAATGCGAGAGAGGTAGAAAAACAAAAAAACCAAACAACACAGAGGTGGCTGGAAATGACAGCATCGCCCACACCGACAAAAAACAAACCGCAAATGCTCGAGTGGCTTGAGAGAGCAGCATGTCAGTTACTTGACTTGTAGGAGACTGGAACAGTGGCTGAAAATCTCATCTCGGCGAAAATGCGGTTTCCCCGCTCCACTGATTCGTGCCTCACCCGGACCCCGTGTGTCATCAAATACCTTGTTCATCCATTTCGCAAGGTAAACAAAATTCGAATCGCTTCGGACGGTATGCGCGCTGGTTGAAACAAACGACGTGAAAACCGCCAATCAGAATGACCGCGTTCGGCTCCCTTTTGCAGCCACAAACACACGAGGCACTCGTCCCAAGTACAACTCAACATGTTGCTTTTCAGCCGCAAACATTCATAGTGTGGGCATGGAAAGAGCTGCGAGGTTCCAAAAAAAAAAAAACAATCCTCACGAAAAAAAAAAAAAAAAAGACAGCCGCGTGCGGGGTTCGAACCCGCGACCTTTGAGAAGGACAGAATCTTAAGTTCTGCGTGTTGACCACTCCACCAACGCAATCCATGCGGTTGGGCTTTTGACAATACGAACCAAGGACGGGGCTCGGCAAAAGTCCGATCTGAGAAACGACAAATCAACCTGATTTGCAACCGAAACGAACACCGAAACACCATGCCAACCAATAAACTAATTAAAATCCATCATTGAAAAGCAAAAGCGGGAGCAGGCAGTTCAGTTTCCGTCTTTTAATCGGCGTCCTCGGTCGCCTGGTCGTGCAGCAAGACATACTCGCGCGAGCTGAGCCCAAAGCAGATGCTGTCTTTGAGAAGGAGCTCGTAGTATCGGCGCGGGTCGATGCGCTTGCCATTGAGCGTTGTGCCGTTCGCGCTGTCCAAGTCAATCAGGTACGGTTTGACGCGCAGGACTTGGGTCCCGTCTGGTCGCTCGTGCGGCATCTGTCTGTACTGGATAACAGCATGCTGCTTGGAGCAGCTTGGGTGATCGAGCGGGATGTCTGCGACCTGAGGGAGCGAAAAAAAAAAACAAAAACAAAAAGAAGTGAGTGAAGAAGAGAAAGGTCAACAGAACGGCGATCGCCAAGGCAGCTTGTCACTTCAGTGTATCCATACCTGGCGATCACGGCCAAACATGTATGCGCTTTGGGTATGAAGCGGAATCACATCTACGCAAAAGTAGGGGCGAGAAACAGAACGATCGTTAGACACATGATCTCTGCTCTGCAGTATCAAGGAACACCCAACACCCAACCTTCTTATCCCTCTCCTGTGCGTCGTCGTCATATCGGCAGGACAAAGACGAGCAAAAGCACAGGAAAACAACGCCACAATCCACAACACTCACCAAGCGACTGCTCGCCCTTGAACGGATACAAGCGCCACTGCTTCTTTGGCTTGCGTGCCTCGAGCGGCTCGGCGTACTTGAGCACCACTCCGTTGAAGGTATTGGTCTCGGCTGCAAGTGCCCCAGAAAGCGCGAAATTGGGCTGCACGACGCTCTTTTCCGCCTCTCCGGACGCGCCAGTGCCGTCGGCCGGGGCAATCTGCGAAGCGTCAAACACAAACTTGTCGGCAGACGCAGTGTGTAGCACCGCGGTCGTGTTGGGATTGGCATTGGCATCATCGCCATGGTCGCGACCTCCTCGACGCGAATCGCCGCCCCTGCTTGAGCCCCAGGACGAGCCCGCGTCCTCTCGGTCGTCAAACCGGGATGATCTTGACGAACCATGCTTCCTTGGGCCCGAGTCGTCCTCCCACCGGCTGCCTCGAGGCGCCAGAGCGGTCGTTTCCACCACGTCGCGCGTGTGTAGGCGGCGGACTCCTGCTCCTGCTCCTGCTCCTGCTTCTGTTGCGATGGTGATTGTTGTGGCTTCGACTCGATGCCGGTGGGCTGCGGCTGCGGCTGCGGCCTCGGCTTTGTCGGTAATCTCGGCCTGACATTTGGCTGAGGATTGTGGTTCTGAGAAAATGACTGGATTTGTTTCTTTTTTTTTTCTTTTTTTTTCTTTTTTCGGCTGCTTACCCCACGCTCCCATCCAACGGGAAGCAGATTCCAAGGTCTACGAATGGGGGTTTTGTTCGTGAGAATCGAATGCGCATTCGGGGGGAGGGGCGTTGTGCCTCACCCGAGCAAGAATTGGTTTAGCGAGAAATTGTTGTCTTCTTGTTGTTGTGATCCAGATGCAACAAGACCTCCATCCATCCGTCCATTCATCTTGCCCTTGACGCAGCAGGTTTACTATTCATCCCAGTCTTCAGCCAAAGCTCAGCCTTTTCTCAGACTCGGAATCTCAGTCTCGTTCTTTTTCTTACACTTTTTTTTTTCTTTCTTTTCGCGACCAATGCCACTCAAACGGGAAGACCCGTTCATGGTTGGCCTTCACGCAATGGAGCTGCTCCGACAGCAGATTGGGATGGTGCGATCGCGCCTCGAGCACAGCGTGAGCCAGGCCGAGACGACCGCGCTGCAGGCCCTCGAGCGCAAGCTGCAGGCGGACGTCGAGGAGGTGCAGCGGCAGATGAAGGAGCTTCACACTCAGCATCAGCAACGCCTCCAACAGCCCCAGCCACCACAACAACAGCAGCAGCAACAGCAGCAACAACAACAACATCAACTGCAACAACTGCAGCAACTACAGCAACTGCAGCAACTGCAACAACAGCAGCAGCAACAGCAGCAGCAGCAGAGTGGGTTTGAGCAGGCGACGCTGACACTCGAGCAGACGCTAAATGAACAGATGCGCCAAGCCAACGCACTGCAGCAGGCACTCCAGTCGCGACCGGCAGTGTCGACGCAGCAGCAGCTGATTGGCAGCGCATCGATGCAGGCACTCGAGCTGCAGTCGCAGCGGCTGTCGATGATCACCGAGGCCGGCAACGCAAAAGTCGCGGCAGAGCAGGCCGCCCAGCTCGCCGACGCCCAGCACCAGCAGCTCCAGCAGCTCATGAGCAGGCCGGCCATTGCGCCAGTGTCGACCAACATCCCACCGCCAGTCAACGCGCGCGAGCAGGCAGACGTCATCATGCAGTCGCTGCGCATGGACGACTTCCAGCAGATCTGGGGCAACTCGGGCCAGCGACGTGCGGCGGCGGCGTCAAACCATAACAGCCCCGGCGCATCCCAGAGCAGCAGCAGCAGCATCCTGCACGGCTTGCAAGGTGGCACGGGCTCACCTGCGAGTTCTAGCAATCCGCTGCTCCAAGGCTGGTCAGCAGCAGCAGCAGCAGCAGCAACGGGTGGAGCAGGTGGTGGAGCGGCGGCAGCAGCTCCAATCAAACCGCAGCAACAGCAGCAGCAACTACACCCAGCGCTCGCGGGCCTCGGTCGTGCAGGCGCGTCCTCATCATCCCTGTCCTCAGAGTTCAACCACGCAAGCCCGGGCATGGCGGGTGGCGCAAAGTGCAGCCACTGCGGTCGATTGGTAAGGCAGCCGCTTGACTCATCGTACTTGAACTTTTCGCTCGTTTCCCCCGGTGTTCCACGTCCATGTTTCGTAGCCAAGAGGGGTGGTTTGTGCATGTTGCTGGATCTGATCAACGCATTCGATGGAATCGAGGGGAGGGAGGAAGGCTGTTGCTCATGAATGGGTTTCTGACATTGATGAACCAATCGTTGACAACAACAGACGTCGGGTGGCAAATTCTGCTCTCAAGAGTGCTCTGAATTCTACGACATCAAGGAAGCGCTCATCATGGATAGCGTAGACTTGGAGCTGGACGACATGTTTGGGTCCAGTCTGCTGTCGATGGTATGCGATCTGCTGCGAGATGTTTGTTGCGTTGGTTTTGGTTTTTGGTGTGCGCACTGGCTCAATCTAAATACTGCTCTTTCCTGGCGCAGAACTCACTCGGCGACATGCCAACATCCGGTGCACACCCGTTTGCTTCAACACCGGGATCGAGCGCTGCTGCTCCAGTAACAGCCTCCTCCTCTGCCGAAAGCAAGGCCAAACGGAAACAGCAAAAACCGCCTTCGATGGCGGCCTCACCAGCAAGCGTGGGCACCCCGTTCAACGCCACAACTCCTGTTAACGATGATGTCTTTAGCATGCCTGGGAACAGCGCGCCTCGTAAGGCAGGTCCGCTGACCATCACCCCGCTTCGCGATGGCCTTGACAACGAACGCGCAGCGTTCTTCGAAGCCCTGGTTGCATATTCTCGAACCACGTGTATGTTTCCAACAGTTGCACATTTGTTTTTGTTATTTTGTCGCTGTTTGTCGAATGCGCGATTCACCTCACCTTTGGTTTTCGCTTGTTTGTTTTTGTTTGTTTTCCACAGCGGAGCCACTGCAACGCATCCCTACCATGTGTGGGCGCGACGTCGATCTGTACTTGCTGGCCATGCTTGTTGTGGAGCGTGGCGGGTTACAGGCGGTCGGGGAACGTAAACTATGGCGTGATGTGGCGGCTGGGTTGGACGTCCTGTCGCAAACGGGCGTCGCCAGCACCTTGCGGACCCACTACAAGAAATGCCTTGAGCGCTTTTGCGACCATCTTGGGCCGGCTGGCTTGCAACCTTATGTGAGCGCCAAGCAGCGGGTGCTGCCGATGCAATCCGCGCCTGCGACACCCGTCAATGGCGCATCGGCCTCTGGCGACGCCGCGATGACGCCTCCTGCCGCTTCCGCGCGCCTTACTCCATCGTCCGCTCGATCGGCCTCGATCAACTTTGACGGGCCCAGTCCGCGTGCCGGATCGTTCACGGCGCCAAGTCCGCATCCGGCTTCGACCATGGCCAGCCCCGGTCCTGGCCAAAGCCCCATGATCTCGTCGCTCTCGGCCCCTTCTCCGGCGGGATCGATTGTCGCGTTCAATTCAGTGTCCACGCCCGGCCCTGTCTCCACGCCTGGCCCTGCAGCCGAAGGGCACATGCCCCCGCCTCGCGCTGCGCCCGTCCCTGTCAAAGGGTTGCCGCAACAACAGGCGACTCATCAGCCAAGCCCTGCCGCTGCTACCGCTAGCAGCGCGAACAATAGCGCTGCTACTGCTGCAGCTCTTGCCGCTTTGTTGGGTGCTCCAAACCAAGGGAATGCCACGTCGTTAGAAGCGTTAATTCGGTTTGCTCGAACCCAATCCAATCCGCAGCTCTTGCTGCAAGTGCGGCAGCTGGTGCTCCAGCAGCAGCAGCAGCAGCAACAACAACAACAACAACAACAACAGCAGCAGCAACAACAACAACAACAACAACAACAACCTCCGCAGCCCGCTGAACCAGCATCCGCGTCCCAAATCACGGCAGCTCAGCTACAACAGCTTTTGCAGCAACGTCAGGCTGCATCAACTGCCACCCCATCGTCGGCGCTCCAGCAAATTCAGCAATTGCAACAGCAGCAGTTGTTGATTCAGCAGCAACAGCAGCAACAACAACAGCAACAACAACAACAGCAACAGCAGCAGCAACAACAGCAACACCAGCAACAACTACAGCAACACCAGCAACAGCTGCAACAATTGCAACAACAGCAGCAACAACAGCAGCAACAACAGCAGCAGTTGCTCCAACTTTTGCAGCAGCGGCAAGCATTGGCCCAAGCTCAAGCTCAAGCTCAAGCTCAAGCTCAAGCTCAAGCCCAAACATCGCAACAGGCACAGGCGCTGATAACACAGTCGCAGCAGCTCGCCCAGCTCCAACGAATGCAGGCAGAAACCGACAAGCGCATGACACCCGCTCAGCTTGTCGCAACTCTCCAGGGCAAGCAACCCATGGTGCAGAGCCCAGTTGCCAGTCTAGTCAACACACCCCCTCCACCGTTGACTCAACTCGAGGCGTTGCCCAGTCCCCGAAGGCTCAACATTAACGATTTTATCTCCCAAGCGTCGGCTGCTGCACTCGGGAACAAATCCCTCACGCCGCCAAGCGTACCTGGCATCGAGTTTTACCAACCAGACATCACCAAGCACCGCCTGCATCGCAAGCAAATTCGAGGTAGGATTCAATTGTGGTTGCTCCTTTTGTGTGTGATTGTTTGCTGACAGACTTTTGCCTTTTGTGCTATTCGTCTCTTTTTTGCTCTCCCAGATCCGATCGCTCCCCAAAAGCTCTTAAACTCGTTGAGCTCGGGCATGCTTGCAGACTCGACTTGGGCTCTCAACGCGCTCACAGTCTGGCTATTCACCGATCAGGACACGTTTGCGCTCGCCGAATTCCCTGGATTGGTTGACATTCTGGTCGACCACTGGCTCAAGAACAGGATGGCACTTGGAGAAACCCTTGGAGGACACTTTGATGGGAACGCCGGGACCATTGCAGCACTTTCCGTGCACCTCGCGCACATTCAAACGCCGCTGGATTTGGCGGCGGGTGCGCCTCTGGACACCTCGTCAAGCGCCTACCTGGACTTTCGCCAGCATCGTGCGCCAGGCAAGCGTCCGGCGGCCGCCAGTCTTGACACTGACCGCCCTTCCAAGCGAGTGTCGGGCCTGGATTCGTTGGATTTCGCGGATACTATTTCATCCGAAGGCACGCAATCCATCCTTGGCGATGAACTGACTGCCTTCTGTCCCGTCCCACCGTCTATTTTGCTGCTGCACGAACGTTGCCAAAGCATCTCCAACATTGTCCGCGGCTTGACCTTCCTTTCGGCGGTTGAGCGAGTGGTCGTCGCAAGCAATGCTCGTCTCATGGGCTTGCTCGCTGAGCAGCTGCACAGCACCGACACGGCGTTGGCTATGAACAGCATTGTGTCTCTGGGCAATTTGGCCGTGTCTGCCGACTTGTGCCAATACGGCGCAGAAGTCACAGCGCGACTCATCAGCGGTGTGGTGGCCAACCTTCGTGCCTCCATTCCGCCTCAGGATGGCGGCCAGGATCCCCGGCCATCCGACACCACTGACATTTTGCTGTCAGTCCTGTTGCACTGCTCTGCCTCTGATGCGAATCTTGGCGTGCTGTCGGAACTCTCGCCGGCCCTCCTGACGAATTTGTCCCAATACCTCGTTGAGCATGGCCTCCGCCTCGAGCCTGCCTTGGCCCACGTCACGTTGCTGATTCTCTCCCAGCTGGCAACACACCGTGGTCGGCTCCGAACCTGCGTTGGCCAGGTCAACGGCTGCATCCCCACGCTCATCCGGCTGCTGCGGTCGCCTGCCACGCAACAAGCAGGCATCAAACCAGAGGAGCAGCGGGCTCAAATGGTGGCCATCGTCACCCGCGCGATTTCTCTGCTTGGCTTGCTGGCAGAGAGCGAGCCCAAGCACCTGTTCATGCCGTTTGAATCTACCCTGCTCCAACTCACCGCAGCGCCCTCCAACGACGAGATCAAGCTGCTGATGAGTCGTTTGATGCATGCCCTGTCCCGCTAAAAGGTCGATGCTGTTTTTTTTTTTTTTTTTTTTTGTTTTCTGTTTCGATTCCATGTTGTGTTGTTATTGAAGATTGGTACAAGTACATTTTTTATCGATTTGATTGTGACAAGCTTGGTAAAAGTACGCTATGTTGAAATGTGTATTACATGCTTGGGGGGGGGGCAATCACAAGCCGTGCTCCTCGCTCTTGACGAGAACTGGCTTGTGATCTTGGGACGGCTCGGGCGGCATGTTTGCCTGCTCTTGGCGATGCTTTTTAATGCGTGCTCGTGTTTCCGGCCGTCGGGCGAAGGCGCATGTATGCAGGTTCAAGCAATCCCAGCATCGAGGGTTGACGGGGCGGCAAATTGTCTGGCCAAAGCCAACGAGGAGCACATTCAGCCCGGGCCAGTACTCGCGCGGCATCCACTCTTGCAACGCCTTGCGCGTGTCCTCGGGAGTTTTAGTTTCCTTGGACACCCATTTGAGGCGATTTGCGATGCGATGAACATGCGTATCGACGCCCAGACCAACCATCTGCTGCCAGGCAACGTCCATCGTAATGTGGGCCATTTTTGGGCCAACCCCTTTCAGGGACACTAGGCCTTCGATGGTGGAAGGGATGTCGCCGTGAAAGCTGTCTTTGAGCATTTGGGACGTCTCGAGAATGTACTCGGCTTTGCGACGGTGGAAGCCGACCGGGTAGATGAGCTCCTGAATCTTGTCGACAGGTGTCGCCAAAATATTGTCCAGCGTGCAGCCGTGGGCAATCAAGCGCTTCATCGCACCTGCAGTGATCTCGTCCTTGGTTTGCGCCGAAAGCATGAGCGACAGCAGCACCTGATACCGGTACGTTTCGGGAGAGGACGTCGTGTCTGCCAGTCGCTCGCAACCCATCACGTCGACTGGCGCGTTCCTCGCTGCCCGCATTTCCTGGATGTTTGTCAATTGTTCAAGGAAGTGGCTTGGGATTCGCGCGCCTGTTGTTCAAGGGCCATTGTCACGATGTAAGTCTTTTTCAACCACGCTCAGGAAAAAATGTCCAGAATTGCACTTTGTCAACTCCAAATCGGCGCAAAGCGAAGCTTTACCATGCGGCGTCGCTTCCACCTTTAATTTGCTTGACTTTGAGGGAGACCTGCTAGACGTGATTCCCTTCGTTGATTGTGCTTCCGAGTCAGAGTCAGAGTCCTCCTCGGGGTCGTCGTCATCGTCCTCGTCGAGGTCGTCATAGGCGACAGTAACGGGCGCGCGCCGCCGCGATGACGCTCTCCCTGGGCTCGATGCATTGCTTGGAGACTGTGCAGCCATTCCCCGCGTTGCAGGAGCCGGGATTTGCACGGGCGCTCTCAGGTCATCATGCATCGCCGGTTTGACAGTGGTATCTCCGATCGCGTCGCTGCTGGACGTCCATCGCGGCTTCTTGCTCAGCCGACCTGCATCAGTCATGGCTTCACTCGAACTTCTTGCTATTGGACTCGCATCGGTCGGATGGTCGTCCGAGCCGTGGTCGCGTCTTACTCGCAGGAGCGGCATTTCGGGTTTCAACTGAGGACTGGTCTGAGTTTCCGAGTATTGACATGCAGTCGAAGGGGTTGCTGTCAATAGCATGGCGTTGGTATTATTGTCTGATCGAGCTGCTTTACCAGTCTACGCAATCCTCTTTTCGTTCCGTTGCTGCCTGTCAATTCTTAGAACGTCTCAACCAATGCAATTCGCAGCGCATCGCGGGTCGCTTCTGCTTGTGCGGCAGTTCTCGTCGTCCGCAGTGCAGCTCAGCCGTGGCAGCAAGGCACTGATCGCACAGAGCCTGCTGGACGCCGTCAAAGACCCGCAGCTGCTCCGGTCGGACGCGTTCGTCAACGGCAAGTGGACGGGCGCTGCGGACGGCGCTCGCTTTGACGTGGCGAGCAAGTCGACGGGCGCCCATCTGGCATCCGTGGCAGAGCTCACCGTGCAGGACACGACTGCAGCCATCACTGCAGCGCACGACGCGTGGCACCCATGGGCCCGCCGCACTGCCAAGGTCAGGTTGTGGATGAAAAACGCTTCGTTCCCTACTTCTGAGACTCCTCAATCACATTGAACAAGTGCATTTGTTTGCATTTGACAAAGTCAACTTTTGTCAATGAAAAACGCCTCAGAAAAACAAAAAGGTCGTCGGACTCACATTCTGGATTTGGTTTTTGTTGAAACGCAGGATCGTTCGCAAATCTTGCGTCGCTGGTTCGACCTCATGAAGCAACACGAAAACGATCTGGCAATCATCCTCACAGCGGAGCAAGGCAAGCCGCTGGCGGAAGCGCGTGGCGAGGTTGCCTACGGATCGTCCTTCATTGAATGGTTTGCCGAGGAAGCCAAGCGCGTTTACGGCGAGACCATTCCGGCAGCCAGCCCGAACAAGCGGATTCTTGTTCTCAAGCAGCCCGTTGGTGTTGCCGCCATGATCACTCCGGTACAGTAAACCCTGGTGTCAGACGAAAGGCTATTGTTTTGTTGTTCACTTTCGGTTGACTTTGCCTTTATTGATTTTTGGCCCCTCTTGCTCTTTCTCGTCAACTACCACACTATCACATCCATCTAGTGGAACTTTCCAAACGCAATGATCACGCGCAAGGTGGGAGCGGCGCTCGCTGCAGGCTGCACGGCGGTCGTCAAACCGGCATCGGAAACCCCGCTGTCTGCCCTGGCGCTGTGTGAGCTGGCAACCCGCGCGGGCCTTCCCCCGGGCGTGCTCAACATGGTCACCACGCACACGCACGTTGCTGCTGTGGGCCGTGAGCTGGCCGAGAGCCCGTTGGTCCGCAAGCTCTCCTTCACCGGCTCGACCAACGTCGGCAAGCTGCTCATGCGGCAAGGCGCGAGCACTGTCAAGAAGGTGACGATGGAGCTCGGTGGCAACGCGCCCTTCATTGTGTTTGACGACGCCAACATTGAGCAAGCCGTGGCGGGTGTGATTGCATCCAAGTTCCGCAATGCCGGACAGACCTGTGTCTGCGCCAACCGTATCTACGTTCAGGACAGCATTTATGACAAGTTTGCTGCGGCTCTCGGCGATGCCATGGCCAAGCAGTTGATTGTGGGCGACGGCTTTACCTCTGGCGTTACTCAGGGCCCGCTGATCAATGAGAAGGCGGTCGAGAAGGTTGAAAAGCATGTCCAGGACGCGCTGTCGAAAGGCGGCGTGCTGCTTCGCGGTGGCAAGCGTCATTCTGCGGGCAAACTCTTTTTCGAGCCAACGCTCATCGGAAACGCGAACGACCAGATGCTTTGTGCGCACGAAGAGACCTTTGGTCCCCTGGCTCCTTTATTCCGATTCAAGACAGAAGAAGAAGTCATCCGCCTGGCCAACAACACGTCTGTCGGCTTGGCTGCCTACTTTTACGCGCAGAACATGGGCCGCGTGTGGCGTGTCGCCGAGGGTCTCGAAACGGGTATGGTCGGTGTCAACGATGGCACCATTTCAACCGAGGTGGCGCCGTTTGGTGGCATCAAGGAGTCCGGCCTGGGTCGCGAGGGTTCACACCACGGTCTCGAGGAGTACCTCGAGGTCAAGTATGTTTCGTTGTCCGGCGTGTAGTCGAAGCAGCGGTTGACTGAATGACTGGCCAAATCTTGGTTTGAATGTAATCCATTGGAATTGTTTCGGCGGTGATTGTTTCCAGTTCGCAAGAGAATGACGTGGATGGGATGAGTGTTCTAGGAGGAGGCAAGCAAGAGTGAGTTCGAGGGAAAAACGTTGGCATAAACGAAACAAGCAATAAACTCCATCCCTTCGTGGTCTTACTGATCGGGCCCATCCACGAGTCGGAGTTGAAGACTCATGTTGCAGTGGCGAGTGCACCATTCCAGCGAACTTGAACTGGAATTCGACCAACGAACGTTGCAGCACAATCGCTGGCTGGGAATACCGAGCTCGTTGTGGTTGCTGTCGGAGCGTTCTTCAATGCGCGCCAGACGCGACAGCTCGGCGTACCATTTACTTGCTAAATCCGATCGATGTGACGACGACGAAGCATTCAAGTGCTTAGACTCTGAGCAACGAAACGCAACAGTGAGGCACTGATCGCTCCGTCCTCCACTCAGACTCCCTTCGGCTTACCATTGCCACCGATGTGCTGCGAGAACGGCTCGAGGACGTGGTGCAGCGTGGCGCGATCGGTTTCGCTGACTGCGTGCGACTGCCGCTCGAGCGCGTGCGACTGCTGGGCAGCCTCGATCTCGGTCGCAGACGGGAGCCCTCCTCCTCGGCCGGCGCTCGCAGCAATGGCAGCAGCACTGGACTGTGCGCTCGTTGGCAGTGTCTGGGCGAGTCCGGTTGCGCGGTACTGTTCACGCTGCTGGCGTGCACCCGCGATCGCAGCAATCTGAGCCATTCCGAAAACCAAACACCAACAGCAAGCAAGCGCAACCAAAAAGCAAATGGGACTGGGCTGGATGTGAGGTCTTTAGTCAGCGTACTATTACATGAATGTGTGGTCAACGATCTGAGTACGTGCAGTCGAACTGGACAGCTCAGAAGCGGGACTTGTCGTTTTTGCGTCAACCTTCTGCCTTCCGCAACAATCGTGAAGCCGACCATGGATGGTTCAAGTGTGTCCAGCTCAAGTAGATCGAATGCACACTTTTGAGCGCAATCTGAGGTTTGAACGCGCTTTGTGTTCTGAATGGAAAGCTCAAAGCAAACCTCACAACAGACACCCTTTGCATTGGATGTTGAGCGTCTCAGACATGCCCCTATTGTTTGTTTATTGTATTTTATTCTGGCTCAGTCGTGAATCTACACATCTAACCATCATCATCATCATGCTGCGCACTGTCTCTGGTCTCGCTGCCAAGTCGCTCGCCTCTGCCGCTTCCCGCCAAGCCGCCGCCGCCGTCTCGATCGCCGCCGCCGCCACGCTCCCTGTCGCCTCCACCGTCTCTGCCACTGCCTCTGCCCGTGTTGCTGCAGTCACCCCTGCTGCCGTCGCTGCCCGCGCATACAGCTCCAAGGCCAACCAGCGTGCGTTCCTCGTGGCTTTTTCCCTTTCCCCTTCGCAGCCCCCCCCCCAGTACTCCTCACCCCATCATCCATCTCCATCTCTCTCCTCTGTCTATCTACTCATCTTCTCCATTCTTGATGATTCTGATCGCCTCACGTCCATCGACAAGATCCCTTTCTCTTCTTCATCTTCACTGTCTCGCTTGTTCTAAATGTCTTGGCTTACAAGCACAAAGCCTTTCCCTCTTCCCTCTCTTCCCTCTCTTCCCTCTCTTCTCTTTGCTCTGTTTACAATCACTCTGACGCCTGGTCACATTCACAAAGACGATCGTCGTTGTGAAGGAGCCAAGCAACGTTGATCTCGTTCGCGTTGAGGGACCTCGACCATGTGCCACCACTCTCCACAGTCCACACATGCACACACATACACACATCGGATGCACCGCTGTCCACTGTTTGACCTGCACTCATTGTTGCGATTCTTGCTCATCTTGTGAACGGGAACTTGGAACACACAGAGGAACTGAACGCCCTCCGCACTGAGCTTGCCTCCGAGCTCGAGTACGAGAAGAACAACGTTGAGGCAGAGCCCAAGATCCCCGCCAGCCTCAAGAATGCCAACGTCACTGTAAGGCAGCACAGCACAAGCGAGACAGAGATTGCACACTGATCAACACCTCTCACCATCCTGTATGTCTGTTTAGGTCGAGAACGCTCCGAACTCGGAAGTCGTCATTCTGCGCGCCACCGTCGGCGACCGCGTCATGACCGCGTACTTCCACACTGCGCAGCTCAACCAGTCCATCAACGACGAGCTGGAAGAGGATGAGGAGGAGAACGAGCAGGAAGAGGAAGATGACGAGCCCGAGATTGCCTCCGACTCGTACGTCGTTTCCGTCGCCATTTCCAAGAAGGATGTACGTATCGTATTCTACGTTCGCTTGTTGGGAGGGCGGGGGGGGGGGGTTGCTTTGGGCATGCTTTGCCAGTGAGATGCCTTGGCAGAAAAGCTCCTTGTTGAACCATGTTTTGACGAACGTTTGTTTGTTTGTTTGTTTGTTTGTTGTTTGTTTTGCTTCGCCAACAGGTCGGCCACTCGCTCGTGTACAACGTTGAGCTTCATGACTCGTCCCTTCGCGTCGTCCCCAACGACCGAGTCAAGGAGGCCTGCACTACTCCCACTTACGAGAACTTTGGCGAGAGCAACTTTGATACTCTCCCTGAGGTATGGTTTTTGTGATGTTGTTGTGGCATAATTATGCTTGTATCTTTCGGAACGCGTTCGCTCAGTCCTCTTGGTTTTTCTTGGGGTTTTTTTTTTGTTGTTGTTGTTGTTGTTGTTTTTCTCTAATCGCTCTCTTCGACTGTGGCAGACTGTCTCCGAGCCCCTCCGTAACATTCTCGCCCGCGACACCAAGGACTTTGTCGAGTACACCTTCCGCGTCGCCCAACAACATGAAGGCAAGCTCTACCGCGACTACCTTGGCTCGCTCGAGGAATTCTTCCGTGCTTGAACATGTCTTTATTGTTGGTGAACGTCACGTTGGTTGCTTTTTGCGGCACGAATATAATGTTCTTGCAAAACCTGAGTTGTCCAACGGCAGCATCGTATTGGCAATGTGAGAGGTCAGTATCGTTGTTGGCAGCGTGCGTTGTGCTTTTTGACACCATCAAACGAACGTTTTTTGGGGTTTTTACCTTGACCTGCTGGTGAGTCTGGTTGAGCCAGAACGGTAACGGTGAATCCAGCTTGTTCCAGCAGCGATGGGAAGTCTTCTGGGCGGAGTTGGATTGTTTGATAGTGGTTCTTTGCCGCGTCGCTCGTCTTGCTGGCTTTGTGGTAGCTCTTCCAAGGTTGCGGCTCAAGAATCAGAACGCCTTGAGGCCGCAGCCATGTACAGATGCGGGCAAACAGGTCTCGCAGGCCTTCATCACCCCAATTGAGGTGAATCCATTTGGTGACGCTTAGACTAATCGTGCAAAAGTTAGAATCTTCAAGTCAGGTCGATGTAGGTTGAGAGAGCCAAAAAAAAGCAATCCAATTGTCGGGTTACCATAAAACTGTATCGAAACGGTTGGCGGCAAGCATCGGCAGCTGGCCCTGATCGTCCACGACATTGCCCGGGTAAAACTCGACCGAATCAAAGATGGGATCCAGCTCGACAGCAGCAAGCGGGTTTGTCTCTTGCTCATGGGCGGCCGACTTGCGGTGTCTCCCTGTACTATGTTGCTGCTTGTGTTTCAGAGTCTGCAGCATGTCGTGCAGTTTTCCAGTCAGTGCTCCATGGCTCATGGCCAACGAAATGGGAAAATTGACGGGTCGTCGAGCCGAAGTTTGCGCCGTTTGTGTGCTGGGCACGACAGAGAGAGCTGCGGTTGATTTGAGCCACTCGCGGTGTCGGATGGCAGCAGCAATAAGCTTTTCGTCAATGTCCACCCCGACGAAGCGACTTGGTCGGGTCCGACGCACTGCGAACAGTTGTTGAGTGAGCAAAGATGAAAGAAACTGACACGCAACACTCCCCTCCCCACATCCACCCCCAAATCGTACCAAGCTCCAGAGACAGCAGGCCAGAGTTGCATCCGATATCCAGGACTGCTTTGCCAGCAAGACAGTCTGTCGGAATGGCTTGCAGCCTTGGATCTTGCGTGTGGTGCGGCGTGCGGTATCCATAGTACTCGCGGTAATTGCCATAGGGAAACACCTCGCGAGCGTGAGAGTGACTTTCAGAGCCTTGATTGTAGCCACTTGCGCTTGCTGGCATTGAGGTTGCGGGTGGTAGTGAGCGATGATTCGCAGCTGCTTCAGAAGAAGCTTTTGCTTGGATTGCCTTCCCGACGACAGCGACGCGCATGGTTGTCGCGTTCGATTGCGTGACGTCGCTGATGGTCGACTTCGTAGCAGTAGATTCACCGCATGCCAGGCTTGGAGTATCGGGTGTCTCGTTCGCCGTTGCCTCCTGGTCCTCGTGGCGGCGATCGTCATCAGCTGAAGCCACTTCTCGTCCTCCGCTACTGGGCTCGATCTCGCCCGCCGCATGCGGGGAATCCTCGTCCAGACGTTCGCGCTTGACGGTAGCTCTGCCTCCTCGCCCACGGTGGCCCCTTCGCTTTTTGGATTTCCGTTGCTGGGCAGCAGCAGCCGGATTGCTCGGATTGAGCGGCGATTCTTGGTCAGAGTCTTCTTCGTCGGCCATGATCTGCGAGCACAGTTGCAAAATCACGACTGAGAATTCTCAATTGAAATCTATTCACTAAACCTTGGCCTTCGTGCTCCTGCTCCAAGCAGCAGCGGTCGAAGGAATCAGTACAAGTTCAACGCACGGAAATCCCTTTCGTTCGTCGTCCCTCGTCGCTTTTTTTGTATTTCTCTCTGCGGTCCCAATCGCGTTAAAATCGTACTAACGTTGTTCTCCAAAAGCAGCACTGCCAGCCTCAGACGCGCGGTCCGATCGAGGGGCGGAAACGTCAGTCCGTTTACTTTGGCTCTATTTTTCGCTGCGTTTCCAAGTACGTCTCTCTCTCGCTCACATACCCAAACTCTTCTTCTTTGCTCGGATCAACAGTTCCATTGCCTTGACATTGCATTCAAGTCGTCGTCGCTTTCCAGTCTTTTTTGTGTGGATTAATTCAATGCCTGTAAAGAAGAACAGATTTTTTTTTTTTTTTTTTTTTTTTTTTTTTTTGCTTTTCTTCTTCTTTGCGTTCCCGTTTGGTTTTTTTTTGTTCCGCTCGTCTTCCCGCTCTCCCGCCACGCACGCCTCCCCACTACGCCTCTACCAGCGCATGTTCATCTGCCTGTTCTTCGCGCCCCCCAGCGCAACGCAACGCAACAACAATCCACAACCAGCACGGATTGAAATGTTTTTTGTTTCTTTTTTTTTTCTTTTTGTTTGTTGTTCTTCTTCTCCATCCCTCTGCTTCCGTAGCTGCTCGTTTTCGCTTCAGCTGCACTCCCGCCGTGTTTCTCGCACGCACATCGCAGCTGCGTCGCTCGGCGATCTTCCTGCAGCGGTCATCAACAAGGAAGAAAGAAGAATCAAAATCAAACAAAAACAACACAAAAAAAAAAAAAAAAAAAACTTGCCTTAAAGAAATAATATTAAAAATGCAGATCTCCAGCATTTTGTTTGAGGGTTGTAGTCGTTGCCGTCCGCGCAGCCATCGCCGCGCAACAATCCCCCGTTGAGATCACTGCGCTTTGAACCTGCATCGCGGGTCGTGCGGTGCGGAACAGCGAGCGTGCCAACCCCCACAAATCGCTTTTCTACTTTGCGGGATTTGTTTGAAAAAATTTGTCTTTTTTTTTTTTTTTTTTTTTTTTTTTTTTTTTGTCAATCTTGTCTCCAGTCATTCTCACTTCTCTCTCGCTTTGCTTTTTGCTATCTGCGATCTGCTCATCAGGCCTATCACTCCAACTTCAACGAGCTGCCCGGTCTCCGCAGCCTCGGCAACTTTGCCTTCCTGCCCCTGAACTCGTCCGTCAAGGGCCCCGCTCCCCGTGGCGGTAAGCTCGGCTCGCATTGCTGAACCACCCTGCTTGTCAGGGGGAAGGGCTTTGCCGCTCACCGATGCATGCACACTCGCAGACGGCTCTGAGGACATTGTCGAGGAGGCCCTGAAGTACTTCAAGGCGAACGTCTTCTTCAAGAACTTTGACATTAAGGGCAACGCTGACCGCGTCCTCATCTACCTCACTTTGTACATTACCGACTGCCTCCAGAAGTTGGCCAAGGTGAGGCATTTGTGCTGTTTTGAAGGCTTTCCTTTTCAGAAAGCAGGCGATCGTGGAAAGTTTGTTTGCTCAACATTTCTTTTACCCAAATTTCACAGTGCCCCACCAAGAACGACGGTCTCAAGGCCATGAACACCATGTCGCTCGAGACTTTCTCTCTTCCCGGAGACAAGAACGGCAACTTCCCCCTCAACGGTCTTTACCAGCTCCCTGAGGCTCGTGCTGACGCTGGTATGGTTTTTTTTTTTCTTATTGTCGTTGTGGTTTTAAGAGAAATGTCTCACCCCTTTCTTCGGCCCTCTCTCCGATTAGACACTATGCGCCAGTACATTACCCAGCTCCGACAGGAGATTGGCATCCGTCTGTGCGAACGTGTCTACAAGAACGGCCCCGCTGACAAGGTTTGTTGCAATTTACGTTGCGTTTTGGTTTTTGGGCTGAATGTGCATGCGCTCACGACGGTCTTTTTCTTCCCCCCCCCATCTGCTTACCAATGCTCCAGTGGTGGATGTGCTTCCAGAAGCGTCGTTTCCTCAACAAGTCGCTCGACGGCCGTAACGCTCCTTAAGAACCCCTGTTTTACTCATCTCTCTCTCCCCCAAAAAATACTCCTTGAAGCCTGACTCGTGTCTGTTTATTTGTGTCTCGTAATCATGTTGTTGATTCGACGTGTTGCGATGTTCATTCTGCTCGTGTACCTTGTCCGCTGTTTCAAAACCATTGTGAATTTTTTTTTTCTCCACTCTCCGTCCATTTTTGCGCATTGATTGATTGCTATTGTTTCATTTTCTTTTTTTGTTTTTCCCCCATCATTCTTCAGTCTTGTTTCTCATCTGATCAACCATGTCGATGCGCGATTTGACACACGAACGTACGTCAAACACCGACCAAAACTTTGAAAAAAAAAAAAACGTTCTTCTTTGTCTTCCCTTCTTCCCTCGCTTGCCTGCTCCCTGCTGGCCTCCTCGTCCCGCGTTTTGCCCCCGCTCGTCATATCAGCCAACTCTCTTCTTGTCCTCGTTGACCATCTCGCTGATCACATTTGTGTTTGCAGCGCTCGAAGCGTTCCATAACATTTCGACCATTTTATTTTGGCCTTTTTTTTTTATTTCTTTTTTTTTTTCTTTTATTTGCCGTCATTACTTCAACCTCAGCACTCGGTCTCGTCGAAGCCTGCTTTCAGTGTATCTCCATTCGACTGGAGCCGCTCAAACGCAACTGTGCACCAACGCGCTCAATCGAATCTGTTGTAACAGCAGAGCGAGACGGCGAGAGTACCCGTTCACTCCGCTCGTCCTCTCCATTCCCTTCCATTCCTTCCCTTCTCTTCCTCGTCGTACCGTCTGCAGCTCCGTTGCTCATCATGCATCTGAGAACCCCGCATCTGGTCACCCTGCCAAACCGGTCGTTCGCTGTCCTCATTTTGTGTTTCCTTGTTTTTTTCTGTAATGCTTTCTCCCCCTTTCACAGGCATCATGGACGGCGTCATCCGCCGCATCAAGCCGGAAAACAACTTCAAGATCCTCGTGCTGGACCATCTCTCCACGCGCGTCATCTCGTCCGTCTGCAGGATGTACGACATCATGGACGAAGGTGTCACCCGTAAGTTTTTTTTGTGTGTTTCCGTCGCTCTACCAAAACGTCGATTGGCGTCTATTGGTGTGCCTGCCATGGCTCAATGTTGGCATGAACATGGACGTACAGTTGTGGAGAACATTGCCAAGAAGCGCCGTGCATTCCGCCAGTACGAGGCCATCTACCTCGTCTCGCCGACTGAGCAGTCGGTGAATGCCATCATTGCCGACTTTGACAAGCAGCACGTCTCTGAAGTCCAGTACAAGAAGGCGCACATCTTCTTTACATCCAGTACGACGATTAGTTTTGAGTTTCTTTGGTGTCTGCCAGCGTCCTTGGTACCAAGTTGTTTTTTTTTTTTTTGTTTTTTCTGTTTTTTGTGTGTCTTGTGTTTGCTCCGTAGTGTGTCCCGACGCGCTGTTCAAGAAGCTCTCTAGCTGCAAGGCGCTCGTGCAATTCCTCGGCACATTGGAGGAGATTTACGTCGAGTTCTTGCGTACGTGCTTTTTTTTTTTTTTTGCTTTTTTTTTTCCGCCAAAGGATGGGGAACAAAACAAGAAGGATGGTTGCCAACCCAACTCAATTCGCCCATGTTTCATGTTTGTTACATTTTGTTTCTTCTGATTCATCAGCCGCCGAGTCTCAGGCCTTCAGCTTGGACTCTCCCCAGAGCTTCCATTCGTTCTACAGCCCCCATTCTGCGAACGTTGATCCCGCTCAGCGCCGCATTGCCGACCAAATCGCGACACTTTGTGCAACCCTTGGCGAAAACCCCGTCATTCGCTACAGCACCACCAACGAGCAGAACATGACTTTGGCCACCTATGTCCAGGCTCGCATTGATCAGTACCTTGCCGCCGGCTCCATCGTTCCGGTATGTTTCTGCTCGTGGGCGCATCAGGCGATACTTTTTACCCGTCAACTGACCTTTGAACCACAAACTGTTTGCTCGCACAGACCTCCTCGAAGCGATCCCAGCTCTTCCTTGTGGACCGCAGCGTGGACCTCGTCTCGCCGATGCTGCATGAGCTGACCTACCAGGCGATGGCATATGATTTGCTGCCCATCGTGAACGATGTCTACGAGTAAGCCATTTGGCTCTGAACGAAACTTTGGTGTCCCGTCGCACTCCATCTTTTGTTTGTTCTCACCGCTGCTTTGCTTTTTACTGGACTTTACCAGTTTCAAATTCTCCACTGGAAACGGCCGTACAGAAACCAAGCCAGTCATCATTGGCGAATCCGACCGCCTCTGGCCTGACCTGCGTCACCGCCACATTGCTGACGCCATCCGCGATGTGTCGGACGGTTTCAAAAAGTTCCTGTCGCAGTCGAAAGCTGGTGCGTTGAGCAAGACTGAAAAGGTGTCGCTCGGCGAGCTCAGCGAGGCGCTCAAGGAAATGCCCCAGCACCAAGACCAAATGCAACGTGTAAAGCTCGAGCTAACTTGCCTGCCGAGATGGTGGGGGTATGTGTCTTGAACTTTGTGACTCACGTCTCTTTTGCTTTAGTACTCGCTGCATGTGCACATTGCCGAGCGCTGCATGGAATTCTTCAAGGAGCTCCAACTCGAATCCATTGCGCGTGTTGAGCAGGTGAGTCTCTGGGCGGAAACTTAGTATTTGCGATTACCCCGACTTTTGGACATCTAACCATTCCGCTGTGTTGTTGTTTCCAACTTTCAGAACATGGTTATGGGCGAGGATGAACACGGCGAACCCATCAAGAACATCATCCCCGAGCTGGTTCCTCTAATGCAGGACTCGAAGATTTCGTAAGGGCGGTTTTTTTACTTTGTATGGCAGCGATCTCGCCGTTCTGAATTTGTGATTTTTTTGTTTGTTTCCGGCTTCCGGCTACTTTCTGCATACAGTCCCGAAAACAAGCTTCGCTTGCTGACCGTGTACACCCTCACGCGTGAGGGTCTGCTCGACAGCGAGCTACAAAAGTTCATGGAGCACTCGAATCTCCCGCCAAAGCTCCGCAAGGCCATGGAGAATTTGATCTATCTCGGCGCCGCCGTGTCGACTGTGAGGAGTTTGCGCTGGCGTTGCGATCAAACGGCGAAACAGTCTCGTGTTTGCAAATCACTCATTTTTTTTTTGTTTGTGTGTTTCAACTACAACTATAGAACGACAAGCGCACCCTCCGCAAGTACAAACGCCGCGAGCGCTCCGAGGAAACCTCGTACGCGCTGTCGCGATGGGTTCCCGTGCTGAAGGACATGCTCGAGGTATGTGCCGCTTCTGGTTGTCGTGCTTCTCTTTGTCTGTTTTTTGGCTTGAGCCGTCTCTCAATTTTGGAGGGCACTCGTTTCTGCTGATTCATTGGGGGAATGCAGGATATTCTCGAAGACAAGGTCGACAAGAACTTCTTTGCCTCGGTTCGCGATGAAAATGTTGACTCGTCCGCAGACGCTGGTGCTGCAGCTTCCGTTCGCAGGTGTGTAGTAGTGTGCTGCAGATTTTGCTCCATTGCACCAGTGTGATGTTGAAGCTCATTGTATCAAACGTAATTCAACAGCACAAAGAGCGGCTGGGCCAAGACCAACAAGGACAAGCGAGAGGGCAAAGACGCTGCTTCCTCTTCTCGCAAGGTAAGCAAACCGGTGCTGTTGATAGTGTTTCATCTGGTTGCGCGCGCACTCACGATGCACCATTTTTTTTTTCTGCTTTGGTCAGACGAGCGAAACCAAGACCGGCCCTCGCCTCATCGTCTTCTTCATGGGCGGCATCACCTACTCTGAGCTTCGCGCTGCATACGAAGTCAACGACAAGAGCAAGCGCGAGATCATTGTTGGTAAGTATCTAGAATGGTGATTTTGGCAGTTTGGCGCATTCCACATCTGCTGACGTTCTGCTTCCTTACCCACAACAAGGTGGCACGCACTTTACGACCGCAAACCAATACATTGAGAATCTTGGGTCGTTGGACAAGGCGGCCGAAGCAACGTAAGGCCTGCATGCAAACTCTTTGCAGTCGAGATGTGGATTTTAATGTGACTCACTTTTTGTTGCTTTATTTCGTTCCTGTCTTTTGGTTGTGGTAGAGCCGACTCGACTGTTTTGAACATGGAATAGTCCAATCGCGATGAGGCTTTCCGTCGCTCTGTGTCCAGTTCGCTTTTTCGTCACAATGTTGCATCCGACGCTTGTTAAAAGAAAAAAAAATATAAAAACCAAATTCTTTGTCATTCTTTCAAAAGGGAGAGTTTTTGTTATCAACAAATGTGTCACTGAAGAACAAACCACCACCGTCATGGGAATAGAAGTCGAGGGGGGCTGTTTTCAGTACTTGGACAGGGTGACACGGTCGAGAACAACCTTGTGCGAGGCATCAAAGTACTCCCAGTCAAAGTGGGTCATGTTGACGTGCCAGCGAGCGTAGCCCTTGTTGGTGGTGATGCCGTGAGCAGCGCGGAATTCAATGCCGGGCTCGAAAAAGCTCTCGCTGCCCTCGACGTTGCCAGCTGTTCGAGAAAAAAAGAGGGGCAAGTTGGAGGTTGTGCAAAAACAAACAGCTGTGACTTTGACAAAAACATACCTGCGCCGTTCACAATGTAAACGGGAGCGCCGCTGTTGTGGTAGCTCTTGCTGACGACGGTGCCATTGTGAACAGGGTATGAGCGCTCGTAGTCCTACAATCATTGCCATTGCCAGGGGGCGGGGTGAGCATTTGCGCAAAGGTCACAATCAAAAAAGAAAAGTTGACGACAACGAAAAATTGCGGCCTTACGTGGTTGTGGCCAGTCACGTAGAGATCAACCTTGTTCTGGAAGAGCAGCTCCTCGTAGTTCTCGCGGAATTGCTGGGCCTCGGGATGGCAACGCTCGTAGTGGAGGAGATCGCTGCAGTAGGCAGGGTGGTGGGTGAGGACGACGACCCACGGGGTGATGTTACGGCGGGTGTTGACACGCTGGAGGTCGGCCACCATAAAGTTGTGCTGCTCAGAGCCAGGCGCAGTGTCGTGACCACTCTCGGTCGAGAAGACGAGGAAGTGGATTGGGCCGTAGTCGAACGACCAGTAGAAGCGCGAGAGCGGGCCGTCGCCAGTCCACGGCTTGGGCATGCGCACACGGTGCAGCCACTGGACGTAGTCTTGAGCCGTGTCGTGGTTGCCGTCGACGAGCATCATGGGCATCTTGGACGCGAACGGCTGGATTTGGTTGTAAAAGTTGTCGCAAATGTAGGCGTTCGGGGTCGGGAAGTCGTCCTGGTAGCTCGAGTCGCCGGCGTTGATGATGAGCTCGTACAGACCCGTGTTGACATCCTCGGTGATGGCTGCCACGCTGTGCGCAGAGTCCTTGACGCCCCTGTTTTCCAGTGCAAGGAAGAGAATTGAGTTTTTTTTTTTCCGGTCAAGAACAATGTCAAGTGAAAGAAAGATGTTGAGATTGCCATCTTTTGCGATTTTCATGAGTGCGGTCCAACCCCATCCACTTTGCAACATCCATCCATGACTAACTTGATCATGGTTTGTGATCTACGAGCATTATCGTTCGCCATCCCATTTCGTCCCATTTTCATCCCAATTTCATCAACCCCCAACCCCATCCCTCAATTGAAAGTGCAACAATCATCAACTGGCCGTCGCCACACACACACAGATGCATTGCATTGCATTGCATTGCGCACAAATAGCTCACAATGGCCCGACGGGTCATCTGATTCAAGCCAATCAATCCATCCCCCCTTCCCTTCCATTGAGCAATGCAAATGGTGAGACTGCGACGACCGCCGGCGGACAAGTACCAAAAACTCACATGTCGCCCCAGTTGATAATGTTGACGGTGCGGGATGTGCCGGGGACGGGCGCGTTGAGGAAGGCCGTGTCGGCAGTGAAGCCCGAGCTGGCGTCGCCGCACTGGTAGTGGTAGCGGGTGTCTGGCTGGAGGCCCGAGGCGACCGCGTCAAAGATGGTGCCGTTGAAGCCCTGCACAAAGTACGAGTCGCTGGTGGCGTTGAACGAGGCGACGTACTGGCCGGCAGCGAGCCCGACGCGGCACTGGCCCTGGAGCAGCGCGCCCGTCGTGTTGAACGGCACCTGCACCACCCAGATGAAGCGCATCTCGCCGCTGTTCTCGGTCAGCGCAATGTGCAGCTGCTCGGGTGCTGCATTCGAGGCGTCCCCAGGCGTGTGCAGGTGGACGTGCGGGCGCAGCGGATCCACAACAACAGCAACGGGCAACGCTGTCGTCGTCGTCGCGGCGATCGCCAGCAGCGCCACAGCAAGCGCCAACGAGAGAAGTCGCCCTTGCATCATGAAAAGAGCAGAATGAAAAATGAATGAACAAGAATCAAAATGAATGCAGGTGAGCATGATCGACTGAGTTTCAATAAAGCTCTCTTAAGGGCTGGTTTTTAGTGGCTTTGTGGTGCTACACCCGAACATGGGCTGCAGTGCATCACTTCATGTTGAGTTAGATGCGGGCACTCGTTGTCGAACCTCGCCAACACTTTTCGCTCGCTGGCGTGCCAATGGTAGCACATTGCGTTCGTTTGACAAAACACACCACCAAAATAAAACCAAAATAAAACGAATTCCCAAGAGATCACTTCTTTTTTTTTTTCCGGTTTTTTTTTTTTTTTTTTTTTTTTTTTTGGTTCCGCCATGATTACCGAGGTTCTTCAAGAGGTTCGGGACTATCCTGTATTAACCCTCGGTCCTGTTTGCGTGTCGGCTCTCGGTGGCATTGCAACGCTCGCCTGGAAATCCAAACGTTTCGCTTCTTGGCGCGCGAGCCGCTTTGTCAAACTGCCTGTGAATCTCCGATCGGTCAAGTCCTGTGGCCCAACCAACGCTTTGGGACCGCGCTTTCCTCCCCACTTGTGCACAGCACTGCTGGAGTTTGGTTGCTGATTTCCCAACCGGGAAGCGGCAAGTCGACAGCGACTCGTTACACTCTTCGTCGATTGCAAGAAATGCGCCAAATCGCGGGTGCTTGCGTGGTTGACTGCGCAAACATTGCACAAGTCATGTCGGAAGAGAAAGTCACCAGCCTTTCGTTGGCACTCCGCTATCAGCTGTTCCGCGATATGTCTATTCCTCGCGATAGTCGAATGGCGCCCCAATTGTCAGCTCTGTTCAAGAAGGCAGCCAACGAATCAGGCCGGCGTGTTGTCCTGATGTTGGACCAGTTCGAGTTGTTGCGCAAGGTTGCCACGGAAGACGAGCTCCATGTCATGGTGAAGGGCATGGCACTGGATGCAGTGCAGGCGAATGTGCACACCGTTCTGATCAACGTGGCCGACAGCGAGTTTGCCAAGGTTTGGATTGCTTGAAGAAATGCTAATCGGGAAGATCATTACTTCATCTCAACCGTTGCTTTCTGCTCGATTTGATTTCCTGGTAGAAAATGGAGTCTTGGAACAACAACGAGAAAATTGTTGCACTCGAAAGTCTCAAGGACTTCGCCTGGACGAAAGAGGAGCTTCAAGCTGTAGTGAATCAGTATCGAAACCACGATGTCAACTTGGAATATATGACCGATGAAGAAGCTGACGCTGCCTTTGCAGAGTGCGATACTGTTGGAAAGATTGTGACTGCCCGCAATCGCTATGTTGAAAACCGACTTCCCTTGAACCTCGAGCTTCCCAAGAAACTTTGAGGAACTCCAGCCTTCTCTCTCAAGCAACAACCCAAACGGCCCCCTGCAACCGTCGTCGTCGTTGCTCTAACACGATACACTATGATCGAGTGAACTTTCAATAAAGCTGTTTTTCGGCTCTCTTAGGCTTCAAAAGTAGTATATGGGGCTGTTTTTGTAAAAAGGTAGAATCGCCATGTCTTTCACTCCCATCGCGTCGCTGAGCTCTGCAATTGTTTTCCCCTGCCCTGCAACCCCCTCCCGAGAGAGTAGACCATGTGTCCATGCCACTCGGTGCATCAGACCACACGCCGCTGTCCCGCCGGCGACCGTACGGCCGCGAGAAGGTGTGACGGTCAACGCAACCTCGTCGCAGCAAATCAGTGTCAGCGGGCTGCCACACCACATCAAATAATTCTTTAGATCGGAGATCGGGACAATGGCTGGGCAGGAGGAGCCGGAAGCTGAGAGAGTGCATAAAACAGTTCAGCACTCGGTTTGGACATGCAAGAGTTGTTTTTTTTTGGTTTTTTTTTTGTACCCAAGTGTGCTGGGGCTAATCGCCCTCTATTGCGGCCCGATTATTGTTGGACAAGATGAACCCGCAACAGAATGTAGCAGTGGCACAGATTGAGGGCTGGGAAAAGCTTGGCTGAGAAATCACACCGCGACACAAACCGCTCCTTTTCTCGCTCCGCCCCGCCGCCCAACGCACTTCCGCTGCGCCCCCGACCCTCGAGCACACTGATGGCATGGTGTAAACCACACAATCAGAGCACCAGCGGCGGAAAGCGACGTAGGACACGGTGGTGGATATGAACGACATATTTTGGGGGGTTCACTCTACCTTTTTAAAAAAACGGCCCCATATAGAGAATAGTGAGTCACTGGCGCGACTTAACTGCACAGCTCCGCTGTGTTTGGCCTCGGTTTTCTCGGTCTCTTGTCTTGATTTGTGTTGGTTTTGTTTTGTCGAGTACTATTTTCCTGGTGTTCCTTCTTGTCTGGTTTGACCTTGGTTTATTATGAAACATTTTCAGGGAGACAGGGAAGGGAGGAAGTCTTTTTTCTACAGTAGAAAAAAGAAATTATAAAGGTACAAGGAATACAAAAGTTTTTTGGGGGGCCCTCCTCCTCTCCCTACCCTCCCGTCCATAATATTCATTATGAGTTTTTATTTCATTCAATGTTTCATCGATAAATTGTGATGAAACATTTTCCGGGAGGCAAGGGAAGAGGAAGACGTTTTTCTAAAGTAGAAAAAAGTAAAATGAGAAATAACAGAAAAAAAAAACAAGTTTTTATTTTGGCCCTCCTCCTCTCCCTACCCTCCCTGTCCATCATATTCATGGTGGTCTTTTTTCGGGAGCGGTTCCTCGCTCCCTCAGTATAGGTTTCATTGTTACTTTTTATTCCCTTCCATCACACAGTTTGTAGAGAGGGCCTCCCTAAAAAGACTCAGTCCCCCCTGTTCATTTCTTCGCCCTGCCACCTATATCATTGGAAAGAGCATAAATTATATAGTTGATTTGGTAATTTTGGTGCGAATCGGAGGGGAAAATTTTCGCTTCGATTTGGCTGGGCGTGCATTAGGGCTGAGTCTTTTTAGGGAGAAACTGACTTTGCCAGTCCCGTGTCGCCCGTGTCGAGGATCTGTCGGCCCATCTTCAACTGGGACATGTAATACCAACTGGTATCTATGTATTGCAGTTGGTGCGACGGTTACTGTATGTGACCACAGAACCCGGCAGGTGCCAGACCGCCCGCGCCGGACGGGCATGGTCCAATCTTCCCCTGCCTAGACATGATTTCACCCTTTTTGACCGGAAAAAACACATAACTACATTGAATGACATGGGATGCACATAGAATTGAACACAAAACACGGAAAATTACAGTGGTAGCGTGTTGCTTCGAGAAAGGTTTGTCAGGTCGCTGAGCGCCGGCCTTGACGACGCAGGTTGGAGGTCTACACGCGCCAATTTGACATTATGTCCATCTTGCTTCGTAGTACTACGCGTTGGCATGCGATAGCGTCGGATTTCTTGGAGTTCGGTGGAGCTCAGCTGATAATCGACTTGAACAACATCGCTCGAGTCTGATGTGACCGTGGTGAAGACGGGCGCGACGTTTTCATCGTCATCTTCCTGGCGACGCTTGCGGGCGGCTTGAGGTTGACGCTGGACATCGCTGGGGTCCTCCTGGTTGTCGTTGTGGCCGATGGCAGCGGAAGCCATTTCGGACGACGCTTGATTCTCGTCGTCATCGTCGTCAGACTCGCTTTCCTCCTCGCTGGCTGATTGATCCAAGTCGACAGTGTCGTTCGCCATCGATTGCGAAGCGAGAATGGGCCTAGGCCTGCTGACGCGCCGAGGAACGAGAGGTGTGGAAGCGGTCGCCGCTGGCTCAAGACTTAGAAGAGTGGGTCGCTTGAGACGGTTCTTGAAAAATGTCGCGCGGTCACGTACGAGCTTGGTATGCTGCAGGCGAGCAGCAGCTAGCTTGTTTCGGGTCTCCGCGGCAGTTGCCGATTCGATGTCCTGCTCGACCTCTTCTCCCAGAGCAGCCAGCTGAGTCTCCAGAGCAAGAATTGTCTCCGCAAGTGTCAAGATGCGTGAGTCAAGGTCTTTTAGCGTGCGGAGGAAGATGGGCCGTTGCCGATTGTACTCTTCTTTCAGAGGTTCGAGCTGCTTCCTCTTCTCTTGCAACTCCTGCCGCTTAAGCTGGGCATCCCTATTCTCCGGCGTAAGCGGGGATCGAGCGGTCGAGTTCATAGAAACGCGCATGGAGCTGTTGCCAATGCTCCTGGACCGCAGGGGCCTGGGTGGGGCCCGAAGGACTTCTTGCACCGAAAGTTCGACCTCGAGATTTCGACGCAAATCAGCTACCGCTGCATCGTGCACCCTCTTTTGCTGTAGAGCTCTCGGAGTGCAACCAATGGTTACCAGGGCGGCATCGGCAATCTGACGGACACGGTACAACGCCGAATACCGAGCATCCGGGGTCGGGGGTGGCTCGGGAATGTGCAGCGAGGGGGGTCGTAGACACGGCAACGTCAGCGACGGAAGGCAACGCTAGGGTCTTGTGCTTTTCCGTGTCCAGCGGATAGATACCAGTTTGGCGAAACCCAGATCGGATCAAGTTGGATCGGTCGTCAATTTCGTTCCACGCCCGAATGGCCCCGTGAAGCTTGATGTTCACGTCGATGAGTGGCGAGTCTTCATCCAAAATCGACTGCACGTGAGTCTCGAGCAAGTTCTTGTACCAGGCAAAGACGGTGACGTCGAGCGGCTGCAAGTGAGTCGACGTGTGCGATGGAAGGATCGCAACCAGGATGTTGTTGCTCACCGCGAGGTCAATCAACCCGACAGTGAACTTGTGACACGAGCTGCCATCCATCACCAATAGAACGGGGGTGGTGGTAGCTCGCTCCTTGACGACCTCGACGAAATCTCGAAACCACTTGTCGAAGATTTCCTCGTTGATGAAGCCGGACTCGGACTGGTGAATCAACTCCTCGTCCAGGCCCTCGGTGCACCTGTGAGGTAGAGTGGGCCGTGGATGCGCGACAATGAAGTGGGGCGCAACAGGAGCGGTGCCATCAGCACAAACAGTAAACAGACCAGTAACATGCGGTCCCATCGTAATGGTTCGGCCAGATCACGGACTGACACGCTTGACACCAACAGCAGCCAGGGCACGCTTCTTTTTACGACCCACAGAGCAATCCGACTCGTCCATGTTGAAAATATTGGCCGGCGTAGCGAAAAGAGTCGGGTAAAGATTGCTGTACTCCGCCAGTAGCGCGAACAAACTGCCGAGCTTCTTTTCACTCAAAGCAGCCACTCGAAGTGTTTCCAACACGCTGCTACTGCGCCAGCCAATCTGTGAGCTGTGACGGGCGACAAAATCATTGACCCACTTGTCGGAAACTTTGTCGTGCTCAAATTGACGTCTTTCCACGCCGTCCGGCCTCGGCACCTTCGAGGCTGCAAGCACATATCGAGTGAATTCCGTTTTGCTCAGAGAGACAGCTCCTAAGCAGCACCGCTTGACAAACTCGACGAGCTCTTGCTCCTCGGGGACGGTGAACACGTAGCCTTGTCCCTGGATGGGATCCTCGCGCAGAACGTCAGCCAACTCATCTAAGGTCATTCCAGGAATGTCAGGAGCGAGGTTGGCGTGGGCCTTGATGCAGCGGGCGATCATGGACTGCGATCGACCCAGCGCATGGGCGATTTGGCGGGTCGTCCAGATTCGCTCGGCGGAGGCTCCCGGAGCTCCGCCGACATCCGTAGTGGATAGGAACGGGTCAAAATAGTATAGTTTGAGGGCGGTGGCCTTCGTCAGGAGCCTCTGGCGGAAGGGAGACGCGGTCGCAATCTGGGCGAGGCCGACCTCAAGTTGCTCCTGCGCCCGTCTGACCATGTCTTCCTTGTAGCTGGAATGAGTGTTCATTGATATTCGAAGACGGCGGCGGGGTGGGAGGAATACAAGCCGAGATAATCGGGTTTGAGTCTTTTTAGGGTGGGGGCGCAATGGTTTTTGGACTGAGTCTTTTTAGGGAGGCCCTCTCTACATGCGGCGAATTACTGATTTGAAACGCGGGGATTTACCGATTTGAAACGCGGCGATTTTACCCTTTGCAGTTCACTCCTTCACCGCCCGCTGTCATTCATGATGTCTGCGACTCCTTCGATGTCTGCAATGCCTTCAACGGACAACAGTAAGGCTCCGCATTGTTATATGGGTGGCCTCACGAACAAGCCACTCACAGTTGCTGGAACAAACAGTGCCCTCCTTCGACCAAGCACTGGACTCGCCTGTCTCGCCATCCCCGAGCCTGCGTCCATTCTATGTCATTTCGTTGTCTTACTTGCTCTTCACGCTGACCGATGGCGCTCTCCGGATGATCGTCCTCATGCAAGCAAACGACATTGGCTTCTCTGCCTTTGAAATCGCCCTCATGTTTGTCCTTTACGAGCTCTGTGGCGTCGTCACCAACCTCCTGGGTGGCGTGCTTGCATCGCGGCTTGGATTACGTACAACCCTTCTATGCGGTTTGGTGCTCCAGTGCGTTGCGTGCGGTCTTCTGATGCCCTTCTCAACTCCAGCCGACTGGCAGCACCTCGGATCGCGCTCAGCTCAGATCGCCTACATCATGTTCACTCAGTCGTTTGCCGGCATGGCCAAAGATCTCGTCAAGCTGAGTGGCAAGTCTGTCACCAAACTGGCCAGCCCACAGGGTGACAACAGCCGACTGTTTTATCTCGTCTCCCGGCTGACTGGGTTCAAGAACGAGGTCAAGGGCCTGGGGTTTTTCGTTGGCACTGCGCTCCAACGCCTTGGTGGTTTCATTGTCGCCCTCAGTGTGCTTGGGGTGGTTGTGTTGCTCGCAATTGTGCCATCCACCGCTTTTTTGTCGCCCACTGTTGGTCGCTCCCGAGGACCTCGCATCAACTGGCACCGGGTCTTCCACAAGGGAGCTGATTTCAACCTGCTGTGTGCCGCGAGACTCTTTCTTTTCGGTTCGCGCGACATTTGGTTTGAGGTTGCCCTCCCAATCTACATGAAAAACATCCTTGGCTGGGACACACTTTTGGTGGGCTGCTTCCTTGCCGGTTGGACGGTCGTTTATGGTCTCGTGCAGTCTTACTCCAAGGAGTTGGCGCTCCAGCCGCTCAAGCAATTTCCACCGGAACCACGCCATGCCTGGCCCTGGGCCAGCGTGCTTTCTGCGCTGGCCACGCTTGTTGCAGCTGGCATGACGGGTGTTCGCTATTCTGGCTCCAGCGATGCAGCGACCGGCGTCATTATTACTGGGCTCGCCCTTTATGCAATTTTGTTTGCCGTCAATTCATCCACCCACTCGTATCTGGTCGTTTTGCTTTCCGACCATGACAAGGTGGCGATGGACGTCGGCTTTTACTACATGGCTAATGCCGCAGGTCGGCTGCTTGGCACGCTTCTCGGCGGAGTGTTGTACTCTTTCTACGATGTCGGGGACTCGCAACTCGTCCTGTCGGCGTCAGGGAACTATACGCTCGGGCCTGAATTCGATTGGACGGCGCGCACGGCCTCGTTTTCTGCCTGCTTGTGGGGCGCTGCAGTTCTCGGCATCATTTCCACCGTTTTCGGCGTTGTGATGAAGCGTGTTGTAAAGCCGGCAGGCTCTGAATAGACCAACGAATAATATGCGAATCTCGAACTGCATGGTATTGGGTAATGTTTTCAAAGCCAGACAGGTTCATTTGCAAAGCTTGCATTTTGTTTACAAGCGCTCGGTGGCGTGGCGATTTTCGGCATTCGAGCGGAACGGTTGTATTTGCTGCTCGGACCCACATCGGGCGGCAAGTCCACATTCACCGATTTATTTGCTCGAATGTTGGGACCTCTGTTCGCTCGAGGCCATCGAGATTGAGTCTGCAGCACAAAAGCTCACACTGTAAACTAATTGGTAAACGAATGGTCGTATTTTCGGAGCTCGAGGAAGGTGTCCCAATGAATGAAGTCTTCGTGAAGGAGATCACCGGTGAAGATGGCACGGGTTTCCGTGAACTGTACGGCAAAGAAGTAAATCGCCCCATCACTTTTGTGCCATTCTTTTCGACGAACGAAATTCCCCAAGTTACACGCGATCCAGCCCTTTGGCGACGACTAACCAATGTCCAATGGAGCGCCATGGCCGAAGATCAAAAGCCTGGTGTGTACAAAGCGGATCCGGAACTCAAGGATCTTGTCAAAACGAAAGAATATTTGGAATCCTGGCTCTACTGGTTCATTCAAGGCGCCTGAGATTCCTATTACAACAACGGCCATAATTTAAAGGTCCCCAAGTGCACCGAAAACGCCACTCTTGAACTAAAGACCGAGATCGCCCAAGATTCGGTGATGGATTGGATCCAGGAAACTCATCTGATTGCTGACGAGGGTAGTGATGGTTTCGCATCTTCCGAGCTCTACGCGAGGTACAAGGAATTTTGCATTGGACGGAAAATCAAGCCGAAAGGTCAAGGTCAGTTTGGGACAGTCATGAAAAGTCTATTCACATGCCACAAAAAGAGCTCAAATTACTACCGCGTCAGGTATGATACATGTACAACAACTCTCGCCAACATTTAAAGGACCATACTTAATGGTGCTATTTCATTCAATGTTTCATAGCTAAATTGTTATGAAACATTTTCCGGGAGGTAGGGAAGGGAGGAAGACCTTTTTCTAAAGTTTAAAAAGTAAAATTAAGATAACAGAGAAAAGAAAAGGTTTTTATTTTGGCCCTCCTCCTCTCCCTACCCTCCCAACCCAGAATATTCGAGGTGCCTTTTTTTTCTCGATTGGATCTCCACTCCAAGGGCATAATATTCATGGAGGTGAATAAAAGTAACATCTCAAATAAGTCAGTCAAATTAAATCGAAGATGAATTAAAAATTATGAATTTTTTTTTTTACTGAGAAAACAAAATGTGTGAAACTCGCCAACCTCGCAAACCTCGCGCCCTCACCGCCTACAACAAATTTGTCCAAGCCCATCTTCCTCGTGTTAAGCGTGATAATCATCTTACATCCAAGGATGCTATGGCCCAAGTCGCTAAAATGTGGCGCGCAAAGTAAAACAAAAATTATTTTTCTTCAGTAACAAAAATGCCACCCAAGTCGTCAGAACTCTTCAACCCGAAAGATGCCGAACTCATGCAATCACTTCAACACGATGATGAATTAGTCATCACGAATGTGTTAAATGTGCTGGAGGAATTTGACGAGCTACTGACAGCTCGATGTGAACGCTCAATTAAAGTCCCGACGATCCGCACTTCCCAAGTCGGCGTTCGAGAAGTTCATTGAATCGTATTTTGATGCGGTCAAGAAAAATGCACGCTTTATGAGCCAACTCCAAAAGTTCGTCGACAATTGAGAAATAAATAATTTCGAATTATTTATTTTTTGGTGAAAATAAAATGCCAAAGCAATCTCGAACAACTCGACGCCCACGGGCCCCGATTTCTCTGCCCCAGCAAACTAAAACGGTGAAAACTACTATTATGACGGCCGATGGTCCGCGAATGGGAGTGACCCAAGAACCGAAACGAAATGTTCGTTGAAAGTTACGCCTCGAGATCGATGTAGCTTTCGGTTTTCACATCCCAAACGGAATCAAAGTTCCGCCGATACATGAACATCGGATGGATGTCTTGCAAATCGATATGAAAAAAATTGTATGGCTCAACCGTTGCACAATCCCAGCGCTTCTTAAATTCTTCTTTGGTCAATCCAAAACTCAGATCATTGAAAATGTTGGATTTTTCCTTCCCATTGGTATTCCGGGCCAAGAAATAATTCGTTCCATTCGTTCGAATAGTTTTGGCAGTGCGGTACCAATCCTGGGTGAGGAAAATCACGCTACAGTTCATGTGGCGACCTCGAACAAAATAGGATATAATTCGCTCGGGTTTCTCGAGAATCATATCATCGAACAGAATAACGTTCCGAACATTTTTATCCAACGAATTCACGTCCGGAATTTCCTCCACTGAGCTACCGACGAACACGGACAGGAGTTTGAAGTCGCAGTTCAGCAACGAGATCATTATGGGGCCGTTTTTTTAAAAAGGTAGAGTGAACCCCCAAAATATGTCGTTCATATCCACCACCGTGTCCTACGTCGCTTTCCACCGCTGGTGCTCTGAATGTGTGGTTTACACCATGTCACCAGTGTGCTCGAGGGTCGGGGGCGCAGCGGAAGTGCGTTGGGCGGCGGGGCGGAGCGAGAAAAGGAGCGGTTTGTGTGGTGTGATTTCTCAGCCAAGTTTTCCCAGCCCTCAATCTGTGCCACTGCTACATTCTGTTGCGGGTTCATCTTGTCCAACAATAATCGGGCCGCAATAGAGGGCGATTAGCCCCAGCACACTTGGGTACAAAAAAAAAAAACCAAAAAAAAACAACTCTTGCATGTCCAAACCGAGTGCTGAACTGTTTTATGCACTCTCTCAGCTTCCGGCTCCTCCTGCCCAGCCATTGTCCCGATCTCCGATCTAAAGAATTATTTGATGTGGTGTGGCAGCCCGCTGACACTGATTTGCTGCGACGAGGTTGCGTTGACCGTCACACCTTCTCGCGGCCGTACGGTCGCCGGCGGGACAGCGGCGTGTGGTCTGATGCACCGAGTGGCATAGACACATGGTCTACTCTCTCGGGCGGGGGTTGCAGGGCAGGGGAAACCAATTGCAGAGCTCAGCGACGCAAGACATGGCGATTCTACCTTTTTAAAAAAACAGCCCCATATACTACTTTCAAAAATGAATGGGAATTGAGTCGGAGACAAAGGACTCCAAATCACAATGCATCACAATGGCTTTTCGTGGTTTTTAGTGCTAAGGAGGTGCTGCACCCCCCGGACATCGTGCGGGCACACGAATGTGGGCTGGCATGGGTTTGGCGTGCGTCGCTTCATGTCGTGCTAGATCAGGGCACAAAATGTCCAGTGCATCGCGACCTCCTCTTCTTCTGCCACAGTTACGATAAACATGAACAGATCTTACCGAGTTCGAATCAAACAACAACAAGAGCCGAGGCGATATCACAGGGTTTTGCGCGAACAACAACAAGCAGCAACTGAAACAACAACAACAGCAACTGCAGCAGTTTGTTCAACGCCGCTTCAGTCTTGATTTTTGGTTTGTCGCTTCTATTATTTGTCTGAGTTGTTGTTGTTGTTGTTGTTGTTGTTGTTGTTGTTGTTGTTGTTGTGCTGGTTGCTCTGTCGCTGACGTGTCATCGGTTCGCAGACTTTCCCGCCATTTCGCTTGCGTTCCCCCCCCCCCCGACCGTGGTTCGTCTCATCTCCATGGCGCTCGATCCCAGACGCTTGGTTGCCATGCTGGCGTCGCCCAGCGCAGCCTTGTTGGTGCTGCTGCTCTACGCAGTGCAGCTGGCGCTCATGTCGACGGCGCTCTCGCAGCCGTGGCGCTCGTACCACCTATGTCTGCCCGACCTAGTCGCAGGGACGCCGTACCCGGACGACATGCGCAATCGAAACGGGGGCCATGACTTTGGCAATGGTAATAACGGGTTCCGCGGCGGCGATGGCAACTGGCCGCCGGATCGACCCTGGGGTGGTGATGTCGCGCCTCAGCCGGGCCAATGGATGCCAAACAACCATCGTGGCATGAACGAAGGCTACGATCAAGATAGACATGGCCGACGGGGCTTTGATCGCCGAGGGGACTTTGACGGCCGAGGGGGCTTTGACGGCCGACCGAATTTCCGCGGCCGGCAGGGCTTTGGCGACGACTTTCGTGGCGAATCGCTGGAGGCCAATGACTGGCGGGGCAACGACTCATCCAAGAGGATGGCCCAAGCGCAAAGGTTTACTCGAGTGGACATCGGACCAAGCAAGGTGCTCATTCTCGAAGGCGGCGAGAACGCGTGGGACCGGTTTATGCATCGGACGCGTCCGCAGAGCGCTCGCACCCTGTCAAGTGAGCGTACTTTGAGTTTTTTTTTTTGTTTTCAGATTGGGATGCTTGTCAGAGAGAGCGAGATGATGATGATGAGGCTGGCTGACTTCAATTGGATTGGGTTTCTGTTTTGTTCTCATTCTCGACAAAAGTCGACCAGATTCCTCAGCACACTCCGGTTGCCATCTCGCTGATGTACGTTGCAGTTGGCGCGATTGCGACCGAGACAGTGCTGGCCTTGATCGCAGTAGCAGAGCTGTGTCGAGCATTCCGCGTCACTTGCACAGAGCAGGCGCGATTGCTGCTGGCGGTTTCTGCGCTTTTGATTGCGCTGCTCGGCGTTGGAATGAGCTGGGGTTTGCTTCTCGGCGAAAGAAACGACTATCGAGGGATTATGCAGCACCTGCCGCTAAAGGATAGTTTGTACCACCTGCGCAGCCTGCTCGAGTGCTCTGGCGGATATCCCACCATGCAAGACTTTGATGGCCATCCGTTGCACGGGAGAACCATCTGGATTGTCTCCTGCGGCCTCGGCTTGATTGCCCTGATTTGCACGCTCGGGCGAAGCGCAGCATTGGGCCACCAGGCCCGGACAGGAACAGGGGCGTTCCGCGACACACTCCCGCTGTCTCGCCAAGAAGCGGATTATGATGAGAGCGCGGCGGGTTTCGCTCGGTCTTCTGGCGCCACGGGGGCCACCTCCATCCTCATTGGCATTCTCGCCGTGCCCGCTGGCATTTGTGGCGCTGTGTGGACGCTCGTGTGTGGTGGGCGCCATGTAAATACGGCCAGTCGGCTGCACAACCTGCCTGCCCGTGGCCAAGCTATTCCTTATAATGCGCACGGTGATCAATCTACGTTTGCGCAGCTGTCAGAGTACGAGCGCAGGCTGCTGTCGACTCGCTGATTGTGATTGGGAAATAGTGTCTCTCGGCTTTGTTAGTTTGGAGTGGACGTTTTCCAGCGTCCCATCAGTTGTGTGTGTGTGTGTGCGTAATGATGTGTGTAACCGAATAGAAGTGATGTTTCTGAAAATCAAACGATCACTCACTCAAGAAGCTTCTTGGCCAGCAGGAAAACACTCCGAGGTCTATCCGTCGAGACAGACCAAACCTCAAATCAAGCAAGCGCGAATGCAATGTGTATTGTGTTTTCTTCCAGTTGCGCTCAACGTCGCAAAACAAAAAGGCACACACATGCCCCGCTGGCAGAAAAAAAAAACTGTTCAAAAAAAATTGGGGAAGCTAGTACACAAAAAAAGAAAATGCCCAAAGTGCCCTCTGGGGTGAGAGTGAGGTTTTGGTTTGCTTGTTTAGAGCGTTTAGAACTTCTCGGGGGCAGGGATCTTGGAGAGGGACGGGGCCGAGGTCAAGGCGGGGATCTTGACGGCGTCTTGCAGGTTGAACTGGCGGAGCGAGCGGCCCATCAGATCTTGGTACTGTTTGGTTGTGTTGTTTTGATGTTGGCCAAGGGTGTGGATGCAACGAAGGTGAGATTCTAGGTCTGTATGGAGCGTGCATGAGGATTGTATGGAGTTTGCATTGGGATTGCTTCTGGTTGAATCGGTCGCTTGTTTTGCCGCTGTTACTCTCCTGCTTCGACAGGTTGACCCCCAAAAGAGCAGTAGCACACAAAGCAGTCGCACACGTCTCGCAATGGGGGGGGAAGAGAGAAGCTCAAAATGAAAAAAACGCAATGGAAAAGCAATGGAAGAGCAATGGAAAAAAAAAAAAAAAAAAAAAAAAAAAAAAAAAGAGCGATCTTTTCAATTTCGCCTCGTCGCCTTGTGCTACTCTGTTTCTTCCTCCTCCTCTTCTGCTGACCCCACCCACTGGCTGTGGGCAGAGACTAGATGGCTGCCAAGTGGCGGCGATTGAGGCGTTTTGGTCCGTCTGGCTGCAGCAGCATCCGTGCGATCGCTCGCTCTTGCTTCCAACTCACTCGCTTCTGGGCAGCGGCGGAGAGCGGGACGTCGGCGTTGGCCTGGGTGTCCTTCTGCTTCTGGTAGTCGCGGAGCTTGCCAATGTAGAACTTCTGGACGGGGTCGAGGGCAGCAGCGGCCTGGGCGCCGGCGGCAGCAGCAGCAGCGACGGCGGAGGTCGAGAGCGACCGTGTGGCAATAGCACGAGCAGCGACAGTGGCCAGCATTTGGGGGAAGATAAGGCAAACAGCAAACAGGAGTGAGTGAGAGTGTCAAAGGATTGAGAGTGTGTTGGAAAATCACGGAAATAGTAGAAGAATAGAGTCAACATCAATCCAAGGGGGAGGAGGCGGTGCTGAGGTGAGCTGGCTTGGATCAAACACTCTCAGAACAAAGCTGCTCCAAACCTCGATCTCTTCCAATGCTCTCCAATGTTTGAACGTGTTTGAGTATGTTTTTGAATTCATTCTTCTTCTTTTTTTCGTTTCTTCTTCTTCATCCATGGCAGCTGCAACGTCGGGAGCGGCGTTGACGGACGCGGCTGCGAACGCCGGCTCGTGGTCGAGCGTGCGACCGGGCCTGAGCAGTGCCACGCGTGTGCTTCTCGAGGAGCACCTCGGATTCACGCAAATGACGCCCGTGCAAGCCGCAGTGCTGCCGCTCTTCCTTGCCAACAAGGACGTGGCGGTCGAAGCTGTGACGGGCTCGGGCAAGACGCTCTCGTTCGTCGTGCCCATCCTCGAAATCCTGCTCGCCGCGCGCCGATCGGACCGCGGATCCAGCAGCAGCAATGCCATCATGCCATCATGCATGCGAGCAACAGCAGCAGCAGCAGCAGCAGCAGCAGCAGCAGCAGTGAGTGGGCGCCACGCGACGTCGGCGCCATCATCATCACCCCCACGCGGGAGCTTGCCGTCCAGATCTACGACGTCCTCAACCTGTTCTGCGCTGCGGGTGCCGGTGCTGAAGACGGCGAGCAAGCGTCTGGCCTCGTCGCGCCAGGTGCAGGAGCTGCAGCGTCCAAGAGCACGATGGACCTCGTGGACGATTCAGATTCAGAGTCTGATTCAGATTCAGTGGATCAAGTGCAGGTGGAACAGCGCTTGCAGCTGCGACCGTGGCTCCTGATAGGAGGCGGACAAGTGTCGGACGATCTCCAGCAGCTGCGAACGAGCGGTGGAAACATTATTGTCGCGACACCCGGTCGCCTCGAAGACATTCTGAAACGAAACAAGATGACCAACGATATCAATCTGCGAACGCTCGAAGTGCTCGTGCTGGACGAGGCGGATCGGCTGCTGGACATGGGCTTCCGAGCGTGTCTTACCAACATTCTATCCTACTTGCCAAAGCAGTGCAACCCAAACGGACGAGGTGAGGAGCGCTCCACTCTGTTTTGCTGCTGCTGCTGCTGCTGCTGCTGCTGCTGCTGCTGCTGCTGCTGCTGCTGCTGCTGCTGCTTGTTATCGCGACGTTGAAAAGGGAATCTCCAGCGAATTCCTCTCTCTGCACAACCTCAGGTTGAAGAACTCGTGCGCGCAGGCTTGAGAAACCCCGTGCGCGTCACAGTCAAGGTACAATCCGTCGCATCGCAAGAGCAGCGAAGAACGCCCTCCACGCTACGGAACATGTACATGCTATGCGATAGCGAACACAAACTGTGGCGACTCGTCATGCTGCTCCAGCGGCTGGGACAAGAGTGCAAGACTATCGTGTACTTTGCGACATGCGCTGGCGTCGAGTATTATTCACGCATCTTCCCGCATCTGCCCCAATTCCGCAAGCAAGCAAACATGCTCAACTGGTTTGCTCTCCATGGGCACATGACGGCCTCGAAGCGAAGCGTCGAATACGCGCGGTTTAAAAACGCGCCAGTGGGCGTCCTGTTTTGCACGGACGTGGCTGCCCGTGGCCTCGACATGCCTGACGTCGATTGGGTGCTGCAGTATGACCCTCCGCAAGATCCAGATGCGTTTGTGCATCGCTGCGGCCGCACTGCACGCCTCGGCAAACGCGGCAGCGCACTCATCTTTATTCGACCGAAAGAGGACACGTATGTGTCGTTCCTGGCAGTGCGCAAGAGTCCTGTCGAGGAGTTTGATGGCCGGTTGGATGTCAACGGCTCGATCGAAGAGACGGATGGCAACCAGAACATTTTGCGCTTTGAGAGCTTTGCCCTCAAAGACCGGGCGACCCAAGGCAGCTTGGACTTGATGGCCGCAATTCGCGCGCTTGCCGTCAAAGATCGCGACGTCTTTGAAAAAGGGCAGGTCGCGTTCGTGTCATTTGTCCGATCGTACAAGGAGCACAAGTGTTCGCTCGTCTTCCGCCTGAAAGAGCTGCACCTGGGTCGTGTTGCCGTGAGCTTTGGTCTCGTCGTGCTGCCGCGCATGCCAGAGCTTCGTGGTGTCAATGCCGACGGCTTTTTCGTCCCGCTCGCAGATATTCACCCGAACGACATTCCGTTCGCAGACAAGGTGCGCGAGAAGGCGCGTCAAGCCAGACTCGCCACGCGTGCTGCTGAGCGCGCCGCTCATCCCGAAAAGTTTGCCAAGGGCCCGAAAAAGGAGAGCGAGGCGTGGTCCAAGCAGAAGGCGCGCAAGGATCGCAAAGAAAAGCGCCAAGAAACCAAGCGGCTTGTGCGCGAGCGAGAGTTGCTCAAGAACGGCAGCGAGTACGCGCTGTTGGCTGCGCACCAGCAAGGTTTGGAAGCAGACGCCGCCAGCGCTGCTGCCGAGGGCCAGCAACCCGACGATGATGATGATGAGGAAGAAGAGGATGAGCTCGAAAAGGAGGCGCGCCTCATGCGCAAAGTCAAATCTGGCAAGCTGTCCAGCGCGCAGTTTGACAAGCGGATGGGCTACAAGCGTACCTCTGCCTTCGCCGACATGGTTGACGAAGGCGACGAAGACGCGCCTGTGAACGATGACAGTGACGATGAGGATGACGAGGAGGACGATCAAGACGACGAGCAGGAAGAGTCAGCTCCGCAGCGCGGATCAAAGCGACCGAACAGCCACGACACCAATCAGTTAGCTGCTGCGCGCAAAAAGCCACGATCGGGCTTTTGAATGGAAGGAGAAACGAGCAGCTCTTGGACGTTTGGTTTGACCAGTCATTGTGATGCAAGAAAAATGTTAAAACGAAAACAACCAATCTTCAAAAAAACAACCAGTAAACTCAATCTAATCCTGTATTGGCTGCGAAAGAATGTGTACATGTGTGTGTGCGTGCAATCAAGTCTACATCATCATCATTGAATCGGTATCTGGGCCGCCACTGGCATAATTATTATAGGCATACGCTGAAGGATCCACACCCTGATCCATTGTGTTGTCGTATTGGACTTCCTCCGTCGGCATCGCGTCACTTTGAGAACCTCCTGAAATTAAAAGATGGAGGCTCTGTGTCAAGTATGATTCGGTGGGTGAGCAATTTGTTGGGCAAAACAAGTCCCCCCATCCTCTGATCAAAAACGCATTTTTCGCAACTCACATTGTGATGGCCGGTCTCGCGCTCGCGCTCCATGTGACGTTGCGCCGTCTCGGCGACAAAATGGGAAGCAGAAAACGGCTCGTATGGGACGAGAGCGAGCGAATTGTTGGTCGAATCGAGCGCGGGCTCTTGCTGCGGAGGCTGGTGGTACAACAGACGAGCAGGGATGGCCTCTTGCGGCAATAAGGGCAGCGAGCGTGATACAGATGGGAGCAGCTTGACAGTCGCGTTGCCGAGTGAAAGCTCGAGCAATGTCTTTGGCGGGCGCGAGGGATCGTCTTCTTCGTCCGAGCCGTCGCTATCGCTGTCTCCCGAGTAGTGCTTGAATGGCGGGTGTGCTGCCATTGTGGCAGGCTGCTGAGAATTCAGGAGGCTCATACTTGGCTGAGATTCTAATGCTGCGTCTGCTTCCAATGCTCGTGCAGCGCAGGCAGCGGCAAAACTGAACGATCCGACATTGTCGTCAAACAACCCGGTGCGCGTGCGTTTTGCCAGAACGCTGTCCGACAATTGCGCATTGGTCTCTGCTTGCTCGAATGCATCATAGTAATTTCGCCGTGTAGATCCATGCTCGAATGTGACTTTGTTGGCAATGTCGTCGCCACCGTCATCAGCATCACCAAGGTCTGCACGCGCGCGTTTTCGCGCCAAATCCGCATCGTGTCCGTCCTCCGAGTCGTTCGCTTCCAGTCCGCGCTTCCGTGACAACAGTGCTCCAACAACCGCAGAAGCAGCGTGATTCTGAAGGCCAAGCTGGCTCGCGTCGTGGAGCATTGTCGTGCGCGCATGCTCAAACAGCGGCAATGCGGCTGTGCTGAGGCTGGCGTCGCTCTCATCGTCCGGGGTATCATCAACGCGGGTCGCAAGGCGCTTGCGAGGCTGCTGCTGATACAGGTCGAGTAGTAGTGGGTGCGACTGGCTGGGGTCGCTGTTGTTGGTGCTGCCGGCACTGCGAGTGCTCGAATGCGCTGGAAGCTGCTCGAACTCGCCACCCTCGGCGGCCTCTGCAAACGTCCGCACTCGCCCTGGCCTGGACGACATTGCTGGACTGCCGCTGGTATTACTTGTAAAAGTGCTAGTATAAGTGAGATTGTGACGAGGAGAGCCGGAGGCGCTGGACCAGGCCGCCGCGTCGGAGAACGGGCCTAAACTGGACGGCGATCCTCTGGTCAATGTGGCGCTTGTGCTGGACTGGCCGCCGCGGGGTGGTGAGCCCGTGCTGTGGTCGTAGTTGTCGTAGTGGTCGTAGTGGTGGTGGTGGTGGTGGTGAGGACTGCATGGCTCGTACGCGGATGGCAGTCCACTCATGCTTGCGTACGACGAAGTGGAAAGCATGAAACGGTTTCAAAGCGAAAAGAAGAAGACAAGAAAGAAGAGTGGCAAAACGAAACAAAGACTGGGTGGAGATCGATCAAAGGGACTAAGAAACGGAAACGAAACAAAAAGAGGAACAGTCGGAAACATCAGGGGGGGGGAGTGGGAAAGGCTCGAAAGACGAGCGATGGAGAAAAAAGAAAGAGCTGAAACGAAAAGTGCTCGTCCTGCCGCAAGTCGGGCAAACTGACCGCTAGTAATGCGATGGGTTGTTTCTAGGAAGCAATTCATTGTTTATGGTTGTGTGGAGGACCAAGAGGAGGCCGTTTTCGCATTTTTGGTTGTACAACTTTTTGTGTTGAATGTCTCGCTGGGCTTACCTTTAAGAGCACCTTTGGGCCTCAAAAATGGCCGCCGCGCGATCCCTGCCCGCAGTGAACAATCTAGCAGCTGAATACACCACATAATCACAAGCTAACTCCACATACACCGAAGAGATAGACAATCAAGCTGTTGTACCCGAAGAATCTCGTCCACGAAATTTCGCCGCGGCTCGAATCCACCTTCCGTGCTCCGGACCCTCCTCGCACTATCAATATTCAAAAGATAACTATATTTTTCATGCTGGAGAATATCAGGGGACGGCGAGTGTCGACCGCGTCATGGCGAGGCGGCCACTCAAACTTGACCCCTTTTTGCGCGTTTGGGCTGGGCTTTGTATCCATCCCGTACCTCGTTGTTGAGAACGCCAGTCCTTCTGCCACACATTATCTCATTGTGTCAACTGCGTCCCTGCGTCCCCACTAGCCATCGGCTCGCCGATGGGGGTAGAGACGGAGGGGGCGGGAATTGGTCGCCTGCGCATTCTCATTCAGCCAGATCTCTCAAATGTTCATTCTCTTCGGCCGAGACGCGACGCGCGCAACGCTGAGCTTGCACACGCCATTCGAGCCAAACAAGGCGTCCTTCTTCACCATCTGATCCCGCTCTCGATCCTCCTCTTCCACTCATCTTGCTGGCTTCTGTTGCTCCGTCCGTTCTCCTTATCCTTTATCTGATGTTTTCAACCCTCCCACTCTCTTTTATTTCATTTTATTTTATAGTATTGTATTGTATTGTATTTGCCTATTTTTTTTTTTTTTTTTTTTTTTTTTTGGTGTTTTGGTTGATTGTCGACGTGGATTTTTCTTGTTTGTGGTCGCCGCCTTCGTTTTGCCGTCCCTCAGCCTCATCATCAAGCGTCGAATCATGCGTGGCTGCTTCCGTTGGTCTCGGAAGAGCCGCGTGCGAGCGCTGCTCGTCGTGCTGCTCGTCGGCGCGGCTGCTTTCTACTCGGTCTCGCCTACGACCACGCTGACCACGCTGCTGCCGGGTGCCAAACCGCTCCACAAGACCAACGACGACACCCTCCAGCCCCATGGAAAGCCGAGCAATGAACTTGACCCACGCCAGCGGCAGCAGCGCGCTCCGGGAGTGCTCCCCAAGGAGGAGGACGACGACGACTCCATTCGCCGAGCTGCAGCGCTGCTCCCAGAGGACGAGAACCAATCGCCGTCCCAACGCAAGACGCTCCTTCGCAGCTCGCCCGAGCTCCGACGTGCGCTCGAGCAGGATCTCGAGCGACTGCGCGAGCAGCGGGAGATTGATCGGGAGACGGAGATTCAGCGAGAGAAGGACGAGGAGGCAAAGCCCGCCAAAATACTGCCGTCCACGCGAGCCCCGACGTTCGGGCCCGACAAGGACGATCTCCACGCTGACATGGAGGAAGAGACATCCAGCGATGCTGTGGCGCACATCTCGGCCGTCCACGAGCTCGTCCTGGGCGCCCAGCGGGAAGCGTTGTGCGATCCATTGCCGCAGCAGCAGCAGAGCAAGCTGCCTGCCGTCGTGCCGCCTCAGACTGCAAATCTGGCACGATCGCCCAATCCTGCGCGCATCCTCTTGTATGCCACGATCGCGGCGACCACGGCAGATGCGTCGGGCATTTGGCTCAGCGACACACTCGACACCTTGTCCCGACTGCCACAAGCTGAAGTTTACCTCTTGCTGCACACTCAACCCAAGCCGGACGCCGACGTTGCCAACCAGCCCCTAACAATCATCCAATCCCTTCAGCACGTTACCGTCATCAATCCTTGGCTGGAGGCCGACGCTCAATCGATGGGTCTTGCTCCCGTCACCTTCAAGAGCAAACTCGACTCGAACAATGCCCTGCAATGGATTACTGCTCTCGACCACCAGCTGCGTTTCGATCACTTGCTCATTCGCTCAATTCCAGTTGCAGCTCTCGTCTCGCGATATGCTGACATGGCACACCGCCTCTGGGCATTTATTCTACCGCCAACTCCGTTCCCTGCGTTGAATGCACCCCTCCCAGCCGTGTACACCAAACTCAAGCAGCTCTTGTCTACGCCCGCAAGAGGAATCTTCTCTACTGAGCGTGCCCGCCTCTTTGTGCAAGATGCCGTCACCGTGCCTGCCCTCAAGCCTTCCTCAATCGTCCCGACGGTGGTGCCGCCGTTCAGCCCATCCGCAGATGTTACCGCCCAAACCCATCAGCTGATTCATGGTGCTGCACGGTACTCGACAGCCAAGGCCGCTGGCTTTAAAATTTGCTACCAGGGCAGGGCTGACAACGAGTATCTCTTTGCGGAAATGCTACAGGCGTACAAGAAGAGCTTGGGCGGTTCCTCCCCAGCCTCCATGTCCATGATGCTCATCATTAGCAACTATGAGCAACCCGAACTCCTATCGCAGACGCAAGAGTTTGTGCGGAACGAGCCCTCTGTCGTCCTGTTTGAACAGCTCTCTCGTGCGACCACCCTTGCGCTGCTTCAAGATTTCCAATGCTCTGTCGGTGTGCGTTTGATGAGCAACGATGCCGGCCTTGAAGTTTCGACCAAATTCCTCGAGTATTCGTTGCTGGGAGTGCCCACGGTGATGACCGTCCCTTCGGCGAGTGCCGAAGATGCTCTCGAGGGCATGGACTATCCCGAGTACTTGACAGTGCTGCTGGATGGCTCGCCCGCATCGTCTGAATCCTTTGTCGCTCGCCTTGCGAATGCGTTTGTGACAGCCAGCGCGCGCCTGGCCGAATCTCCCAGCAGCCTGGCCAACCTCCAGCAGCGTCTTCGCTCGCTCGCCGCGTTGCATTCCCCCGACGCAACTGTCGCGCGATATCAGCAGCTTCTCACGCCACGACCACGCCATGGTTATCAAGCACAGCCTGTTGATGGTGTACCACCTTCTTCGTGCAACATTCTCATGGTCGCTCACGATTTCAAGCTCATGGGCGACATTCTTGAGCACTTTAGTTCTGCCTCTTGCACCGTTCGCAAGATTACCTGGACTCCGCAGTCACTTCTGGCTATGGACCAGTCCGGAGAGCTCATCAAGCACGCGCAGTGGGCCGGCACGATTTGGTGCGAGTTCGCCCTCGACCAGGCTCACTGGTTTGCCTCTCAACGGTCAAAGTACGATCCGAGCCACGACAAAACGCTCATTGTGCGCATTCACGGACCAGAGCTCCAGCAGCCCATCGCGGACAAGATCCAATGGGCACAGGTCGACCACGTCATTACGACCGCCCCGTACTTTTACAACGAGTGTCTGGTGCGCATGCCCCAGAGCACGCCCATCCATCTCATCAGCAACATCATGTGGCCCCTGACATTGGCGAGCAATCCGATAAAGTCAAGCAGCTCCCGAGCAACCGCTCTGGGTTTGATCGTTTCGGATGATTCGCCAAAGGCGCTTGAGATGGCCATTGACATTTTGCGGGAAATTCGAGACATCACAGGCCAGGCCAACTCCAACTGGACTCTTGTCGTAGCCGGCCCTGCGCCAGCAACCCTGGAATGGACACCTTCGTCTCCTGTGAACACAGAGCGCGAGTACCTGACCCAAGCTCGCCAAATTCTTGCAAGTCTTGGTCTCGAGGCCTTTGTGCAATTCGTCGGCGCGCCGGCCGACCCTTCTGTGTGGTTGCATCAAGTTGGCTTCATTCTATCCACCTCTGACTCGGCAGCCGACGTTCACATGGTGTCCGAAGGCATGGCGACTGGATGCATTCCCGTCGTCCGTCGCGGCTTTGGGGCAGACCTGATGTACCCAGCGGCGTACAGCTTTGATGGCCCTGTCGAGGCTGCCACGCTCATCAAGGCGCATGCCGAGCAGTCAAGTCTGCGGATTGCCAACCAACGAGCTGCATCGGTCCAGGAAGCGCAGGCCCGCTTTGAAGGCCGTGCCATGCTGCGAATGCTCGATGAGCTTGTTCTTCCACTCGAAAACGCCGACAGCGCTCCAACGGACTTGCAAACATTGCAGCCACCAGAGTCCCAGAACACGGCCGCCTTGCTCCAACTGTCGCCGAGCTCGATTGTCAAGACCCACATGCCGTCATGGACATCGCGCAGCAAGCTGGTGATTATGGCAATCATGGACGAGTTCACTGCCGGTTGCTACCAACACGAGGCGCGCATCGTCAAGGCGGACATTGACAACTGGCGAGGGCAGCTCGCCAATGCCCATCCTCAGTTACTCATTGTCGAGTCTATCTGGCAAGGCCCATGGGCAGAGCATGTCATGTCAGACTCTGCTTGGGGCAACCCGGTCGTTGAGCTGCTCAAACAAGCGCGCCTCCGCGGCATTCCCAGCTTGTTCTGGAACAAGGAAGATCCTGCGCACTTTCACGAGTTTTCGCATTCTGCATTCTTGCCGTTTGTAGACGCCGTGTTTACGACCGAGGAGGCCGTCGTCCCGGCCTATGCGAAAATCCTCGGACACGATCGGATTTTCGCCAGTCCGTTCGCAGCGTCGCCGAGGACGCACTCACCGGTCGGGTCTTATCGTCCACGGAACAAGGGATATGCATTTGCAGGCACCTATGCCTTCCAAACGCGTTATCCTCACCGCAAGGGTGATTTGGATTTGATATTCGCGGCGGCGAAAACGCGCGGACTTGCCATCTTCCAGCGCTCGGAGGGAGTTTCGCGCCACATTGTGCCGTGGGGCGCAGAGCTGCAACCACACTTGAAAGGCTCGCAGCCATACGTCAAGATGGTCAAGCTGTACAACAAGTATGAGGTGTTTATCAACGCCAACTCTGTCAACGTTTCCAAGACCATGTGCAGCCGTCGTCCGTTCGAGGTGGTCAGCACGGGCACTCCCGTCGTTTCCAATCCGGGACCGGCTTTGAAGATCATGCTTGGCCACTCGGTCGTTATTGTACACAGCGCGGCTGAAATGAACGTCGCAGCAGCACGTTTCGACAATCCGTTGATTCGAGAACGACTGGCTCTGTCGGGCCAGCGTCGCGTGTTTGCCGCTCATACCTACGGGCACCGACTCCGCGCAATGATTGAGCAAATGACCTTTGACAATGCGACCCTCGCGCAGACACCCGACCCTGCTCCATCCGCGACTGTGGCGGTCTGCTTGCCGCTCGTTCCGTCGTCCTGTGATGCCGCGGCCCGATGCGTTCCACGCCTGCTTTCGGACGCTCTGGAAACGTACCAGCGCATGGTCTTTGGGCGTGGGTCGTACGAGTTGCTGATTGGAGTGGTGCTGCCTCCGGCCAACGGCGGCCATCCCTGTGCCGATCCGGATTCGGCCATCCGTGCTGTTCGTGATGCGCTCGAGCAAATGCTGAGGCAGTCCCGCAGCGAGCGGCCTGTAACCTTCCGCGTCTTTGCAACATCTGGAGCATCCACGGCCGCGACTGTGGGCGCCTGCATGCACCAAGCCATTGATCTGGCCGAACGGCAGCACTTGTTCTTCCTCGACCCCAGCCGTCACTACTACGGCCCCAACTTTTTGCGGGACTTGCTGCCTGCGTTTTCGTACACTGACGCGCAAGTGGTTGGTAAAAGCAGCGTTTACGCTGTCGACGAGTCTGCGCGTCCCTCCCGACCATTCTGTGCAAGTGCGAACTCTGCTGGTGTTCTTCAAGCCAAGTACGCTCATGGCTACAACCCAGACCTTGTCAACGCCCCGGCCGTCGGTCTCACGCTTCACAACCCCACAGCCCAACTGGAATACGTGGACAAGCTTGCCGCAGCGCCGAGCGCCATCTTTAGTGTCGATTTTCTCCGAAAGTGTCCGCTGGATTCGTTAAGCCATGCCGCCAACCCCCTCGACCATCTGCTGGCGATAGCTCTCGAGGCGCGCGCAATCTTCTTTTCTGGCAACCGCCACAACTTTATTTTTGATGCTGTCTCGCGTGCTTCGGCTGACGGCTGTTCCTCGGCCAACGAGGCCATCACTCCCGACATGATTTCCTTCACTTCCTGGTAAAATTCGCTTCTGTTCGTTTGTTTTTAGTGGTGTTTGTTTCATTCTTTAATATTAAAAGTAGTAAGTGTCAGGGACTTGAGCATGAGGTTGAAAAACAGCAAGGAGCAAAACTGCAAAACACACACCAAAAACGAAGAAATGCCGTCACGCGCAGAAAACTATGCGAGCCCATCCGTTTCCTCTTGTTCCTTGTCCTATTGTAGACCAACGACCAATCAACACTAAGCCTCTACAGTTCGCTACACATCACATGCGGCATCAACCTCCTTTCTTACAAAGCGAGGGTCGATATCCAAATCCTCGCCGTATTGGATGGAATTGTCAATGATAAACATGACGCGCGCGATTGAAGATTTATCCCGCACATTCAGCGGAACGAACTGCACAAGACTGTGCTCGTCGATCTGAGCAAGTTCCGAGCAGCAACCATTCATTAGTGTTTTGGTGAATCCTCCAGTTCCTCATGATCTCGGTTCAAGCCAGTAACCCTGTGGGCAACCTCCCACAGCCCCCTCTCCCTGAATCAAACAGGCCAAAAACACGCAAGCAACCACACAGACCATACAACGCCTTACAACAGTTGCCAGAGCTCGATTGAGGTGTTGCAGCTTGGGGTTGTAAGTTCGTGTATCTCCCATCAAATCGCTGGCGTTGAAATCAAGAAACCTAGCAACCGACAACGCGCGCAAAAAACAAAAAGCCAGACCAATGTGAGGGTCAACTTGAAGCGCGCGAGGGTGAGTCAAAACAAAGAAGAAAGAAGCCCAAAGCCAAACCTTTCAAACTCGGCCGATTTGGCCGCCCGTCCAAGCTTGTCGACCTTGGTGAGGACGTTGACATGCGGAATTTCGAGCTGAACCATAACGGACATGGCTGACAATACACCGGCAAAGAACTTTGGCATGTCCTCGATGAACTGCGAGTCCAGCAAGTACACGCCGCACATTCGCATGTCCATCTGCTGAAATTCGTCCACGATTCGTCGCATGATATTAAGGTGGGTATAGAGCTCGATTTGGCCTACGGGGAGTGTGTATGAGGGGTGGTGGTGGAGCGGCGGGTCAAAGCAAACGCAAATCATGTCAACGAGTTGCAGCAGATTTGTTCGCAAAACTAGATTTTTTGGAGTTGCAGACTCTTACCAGGACAATCAAACAGGATGTAATCATCTTCCACAAACTGATTGCTGATTTGATCGTGCAGCCACGAAATGTTCTCCAACAAGTATCTGAGCAGAACGAGACGAGATGTTGAGTTTCAATGTGTCTAAAAGTGGTTGGCGAAACGTCAAAAACGTACTCCATGCAAAAGACAAGACCACCGTTCGGACCATACGCGCCGCCCTCGATGACGTCTGTCAGGTTGATGAGGTCTCGCACGTCTGTGACAGGTCGAAGACAACAACGTGAGCGTGAGTCGAGCGTGAGTGAGTAAACGGCAGAGTTTTGCTTTGGTCGCTTTTCCAATCGCACTTTCGAGATGCGGCTGAATCCATCATGTTCGTGATGATGATGATGATGATGATGATGATGATGATGCTGCGATCTCATGATGGTCCTTTGACGAGCGCTTCGTTGATCGCTCCATACCCTCGTGGGTCGTTCGTGTCGTGCCACAGTCGTCCCCCCCCCTCTCTTCCGCTCCATCCCCCTAGTACCCGATTTCATGCTACTTGAACAGCTCTGAGCTTTGCTAACGCATCATCATCATCGCCGCTGGAGTGTTCGCAGCTCCACTCGCTTGCACTGGGTGGCTCACATGGAGCGGCGGTCATCAGTCTCGATCACTCTCGATCAGCTGTTGAGCTGCGCAAGTCAAAGCCCCCAATAGTGTAGTAGTGGTAGTTGGCCATGTCTGTTTTTTACCAAGTGCGACCGGATAGTCAAAGTGCTCTGCGGCTGGATCGAGGTTGACGACAAAGACAGAGCGGCCAATGGTTTGGCAATGCTGGACAATCTCAGCGCAGTACGACGACTATGCGTGATCATCATCATCATCATCACAAAACCATGCAAAGAGTTAGGATGTCTGCAATCCCATTTCACAAAGTAAATCAAAGAGAAACAAAAGAGCTCACCTTGCCGGCACCAGCGGGACCGACGACGAGCTGTCCGAACAGTCGCATTTTGTGAATGCAGTCAACAATGAAGAGTGAGCGTAGTAATCTAAGAACAGCATCTCTTTCCGAAAAGATGGGCAAAAAGTAGATTCGTGATCGGTCCTCATGTTCATCGTCAGACGAGCAAAACGATCCAAGTTGAAATAGACGTGCAATTTTGACTTTTCTGTTGAAGTTAGGCAGCTCAGCGTTTAGCGTTTGTGTTGAACAAGAAGCTGAGCGTGTTGCGCTGAGCCGGTCAGACTGATTCTAGATCTATTCGTTTCTGTTACGAACTGGGCTCATCTTTCCCTCATTCTTCACTATATTCTTAGTAAACGATACTTCTGCATTCATTTCATACGCTTCAGTAGTGATTTGCAGGTCAAGTTCCGGGTAAGGTCGTAACAGAATCAGTGGGCGAAAAGGGGCTTGAGCTCTGGTCATTCCAACGCACAACATCTATTCATGCACATCTCCTATCGCAGTGTAACAGTCGAATTTGCATCACCATTGGCGGAAATGCTCAGAAATCAGTCCTTCTTTCTTTGTTTCTGATTTGCGCTCAATCTCATTCTCAGTCCCCTCGACCCTCTACCTCGCTAGCCCCTCTCCCCCAAATAGGCATCAATGAGCGTGCTTCGTGTGGATGTGCTGGCAATGCCAGTCGGCGCGCCCATCTATCGCAAGGTCTGGGACTGGCCAGACTCGATTGGTGAGCACTCTGAGTGTCTCAGATTATTCCTCTGCAGCCAAAAACCTCCCTTCTTTTACGCTTTGTTCCAACACATACAAACCAAAAGCAATAGGCACGCTAAGCGCAGAATACGATGTCTTGCACACCTGGCTCCAATGCAACCCTTCATACAAGCAAAACCGCCAATGCAACTCCAGCCAAACGCTTCTCTTCCCTTTCTACCATTCATCCTCCCCTCCCCTTCCCCCCAGCCACCTCAACACCCTCTCACACAATCTCACTAACTCAGCCTTATACTCACCTGACCTTGGCCTCCGCTCTGTTTTTTGCCTTGTTCACAGCGCCGACGTCGCTGCTCCCCAATGCGAATCCCCAGTCCCAGTCCCACTCCCAGTCCCAGTCACAGTCGCAGGCATCACAAGACTCTGATCGCGCTTGCTCGCTCATCCTCGCATTCACGCAGTTTGCGCGCGAGATCTGCAGCGACGGGCTCACCCAAGTCCACTTTGAAGCACCCTCTTCGGACGGTCTGCTCGCTCACGCAGGCGCTGCTGCCGTCGCTGCAGGTGCTGCTGCATCCACGTTAGCTTCGTCCAATAGTGCCAATGGAGGTCTGGGTGCCGGTGGCGCTGGTCCGGTCTTCACCCCGGCTGCGTCGGGCTACAGCTCGCCATCGCTCAAGCCAAAGTTCCGTGGAAACCGCTCGCGGGCTGATTCGGGCTCGGATTTGCTGCTCACGTCGACCACGGCGGTATCTGCGTCGGGCAGCATGGCCAACCTCGCGGCGGGCGGGATGGACTTGGTTTTGCCGTCCTCGCTGCTGTCTGCAGGCTCGGGCATTGCGTTCGTTGTCGAGCAAAACCCGCATCTCCTGGTGGCTGTATTCCACAAGAATATTCCAGCGACTGCAGCGCAGCGGATAGCACAACGCGACGCGACTGCGACTGCGACTGCGACTGCGCCGGACTGCAACGCGGCTCCGATGGCGTCCCCAGAGCATGTCTTTTGCCGAAACATTCTCAGCGCCTTTGATACCCAGTTCCAATCTGTCGTCGACGCCGTGATTCCCGAGCTCACTGTGCTTGCCAAGGACGAGAGCTTTGGCATTCACGACGTGCTTGTTCCGACCGTGGCGTCCAAGTTTACGGGCTTTGACGAGACGCTGTCGCGATTACAAAAGAGCTATGTCTTGCGTTCCGGCCGAGGAGGCAAGACCAGCTCAATATAGGTACTTGTGTGCTTGGGGGTTTATTGTCGTGTCTTGTAGTGGTGCTTTTGTGTTTGTCAATCACATTGTTTTTGATCGTTGTGTTGATTCAAAGTGCAGCAAATTGAATCAGCTTCTCTATGTCGCCCTTCATCTCCTGCTTTTATGAGTTGCCCGAATGAGGGTGCTCTGATGCTGTTGAATGTCACAATGAGCTGTTTTTCCAGCAAACCTCAGTGCATTGCCGTCCTCCACTCGTTCCACCGCTTCACAATCCAGCAGTAAAATCCTTCTCTGACGTGTTCATCCAAAACCCATGCATTATTACTATTCCAAAACGCTCAGTCATTTCTTAACCGCTCGCTGAGAAATCTGAGCAACCAACACAATGCAGGCTGCTGAGCTCCCGGCCAACCCGACGACCGCCGCTCCGACGCTGTCAGCCACTACTAGTGATGGTCGTGTGCTCATCAGCCAGGGTGCCGAGGCGGTGAGTGACAGCGGGGCGCGGGGGGAGGCTGCTCTAGCTTCAGCCTTTGAGCCATTGAGCCTGATGGGCGCTGTTGACTGCCAGCGACACTGACTTGAAGCTTGACTTGAATGCTTGACTTGAATGCTGGCAATGTGATTGAATGCGACAAAAAAGCGCGTCTATTCGGTGCTGCGGTCGCTGCCTGGCCATCCCGAGCCAAGGCGAGCAATCCTCAAGCAGCGATTCAAGAAGAACTACCGCCATCCATCGCTCGACAAGTCGCTCACACGGAGCAGAATCAGAGCAGTAAGCGTGAATTTTTGATGAATGGGAGTCGGGTTGGGGATCAACGGGGAGGGGAGGAGGAGGCTGCTTTTTCTGAGGCCATTGGAGCAGTGTTTCTCAGATTGTGAGGACTTGGTGTGCTCAACAAAATTACCATTGACATTGTCTGCAAAACAACCAGGAAGCCCGCTGTCTTACAAAGTTCAAGGAGACGCCCGCAGAAGGCGTCAATGTGCCGGAGCTGTACCATGTCGACTTTGACCAGAGCGCCATCTACCTCGAATACATTCCTGGCATCACTGTCAAAGCTGCACTGCTAGAGAATCTGTTTCCGCAAGGCAAGGCTACATTGTCAATGTGTTTGGGCCGAGCTGTGAAATTTTGCGATTGGCTCATCTTTCACTCGTCGAAATCGTGAACGGGAGCAGACATCCAGCACGAGCTTGTCCAGAGGATTGGGAAAACAGTGGCTTCGCTGCACAACTCGAATATTGTCCACGGTGATTTGACCACGTCAAACATGCTTCTTCGTGATCGGGATCCGACAAAGATTGTGAGGTCATTGTTTTGTTTCTCAGCTCGATTGTCGTCGCTAAACCTTCAAGCATGCTTTTGTTGCGCTGGGTTTTGCATGCATTGTTCCTTTTTTGGTTGGAGCAGGTCCTTATCGATTTTGGACTAAGCTACAATTCCACCACGCCGATTGAAGACAAGGGTGTTGATTTGTACGTTTTGGAGCGTGCCTTCCTCAGCACTCATCCGCAATCCGAATCTCTGGTATGGCTGAGGCCTTTGAACATCAGGCGCGCTCGTTTGGCTTTTGTGGTCGAGATGGAGCGTGCTAGGCTGGGTCGGTATTTCGCTGATTTCTTTTTTGTTTGTTTGTTTGTTTGTGTGTTTGTTTGATTTGCTTTGGGTTGTGCAGTTTCAACTTGTCCTCGACGCATATGCAAAACATGCTACCAGTGGCCCGGCAATCATCACGCGCCTTAACGAAGGTATGTTGCGTTGGATGAAGCCTTTCTTTGCTGTTCATCACTCTGTCGTTCCTTGTTTTGTTGATTGCCTTCTCTGTTACTTGTTCCCGATTTTTTTTCCAGTTCGGCTCCGAGGTCGCAAGAAGATGATGGTTGGATGATTATCTAGAGAGGGTGCACTCTGATAGATCTATTCGTTTGTCGCTCCAATCTTCACTTGTTTGCTCCCCCGACTCTTCAATACATCTCCCCGCTGCTCCTCCGAATATCTTGCAATTATTCTGTATTGCAAGTCTTTTGTGCTATTGTTTGACCAAAATCCCACCCAATGCAATGCCTCAATCAAATCTCACATGGTTTCAGTCTCCAAAATCTTTCCCCCCGCTTTGCATCAAATCAATGGGTGGTGGATCCAGTCGCCCTGTCCCGACCAAGCTCGGCCAGACGCTCGACCCCGAAGAGCATCAGTATCTCGTCCAAGTCTTTGACTCGATTGTGGCGATGCGCGAATTGACTGGCATCGACGCCGAGTCGCTCAAAGTGAGGGCCGAATTCGGGTTGGACTCTTCCCCCCTCCCCAATGCTACTCCTGCAGCAGTATTCATACTCAGCTGAGCCAATGACCATCATCGACTGTTGATGCACATGTTTTTGTCCGAGTTTACCGAGTTTTGTGGGAGGTGTTTCTATGGGAGAGGCTCTCTGAGATTCTACTCTGCTGTGCACTCACGTTCACCGAACAACTCGTGGCTGCACACAGGACTTTACCTTCCCACTGTCGTCCAAGGCGACCATCCGGCTATTCAACTACTGCTATGCACTGGCACACGCCAAGACGACCGCGGCCTCGCAGCACAGCCACAGCCACAGCCACAGCCACAGCCACAGCGGCAACAACGGCAGCGGAAGCGGGTCGTCGGCGGGAGGGCACCACCACACCGGCCACCTGGCCGCCACGGTCGGCCCCGGCGGCGATCTGAGCGCACTACTGAGCAAGCCAGAGTTCTTTGCGGCGCTGGCGAGCGGGTACAAGGACGGCGCAGAGTACCAGAAGGAGGTCTTCCGCGCGCTCTGGTGCGACATGACCATGCGCCCGGTCGTCTCGGACGCGTCGTACACGATGCCTGCTGACGAGGTCGAGCATATTCTCGGCAACATTGTGCGCGCCGTGCGGGAGCTCGGGTACAATTTCGCAGCCAACCAGCAGTTTGACGTGCTCGAGCGCAACGAGGCCAATGCCCAGCACGCGCCGTTCGTGCAGGCGTCGGATGGGGACGCTGCACAGTCAGCCAAGCTGCCAAAGTCACAGCCACCACCAGCCAATCCTCGCTTTGTCGAGTACCTGATGCGCCACATGGTCCCGGCGTTGCACGCGAGCGAAATTCTGGCAGCGTTTCACGAAGAGGAGGCCAAGGCATCCGAGGACCCGGCCTACGTCAAGAAGCCCCTCCAGTACGAAGCCGCGCTGCCCAGCGCCATTCCCATGTCGAGCAGCGCCTTTGAATCGTGGCTGCGGGCGTGTCCGTTGCTCTCCGCGCTCCTGCAGTCGCTCTTCCGACTGCTGATTGCTCGCGAGCTGCAGCAGACGCCGTCCATTTTCAAGTGCTCTCCGTTGTTGTCGCCTTCGCTCACTCCTCGGCTGTCCATGCTGCTCGACCAAGAGTCCTTGTGGATGATCAACTCGCAACTACCCACCGATCTGCGCCGCGAATGGCGCCGCGTTTATCTCAACACCGAGAACGGCGACAGCTTCAATCGGTTTGCCTCCAGTCTCGAGCAGGCGTACACCCCCACCGTCATCATTGTGCAAGACAAGGGTGGACACATTTTTGGCGGCTTCTCGGCGACAAAGTGGGCCATTAACTCGAACTTTGTTGGTAGGTGTTTTGTGTTGGGCCAAGTTTCAATGTATTCTTCCCAAGCTCATTGTTGACAACACAACAACACCACTCCCCAATTGCGATGACCACAGGTTCCGAACACAGCTTCCTATTCTCGTTGGTGCCCAAAATGCGCGTGTACCCGTCGACCGGCCTTAACTCGAACTTTGTCTACTACAATCAGGGGATGAAGACTTTGCCAAACGGAGTGGTATGTGTGTGGACGAAAGTCGTTGACGATGGTGTCCTGTATCGTTGGGTTTGGCATGCTGGTGGTGGCTGGCGACACGACGACTTACTTTGATACCACTTCAGGCATTTGGAGGGCAGTTTGACTATTTCGGCCTGTACATTGACAGCGCGCTTCACAAAGGACACAGCAAAGGCCACCCCATTAGTAGCACGTACAGCAATCCATCCTTGTCATCCACCCCAGAGTTTCAGGTGGATCGCGTTGAGGTCTGGTCGGTGGGACCGCTGCCAGATCCCGAAACGTTGGAGACGGCGTCAAAGTCAAAAGCCGGTGCGAGCATTTTGGACGATGCAGCCGAGCGTGCCATCATGGATATGGCCGGCAAGCCGCACTACAGTGACGGCATGCGAGCCAAGAAAGAAGACGACGACGACACCTTAGAGACGGGGAAATCCACCAAGAGCCTGGCAAATGCATAGTTGGCTAAAGATGTGCTGTGTTGTGCCTAAAAAACAACCTGATTAGAACTATTTGTACGAAAATCCATTCACATTTTTTGACACGCGCTTTGAGCACAAAAAAGATGCCACCATTCACATACGCTCAACGGTAATGAGCAAACCAACAAGTACAAAGACGTCAAAAGCAAAAACACTGGTCTAAAAAGGAACAACAAGAAACGGACTGCGACAATCGACATGTCTAAAGAACCGGAGCAGCCACCTTTGCAACCACAAGAGCTTGGTGCAAATCTTCCACAAGGTCTTCCGCATCTTCAATGCCAATGCAGAGTCGGATCAGGTCCTCGGGCAGGGCGCGCTCTTTGCGCACATGCGCGGGAATACTGGCATGCGACATGCGACATGGCATGCTGATGAGCGAATTGACGCAGCCAAAGCTGACCGAGATCGAGAAGAGCTTGCACGCCTCGACAATCAGCTGGGAGGTCTCGGTGGATCCTGTCTCAAAGCTGAGCACTGCACCGGCTCCGGTGGACTGCGAGTCGTGCAGCGCCTTCTGAGGGAAGGACGCCAAGCCAGGGTAGTGCACTCGCAACCCGGTGGATTCCAGGAACTGGGCCACGCGATGGGCGTTCTGCTGCTGCTTTTCCATGCGCACGCCCAAGGTTTTGATGCCACGCAGCAGCAGCCAGCAATCAAAAGGCGCGAGTCCACAGCCGCTCGCGTTGATGATAAAGTACACGTCGTCCGCCACTTTGGGGCTTGAGACGGCAATCACGCCTGCCATGAGATCGTGGTGTCCGCAGAGATACTTTGTGCCAGAGTGGTACTCAATGTCCACACCGAGCTCGAGCGGCCGTTGCAGGTACGGCGACATCATGGTGTTGTCGACAACGACAAGCGCATTGGGTGCGCGCTCCCTGGTCAATCGCACGACTCCTGCAATGTCTGCGACGCGAATCAGCGGGTTGGTTGGGGTCTCCAGCAACACGAGGCGGGTGTTGGTGCCGAGCGCCTCCGCCACCTGCGCCAGGTCTGTTGTGTCGACGTGCTTGGTGTGAATCCCTTGTCCTTCCAAGAATTTGAGGAGTCGGTTTGTGCCTGGAGGGCCACAAAAGTCCGAGGTGCACGGTTAGAATGGATGGGAGGATGGAGGGCGATCAAAACAAGTATTCAACGAAACAAACAACGAAACAAACAAAACAAAACGAAACAATTGAGAAACCAACCTCCGTAAATGTCAGTGCCCGCGACAATTTCCTGTCCAGTTCGCACGAGACGTGTAATGACATCCAAGGCGCTCATTCCGCTTGATACGGCGAACGCGCGATGCGCGCCACAGAGTTTGGCGACGTGTTTTTCTAAAGAGACAACGTTGTTCATAAATGAGCAAAGCCACACGTTTCCAGAAGATCGGATTCGAGGCGAGTGGTTTTCCAGGTATCCGCAATCCACGTGCGATGGCAGATCACACAGAGTCATGGATTGTGAGATGGACATGCATGTGAGGCAACAGAACGAGCTTTGTGTGATCTCTGTCGTTTCGCTTGATTGTTTGGTATTCAAAAAACGATCATCACTCGAAATGCATTGCTCAAGAGCCACACATTCGCACCGATCGTGCTTTGTGCTGATCTGACCGTGACTTGGGGTTGGGTTCGGGTGACTTGGCGATGACGGAATCGCGCACAACGACAGCTCGAACATGCGAATGCAAAAGTAGATACAAGATGGGATCTTACCGAGGGCAGTGCGGGTTGGGTTGCCAGAGCGAGTGTAGTCGTACTCGCCATGCGCGTCGGCGGACGTCTGCTTGAAGGTGGCTGTCTGGTAGATGGGAGTGGACGCCGGGTTGTAAGGGTCCTTGAGCGACGATTCGAGCGTGACCACCTGCGTCGCGAGGCGGTACCGCGGCCCCAGCGATGTCGACGACGCAGACGCAGACACGGTGCCTGATGCGGGTGGCGTCGCTGGGTTGGGTGCGACGGCGGTGGCTGGGGCAGAGTCAGAAGAAGAAGAAGAAGCGGACGATGGCGGCTGGACACTGCCAGATTGGGACGATGGCGTATGCGGCGGGGACGGCGGGGCGGACGTGCACTGCATGGCTTGGGACTACTTGAGGAGGGAGGGTGGAGAGAGGGGAGGGGAGATTGAGTTTGTCGAGGGGATGAGGTTCGTGAGAGACAAAGTAAGGAAGTGAATTGGTGAGTTGCTGGGTCAGTGGTAGTGAAATCTGCGGTTTTTGTTAAGGACTGACGGACTGGAATGAGAAGCATGGCCATTCGACATTGACATTAGCATGGGTGTATTGTGAATGGAACAAACATCAAAACACGGGACAGTGCAAACGAGTCGGCGATGGCAGTCTTTCAGCAAAAGCAGTTGGATTGTCAAACACTGTAAAGACTTGCCGCATCATCACAGTCGTCCGGCAAAAGGCCCGGCAGCTCGACGAGTGCAAGTAGCCTGGTCTGTTGAGATCAGGAATTGGGGGAGTGAGCTCGGCAGTTTGTCAAAAAGGCGGGTTGGCAAACCTACACAGTTCCGACGCACTTCCAGATTTGGCAGCGTCCCTTCTGTGCTCGTTCAGCCAGCGCGTACTATAAAAGGATTTCAACCCCAAAGCCAGTTGTTCTTCAGTCTTCCTTTTCCCCCTCTTCTTGATCGCCGACGTGTAGCAGCCAAACCGCTTGCAGCTCCAACCAAACCTTTGCCAAACCATCAACTTTTGAACGCAACATCCCTCCCATCATGCATTTCTCGCCCGAGTGCCTCGCTCTCTTCAACAACATGCAGCGTGGCAAGGCCAACCATCGTTTTGTCATCTTCACCATGAACGACCAGGGCTGCGTCGACATTTCGCAGCTTGGCAGCGAGACCGCCGAGTTTGACGAGTTTGTTGCAGCATTGCCAGCGAACAAGGCGCGCTATGCCCTGTACAACCTCCAGTACACCGCTCAAGACACCAGCACTCGAGTGCTCGTTGCTCGCCACAAGCTCATCTTTGTGCAATGGATTCCCAACGAATGCAGCGGCAAGGACAAAATGTTCTACGCCATCAACGCTCCAGGCGTGCGTCTCGCCGGCCCGAGCACAAACACTTGCGTCCAGGCCTGCAGCATGGCCGACCTCGATCTTGATGCGATCAAGCAGTCTGCCGCACGCTTTGAGGCCGAGAAGCTTGTTGTCTGAATGGACGAGCGCAAAAAAAAAAAAAAAAAAAAAACTTGAAAATGTTTTGATTTGGTTGTTTCTGTGGTGCTTTGAGTTTCTGAGTAAAAATAATTGTAATGTTGAGTAAGTTATGAAAAGGAAAGTGCTCAGATTTTGTTTAAGAGCATTGCTGAAAGAAAGAAAAAGAGAAATCGTTTTGTTCGTTAAAAAATAAAAAAAAAAAGTAGCTGCAGTAAGACTACCCCATTGCCTCTCCTCGGCGCGCACAACGTGAGCTCGGTTGCATGAGCAACGAGACAGCACAGGCAAACGTCGAGAAGGCGTTCATTAACGAGGCGGCTGCATGGCTTTTGACAGCCTTGCATTAGAACACGCCTCCACTTCGCGCTCAAGCAACGAGGTTATAGCTCATCAACCTGCATGGGAGACTTGTCTTTGTTGAGCAACAAAGACGGGATGCAGACTAAAGAAATGATCCTTTAGAGTGCGGTCTTACCGAACAAATGCAACTGCAAAAAACTCAAATCGACAAAAAGAGGCCGAGTGCTCATCCACGTGTGACCATGAGGCCGGCCGTTCCGCGTGTGGCGCATTCTGCATTATGGGTGGGAAGGGTGGTCGGTAGCAACACGCTGCTGCAGCACGACGGCGCCCGAAACGAGCACCAAAATGCTCGAGGAGGTCGTTGGCATTGGAGGGGAGGGGAGGGGAGGTGGGGTGTGCTGCGAAGCGGAGTTGTCAATTGGAGGGGACGATGAAGCAAACCAAACAGGCCAAAGCAGTTGCTGCGTGTTGTGCACGAAAGTAAAGTCATTGTAGTAGATGCAGCCGCAAAAGCAATGCAAGGAAGGTGCATTGCCGTGTGTCGAGTTTGATTGTGGATTTGCCGTGTCGAATGGTGTTCTCGTTCTGCTTCTTTGCCGCCGCTTCCATCCAGATATCAAAGTCCACACTGCAAGCAAACTAATTCATGAATCAAGAGCGAATAGAGGGGATGGAGAATGCTCAGAGCAACGCACACCAAAAATCCAGAATTTTGCGTCGCACAATCGAAACACAACCAAGCTCTACAGAAAATCAACACATCACAACGCACTCATCATCAAGGACTGCTGACTGGCGATTCGGTGGGTGCAGGGACCGCGGCAGTGTCGTCGGCAGTCGCAGCAGCAGCAACAGCAGAAACGGGTTGGTCGGCAGCTGATTCGCCCCCTCCACTGCTCGTGGTGATGGCAGAGGCCGTCGTTGACAACACGGATGCCGTGCGATTGCGCTTCTTTTCGTGCTCCGTGTCTTCCATGGAGCGACACAGCGCTTCGGACTCGTATACTGAAGCCGGAAAGTGTTCCAAAAGTTGTTAAAAGTTGTTGAGATTGAAACCGGTTTGTTGCCCAGTCCGGAGATTCCGATCATGAACACGATCGTTTTGCATCAAATCGTAGAGCATGCATGATGTTGTTGCATGTTTCGTTTTGGCATCACAGGTGAGTGAGTTTCCATTGCCATTGTTCCAGCAAAACTCAACTCAGAGCTTTCCCGTTTCTCTCATTCTCAACAAACGAGCCACCCGGACGATGATGACGGACTCACGTTTCACTTGGAGCGATGACAGATGCTGGCTGAGCAGCTCGAGTGTGTCTGGCAGCAGCACCGTGTCGGCGGCAGTCATGAGCTCGAGCGACGAGGACAGATTCTGCACGTCCTTCTCGCCTCGTCGTTGCTAAAGTGGCAGCAGCAAGAGCCGTTGAGGATCGTCATCATCATCATCATCATCACCACCAATCAATCATGAGCAATTGTAAGCATTGCAAGCAGCTTTCAGCACTGGTACCTCAAACTCCTTGACAAACGCTTTGGCCTCGCGCTGTGCGAACGCAGAGTGGTCCATCAGCTGCGTGTGGATGCCGCCGATGTCTGAATGCATTCGAATCAACAATGCATGAACAGAGAATGCAAACACGAAGCAGGCAGCAGTGACAAGACCGTGAGCGAGATTATTCAGCTCTCTTCCAATCCCAATCCACTCTCAGAGACTGTGAGTGCAGGTTTGCTTTGCCTTTGACAATGCCATCGAATGAAGTCATAGTATAGTTAAACAAGGAAAGACTGATTGCACGATGACACGATTTCAATGCACTGCAGTGCATGAATCCATCCATCGTCCCTCTAACTCCAGCTCCTCAACCTGAGGCAGCATCTCAAAAACGAACGAATACATCCATTGACAGGTTGATTCTCAGATTTTCTGAGATTTTCTCAGTCCTCTATTTTGCATTGTTTCCCCACCACAGTTGCAATGTCCGACACTGCGCTGAGCGGCGACGACGCTGCGCTCCATCATCACCCTCACAGCAGCGATGATCACAGCGACGACCAGCCCACCAGCAGCAGCACCAACAGCAGCAGTCATACTACTCATAGTCATAGTCATAGTCATAGTACCAGCAGTCGTGAGTAGTTTGTTAGTAGGACGAGGATTCGCATCCGTGTCGGAGTTCTGCATACTGGCTTCACTCAACGCCCTGCGACCCCCCCCCCCTTTCGCTGCGTTCTGTTGTTGCTGTTATTATGCGTGTCAGATTCGTATTCCGCTGCTGTTGCTGCCGCCGCGAATGCAGTGCCGGACGTGGCCCAGCTGGTGCTCGCAGTGCTGCCGCGCTTCCTCGTTACGCCCGAGGTCGCCCGCATCGCCCGCTCGTTCGACGCCACGGCGCACAAGATGCTCGCCAAGCACCTCCACGAGCGACCCTCGGCCACAGTGTTTGCCGTGCTGCTTGCGCTCGGATCGCTCGTCCCGGTCTCCATCTTTATGCTCTACCTCGTATTTGCCACCTTCCTCCTGCTGGCTGGATTTCTGCTCGTCGAGTGCGCAGCCATCTTCATTGGGCTGGGATTCCTGATTGCCACCGTCATTGGAATTGCCGCGTTCTGCTTTGGAACAACCGTCTTTATCGTCACTGCAACCTGGGCTGTTCGCGTGATTGCAGGGCTGCTCGAGATTGACATTGCTGCGACCGTTGCGAGCCAACGCATTGTTCGCACGCGCGCCGCTGCTGCTGGACAACAGCCATTCCGTCATCATCATCATCATCATCAAGAAGTGCCACTGCTCGCTCAACAACTGCAGCAGCAGCAGCAGCAGCAGCAACAGCAGCAACAGCAGCGACAGCCTCATGTTGTGCATCTCCAGCGCTCGCCCATTACGATCGAGGCTCGTTCTACCAACGGCGAATGAGCCAAGATTCGAGCTCTCTTTGTTGCACGTCCTCATTCTCGTCCTAGTCATTGTTTTCCCTGCATCTCTGGCGCTCGCCCCATGACAATCGATCCGAGTTCTGCTATTCCCAACCCCCGTCCTCGTTTTTGTTATCGTTTTTTGTATTTCCCTATGCAAGCTGCTGCACGACACAGTTGTCCTTTGATGGTGAATCTGAAGCTGCTCGAGTGCATGCTTGCTTGCTTGTCGCTTTCCACCGTGTTTTTGTCGTGTTTGCTGTGCGTGAATATCACTTTAGTCGATTCTCTGCCTGTCTATTCACCCTTTCAAACAGTCTCCATTTTCGAAACCAAACAAACAAACAAACAAAAATGCTCAAACAGTGCTTCATTGGCATCGACGTCGGAACGGGCAGCGCGCGCGCAGGACTGGTCGCCGTGGACGGACGGTGCGTAGTGCCAGCCGCCCCAACCGCCACACTGCTCTCATGCTTTGTTTGAGCCTGCTACACACTTGATTCAGGGGGTATTGGTTGAGACAGCGAGCGAGCAGTAGTCCGACGTGAAGTTCGCATTGAGCCAATCTCATCCTCGCCAGTCCCACCAACGCAGAATGATTGCCAAGGCGACTCGCGATATCAAGACATGGAACACGCGGGACGACTACTACGAGCAGTCATCGGACGACATCTGGCAGGCCTGCGTCGAGTGTGTCAAGGTAAACAGATGAACAGCTCAGATCACTGCTGAATCTGAGATTGTACAACGGTAAAAGGTAACGCACTAACGACTATCACCCAAATGCGACATCATTATTGCAACATGGAATCAGGACGTACTTGCACAAGCGAGCGCCTCCGATGGCGTCCGGAAGGAGGACGTTCGCGGATTGGGATTCGACGCGACGTGCTCGCTGGTTGTGCTGGATGAGGCAGCAGCACCGGTGACCATCAGTCCCGACTCACTGGACAATCAACGCAACATTATTGTGTGGATGGATCATCGCGCGTCCAAGGAGGTAATCTGCGGCAAAGAGGCATTCGATCGTTTTCTGCTCGAATTGTTTGTTGGTTTCGCTCACCGATTTCGTTCATTCAGGCCGCAGAAATCAATCAAACAAACCATAACGTGCTCAATTATGTCGGCGGCAAAGTATCGTTGGAGATGCAAATGCCAAAGCTGCTCTGGTTAAAGCGAGTACGTAAACTGCGCGTGTTCACATTTTCAACCACTCGTGCACCAACTCACCTTCCACGCCTGACTTTCTTGTTCCCTCAATGAGTCGTAGAACATGCAAGAGGCGTGCTGGACCCGGGCAGCTCACTTTTATGATCTACCGGACTTTCTTACCTTTCGCGCCACGGGTTCCAGCGTGCGGTCGCTGTGCTCGCTTGTGTGCAAGTGGACGTACATGCACCACCCTGCTCATGTTGCAGCGAACGCTGCCACTGTTGGGTGGTCGAACTCTTTCTTGCAGCAGGTTGGCCTGGACGACTTGGCAACTGACAATTATGCGCGACTCGGAACCCAGGTCCAAGCTCCTGGATCGCCCATCGCCAATGGGCTTAGTGCAGCTGCGGCCGCCGAGCTTGGACTGCTTCCCGGCACCCCTGTTGCCACCTCTTTGATTGATGCACATGCCGGAGGTGTGGGCGCACTTGGAGCTCGTTCGGACGCGTCGACGTCTGTCAACTTGCCCGAGCGATTGGCCCTGATCTGCGGCACCTCTTCCTGCCATATGGCACTGAGTGCCGAGCCTCTGTTCGTTCCTGGTGTATGGGGTCCCTACTACTCTGCCATGGTGCCAGAACTGTACCTGAACGAGGGAGGACAATCGGCGACTGGCAAACTGGTGCGGTTCTCGTTGCCTGTTGTTGAAGCTTTGTGTTTTTTGGTAGTCTGGGGGTGTGCTGAAAAATGCTTGATCTCCCTTATCAGATTGACCACATCATTAAGCGTCATGCAGCGTATCCGGAGCTTGCCTCCCAAGCTTTGGCACGGTACGTTCCCAGCGTTGAGTGTTGCCTTCGAAGCTGCGCATCCTCACCTTCCAATGCTTACTTCGTGAGGTAGTCAACGTGCGCCGACTGCCCTCTTGACAGAGACGTTGACCGTGATGGCTGCCAGGGCTGGTGTTCCGATTGGTACGCAAATTCTATTTTTTTCTTTTCGTCGTGATTCTTCTTGCTCTCAATTCACCCGTATTGATGCTTGTCATCTTGCTTGTACTCGCAACACAGCAACCCTTTCCCGAAATGTGCACGTCCTGCCGTACTTTCACGGCAATCGCTCGCCGCTGGCTGATCCATCGCTTCGCGGCTCTATCGTGGGACTCAGCTTGTCAGAAACGATCGAGGACCTTGCCGTACTGTACCTGGCGACAGTACAAGCGATTGCTGTAGGTCATCGAAATGGACGCCAGTCTAATTCAGTGGTTTTTTATTCTTATTTTTGCTTTTCACGTTGGTAGTATGGCACGCGTCACATTCTCGAAACAATGGCCAGTCGGGGTCACTCGATCACAACTCTGGTGGCATGTGGTGGACTGGCCAAAAGCAGTCTGTTTGTTCAACAACATGCGGATGTGTCGGGTAAGGGGTGAAGCCTTTTGCAATGTGCAGAGTTCATTGCGGCCCCCTCACTGTCGTCCGAAACTTAGGTTGCACCATTCTGCTGCCCAAGGAAGAAGAGTCCGTTTTGCTCGGCGCCGCCATCCTTGGTGCGTGTGGATCACGTCATTTCCCCTCCATCCAAGTAAGAATCAAAAGTGTTGAGCTTCAGCTGCTCCTCGGAACATTGTCTCGAACATGCAATTGTTTGCTTGTTTTTTGTTTTGGCCCAACAGGATGCAATGGCCTCCATGAGCGGAACAGCCAGCACAGTCACCCCAGACGCCACACTGCGCAGCTTCCACGAAGCCAAGTTCAAAGTGTTCCGACGCATGCACGAGGACTTTTTGTTTTACCGCACCACGATGGAAAAGACCGAGTAGTCAGTGGAAATAGGGGGAAACAAAAAGCAAAAGCAAAACATGGGAATTCAAGTAAAATACAAATCAATTTTGGTAGTGGACAATTTGTACATGGAAAAAGTTGTGTTAGTCTGCGACATGGGGTGTCGGCGGGTTTGCCGGTGCTTGCGCCTGTTGGAGCTGACCAGAAAGCGTCACGGAGCGTCCGTACTGCTCACCACCGGATGCATCATCGCTGCTGGTGGCACGGAAGGACGACGACCGCGAAGTGCGACCGCTCGCAAAGGCGGGCATGCCGCGCGGAAGTCGCTCGCGCTCGGCGTACAAATCCAGCACGCGATTCTCAAGCGCAATGTTCGCGTTTCGAACTGCAGTGAACTTTTCTTCGGTCGAGCGTTGCAAACTATCGGCAAGGCCGCGAGCGACCTCAAAGTCTCTGCGGAGACCCTTGAGCGCGGCCTCGCTGTCGGCAAGCTTCTCTTCGGCCGTCGCGGCCCGCCCTTCGGCCGCGCGCAGCCGCTGTTGCAACGCACCTGACCGTGCCTGTTCGTCTGCAATTTCCTGCTGCGCCATGCTGAGCGCGAGCAACGACTCGTCCGTCACACGACTCAGCTGCTCGTGGACAACCTGCACCACCGCAATGCGCTTATCGTCCTCATCGTCGCGTTGCAGAGTTTCGTGCGAGAGCGTCTCGACTTGCTTGCGCAGAGCCTCCATCGTGGCGAGCTGCTTTTGCGCGACTTCTAGCCGACCTTCCAGCAGCCGGACTTGAGTTTGCGCCTGCTCGGCTGCATGCCGGAAGCGTGTCGTCTCCAACTGCAGGGCAGTGAACGAGTCGTCCAGCTTGACGTTCGTCTCGCGAAGGGCAAGATTTTCTTCCAGGTTGCGTCGCAGCGTCGCCTGCAAATCCCGCTCCCATTTGGTTTGTCGCTCCAGCGTCTGCTGGTGCTCCAAGCGCTGCTTCTCGAAGGCCTGTTGGAGACGCACCGAGTCTTTTCCGCGCATTTCGATTTGCAGGCGCTGTTGCAAACGGAGCACACACACCCACAAAAAAAAAACCAACAAAGTCATCATTCATTGAGCCATAGCCACAGAATTCCTCGCTTCCAGCTTGAGCCAGCTGCATTTCCCAACAAAAAAACCAACCAACAAACAAAGAAACATACCAGCATTTTGACTTCAGTCTCGAGGAAAGAGCCGCGCTGGGCGTTTTGCTGCAGTTTGCGGGCTCGATGATCGTCAAGCTCACGAGCGACTTTTTCGTAGAGCAGCTCATTGCGTGCAAGAACGAGCTGAGTTTGAAGTATTTGAACGTCTGTGGGGAGCGGATGCAAAACCGACACGGCTGCTGCAGAAGTCGCTGGCGACGAGGAGCTGGCCTCAACAGGCGCCACCATTGCATCGTCGGTGGGCACCGAGTTCACAGGACTCTCAGCGATGGGTAGCATTGTTGAACTAGTGGCAGGCGGGAACGCAAGGGCTCCAACAGCAGGCGAGGACGGCGTTTTGGGCGACGGCGAGCTCGAGTTGTTGGCACTACCTGCACCCACACTAATGCGTCGAAGCATGGTGGAAATGCTCGATGCGCGCTGTTGCCGCTGAGGCGTAGAGGAGGAGGAGGAACCGGACGACGTCAACCCAGCAGTCGGCAGAGCGTTTCGCGAGGCCTCATGTAGCTGATGCAAATGGTTGGAAAGCCACGTCTGGGCATCGGAAATTTGCTGGAAAACAGCTGAGGCCTGTGTCATTAGTCCAAACAAGAGCAACAGCATGTTACTTGGGTGAGACATTCAACATGCATGACGCCTCAAAACCATCCACGGTGAACAACAACAACAGCAAACGCACCGCTGCCCCTGGCGAGGAACTGGAGCTGGGTTTGACACCAAAGGAAAGCGTGTCCAACTCGTCGAGCAACGTATCATCGTCAGGCGAAAACTCGTCTCGAGCGGGACTGGTGGAGATTGGCGTGCCGCTCGCACCAAACACTGCGTCCCAAAGGGACTTTTCTTGACGAACAGCACCCTGGACAGCATCATTGCCGAGAATGTCCCAACTGGAGGCGCGTAGCGAGGCCAAGGACATGAGCTGGCTGGTCGTCACGGCTTCCGAGGCGCGATTCACCGGTTCCTGGAGTTTGGAATGCAGGGGAGCCGCTGTTGTGGGCGCAGAGCCAACTCCGCCCTTGCTCAAGCGCAAGCCAAAGCTGGGCGACGACGGAGGCGACTTGTGAGAGGAGGCCAATGCATCAGCGGGATCTGGAAAGGCTGGAAACGAAAACGCGCTCGTTGGTATGCTCGAGCTGCTGGTGTGAGGAAGTGCCGTTGCGCGGGGGAGCGTTTCGCCAGGTTGCGGTGCCGCAGATGGCGGCGCTGAATTCGAAACAGCGACTAGTCCATGGAAAGTCCCAGCAGGGATGTCGTCTCCAGAAGCCGAGCCCAAAACAAGGGATGGGTGCAAGCCGACTTGAATCAACAGTGGCTAAGCAGGGTCGGAGGAGTAAAAGTAATCGTAGCAAGGCAACAAAAAGTCAGAATCGATGGGCGAAAGACAAAGGGATGAGGGAGAAAGAAGAACCAGAATCAACCTACCCGCAAAGAGTCCTTAAATTCAGTTAGCAAGGCTCGGTCTTGCGCAGCCATGGCATATCTCGTGCGCAAGGCGTTGAGCAGGCTATTGGGCATGGTGCTATAGAGCAAACGAAGCAGCGCTGTCGAGCTTTGACGCATGTGCGTTTGCACTCCAGCATCGGCGGCGAGTTTTTCGGCGGAGGGTTCATTCTCGCTCACATGGGCTGCATTCACATGCCAACACAGGAAGCAGTGAGTGGACTCGGAGCGTTTGGTGCCCAGAAAATATGTCACCAGATCCTCACTTACCGAGAACAATCCATGTGGATGTCGCGAGGTTTGACGTTGAACCCATCGACGAGCGGTTCATGGACTCATCCAGATGCAGCGATGGCAAGTCAAAGTTGCCAGACAGCCTGGACCCGAAGAAGGCCGACGAACGGGGTGTGTTTGCCACAGTCGAAGCCGCCAGCGACGCCCGCGCGCTCTGCGAGCCCAGAAATGCGGCGGATTGTGGCTGGGACTGTGCCTGCGACGCGCGTACACTTCCTGCGGAAAGAGACGAAGAGAAGGCGCCGACGGTTTGCGAAAACTGCTGCGCTTGGCGCTCTTGGATTTGCGGCCCGTCCAGCACGGCCTGTTGCCATCGCAAAAGCCGAAGAAACGTTGGAATAAGGTCTTTCACAATTCGCTCCAGGTTGAGTGTGATTCGCGGGAGAGCCATGCAGAATGCCATGCACGCGGTAGATAGCGCCACAATATGGCAATCAAACTGGGGGAAACGTAAAGTTTGTTCGTTAGCTGCCACACAAAAACAAAAAACAAACAAACAAACAAACAAACAAACAAACAAAAAACCCGAGTGCGCCCCAATAACCCCACAAGGCAGCTCTTTCATCCAACAGGTGCTTTACTGATAAAATAGAGATCAGGTGTGGATATAGCGGCGAGTCGTACAAACGGTCGGCAAAGCTCTGAGACAATCAAGCAAAAATCCAAAAAGTCAGTGCCAAGAGCTACCAATACAGACTCACGCAGCCTTACCGGTCGACGAAGTGCCTGTGCAGTTAATAGCAATGCCGCGATACGGGAATGTGGCGAAACTAAATGGTCGCTGACATGGGCCAACAACCGCTGCACAAAGTTTTAGAAAGAAAAGAGTTGAGCGTCGGAATTACAGCCAGAACATGCTGGGCAGCCTCAATAAATGCTCACCGCTGCCTGGCTGTCGTCGACCGAGACAAGAATGGCTGCGGCATTGCGAGATTTGGAGGAAAAGTGACAGTGGACACAGGCGGCGAGAAAGTTGGAGTCAGCTCGACATAGCTCCAGCAACAAGGGCTTCAAGTAGCGCCAAAGCTGTGCATCACTGGAATCAATGTTGGCAAGTAACTCTGAATGCCACGAGTGAAGTTTATCGACGGGGACGGTGCCGTCCAGCACGAGAGCGTGAAGAAATCGAACGAGCACGGTGAGCTGTAAAGTGTTCAAGCCGTGGGTCGTTCCGCTTCCACTCGTTGCCTGTGCTGCTGACTGAGATTGCGCCAACGCTCGCACATTGACCAGCACACGATCGAGCGCATGGGCGGCAGCCGCAGCACCGCTCGGGGTGACAGAGTTGCTGGCTTGAGTACTCGCACCGCCACCGCTGGACAATCCTCCCGACGAGTGAGTGCCTGAGCTTGCTACGTTGCTGGCAGCGGTGGCAGATGCTCCTGCGGTCGAGCCTGTGCTGGTGTTTGCTCCAGCGGCGGTCGCGCTTGAGGCATGACTGTGGCTGTGGCTGTGACTGTGATTGCCATGGCTCGTGTGACCATGGCTGCCATGACTATGACTATGGCTATGGCCGTGTCCATGGCTTGACGATGACTGCGCCTGTGCTTGTGCTTGCGCTTGGGCGAGGCTCGAGTTGGTCGCGCTCGCAGCGAGGCGCACAAACTGGACGAGGCGATCGCTCGTGAGCTCGTCAAACAGGCCGCTCTGGACGCACTGCGACACTGCGCGCGAGATTGTGAGCGAGTCAGTCACCGCAGCAGGAGCAGGAGCAGGAGCAGCAGCGGCAGGAGCATTGGCTGAAGAAGTGGGCGCTGCGCCAGACTGAGGAGCAGCCGCCGACGCCAATGCTGCGGATGGTGATCCTGAAGCACCACCAGACGACATTGTGGACGAACCGGCGGAATGGACAGCGGAGGTGGAGGAGGTGGTGGTGTGGTGGGTTCGGCTTTGGTTGCTGCCCTGACAGTGAATGGGAACGAAAGGACTGAGACTGACTGAGACTGACTGAGACTGACTGAGGCTGAATGAGATGAATAGAACGGAAATGCTCAGAGCGAGTTGCTAGCAAGCATTCGCGTGTGGAACAACAAAAACGAGATGATTTTCATGCATGACAATGCCCCTTGTCACAAAAGAAAAGATGTGGCGAAGTGGTTCGAAACCAATCAGATCACCGTCCTGGACTGGCCTGCGAACTCTCCCGACCTCAACCCCATCGAAAATGCGTGGAACATGGTCAAGAACAAGATCTACCAGGAGAGGGAGATCAAGAGCAAGGCCGCGTTGTGGGAACGCTTCCAAGCGGTCTACGAAGAAGTGCTCACGCCAGAGGTCTGCCGCGATCTCATTTCATCGATGCCGCGCCGCATTCAAGCTGTGATAGATGCCAATGGTGGTTATACCAAGTACTGAAGTGGAGCGAAGGCGCTGCGACACGTTGTTTGTGTGCCATGTAATGCTTTGTGAAAATTGGGCAAAAAATCGGCTCTTTTTCTGTTTTTTTGAGTTTTCATTTTTGTCTGTTCTCGTTTCGAATCTTAACTCCCAGCCCGCTGCTTCGCTTCTAGAATGTGTCTGGTACACTGTACCATGAATGCGCATTCCGCGGGCGAGACGGAAAGCAACACAGGTCCCAGGGAGGGCGAAAAAGTGAAAAAAGAGGGGATCGGGATAGTGTTATGTTATTATTTATTTATTCATTCATAACTTAAACATTCTTAAAAAAAAAGGGGGGGGGGGCGCTTTCTCATTTACCATCCAAAAACCGTGTGACCAGTGTGACCAGAGGGGTACATGGGAAATATAGTACTCGACCAATTTACCCATTTGTGGGTGTGTGACCAAAACGGCGAAAAAATGGGGGAAAAGGTGAGACAAAGTTGACAATGGGGTGGTTGGATAGGTCGAGATTGCTCCACCATTTAGTCACACCCACACTACCCATAGAGAAAAGATGCAAAGGGCCCCCCCCCCTCCCCTGACCCCCTGATTTTAAACTTCTTTCAACTTTTGTTTCAAATTACTGATTGAGCTTCTGCAGTCCTTTTTCAATATTTTCAATGCCGGTTTACATTTTTGTGCAGACAGATCTTATGTTTAATGGCGTGTTCAGCGCTGTGACTCAGTTGTCTCAACGTCGTCAGATTGGTCATCTTGGATATAAGAGCGTGACTAACGCCTGTATCGTCAATCGTGAATCAATCGATACCTTCGACAACGCGTACCATTGGGCTCGAACAACTGCTGTTATCTTGCGGAACTTTATGATCGAGGCGTGTAATTTGCCCCTCTTTCCCTCAAATGCGCAAACGACCATTCCCAACCAAAGAACGACCCGGATCGATGCTGCTGGAGAACAAATCTCGATCACCAGTCTCGTTGAGGAGGCCGAGCGGGTTCGAGACAGCTATGACCAGCTTTTCCCTCACTATCTGCTTCAAGACAGTGCGAACTCTGCGAACTCTGCTCCCGGATCCTTCGTCCGTCGTGCTGTCATCGTGGTGCGTGATACCACGACTGATACATGGCGTCTCTACGATCTCCACACAACTCTGCGCTGGCAACGGATGCCCAATCCGAGCACCGAATGGAAAACGGTTGGAACGGTGACCTGTGTTGGCGGCATTGTCACAAAAGACGCCAATGCTGATGCTTGGAAAAGACTGCTCCTTCTTATCGAGGATGACGATGATGCCTCTATGAAACGTGCCGATGCCATCGTTGAGGCTCTGGTTGCGGATCTGAAGAAGCTCGATGTCAACCCCAACAAGTAACTTTGCTGGTTTTTTTTTTTTTTTTGATAGGTGTCATAAAAAACAATAAAAAGTGTTTTGTTTATGTGTTCGGCCAATCAAATCATCCATTTCAAGGGTTCGGTTCCCGAACTTTTTCAAAATTTCGGAAGTCCAACACCTCGCGCGGCATCACCAGCCAATCAGATCGCTCGGCGCTGATGCCCTCGGTGATAAGATCGGAAGTTTTTGGCCAAACAACCCAAAATGGGTACAAACACCCAAATTCAGACGCTTCGAACAACAAACAACCCGATTCGGATGCTTCGAACAACAAACAAAAAGATCAAAAACCAAATTCGAATTTCAGTCCAGCTCGTCTTGCAGTTTTTCAGGCAAAATGACAGGGGAGTTAACTAAAAATCGAACTTCTACTACCATGAGTACACCCACCCACACCACGGCCACCTTTGACGTGCCCCAACACTCCGAACCTGTGATGGAGGTTTTTGGCGAGATGTGTCAGGTTTTCCACGGTCTTTTGAATGGATTGCCCCACTACTCGCACAAAAGCCAAGTCGACACTCAGCTCGCGCATCTGGCCCGATCCGCGAAACGAGTGATGGCAAGCGGGTTCTGCTGGAGCCAGAGTGCCTGCAGAGCGCGTTCTTCAGATGCTCCAGTTCCTGAGGAGCCGTCCGTCGACTCAGCCAGCGCCCCAGTCCCACTTCGGCGCACCAGCCCTGCCGGCGCCCCAGTTCACCTCAGCCCTAATGGCGGCGCCCCAGTTCGGCCAGCAACGTAGTGGACCTCGCCATCGGGCAAATACGTGTTTACTCAACACGGAGGATGAGGAAAATGTATATTTTGAAAGAAATTTTCATCACAAGGGGGGAGGGGGCAATATTTGATTTGACTTGACCCAATTGTGTGGGTAGGTTTGGTTTTGTTCAAATCCATTGTGTGGGTGTGGGTTACACCGGTGACAGATCTCGGAGCTTCAAGTTGACCAGATAAACGGTCGATTTGCCATTCGCCGAGATGTACTTGGACGGCAGGTAAGAGCGAAGATCGGTACCCATAGTCGACGGTGCTTGGACTTGCACTCAGAAGTTGCCGATTCGCGGAAGTCGATTGATTGACGCTTTGATGGTGTCGTTTCTTGTAGCCTTGTATTTACATTCGGGTGCATAATAGTGGATGGCGCCCGAAACACTCAACTACCGCAAGTTCTCGAGCCAATCGGATGTATTTTCGTATGGCGTTGTGCTTTGTAAGTTGGATTTGCACTTGTCGAGCAAAGGTTGAATTCCGCGACGTTGCTCACGCTTGCGTTTTGAATCAGGGGAGCTCTTTACAATGGGCCAAGCACCCTGGGCGAATGTCGAACGCGAGCAGTACCTTGTGGGTCTGGAGCGCGGCGATCGTTTGCCGCAACCTCGGGACTGTCCTGCGCAACTCTACTCGCTGATGTTGACGACCTGGGAATGGGAACCCTCTGCACGCCCTTCGTTTGCCGACTGCGTGCTTTTACTTCAGCAGGGCCGTTCGCCAAGCGGCACAGTTCGCGATTTGGGGGCTTTGGTGCATTGATTTGTCGGTGCATTGATTTGTCGGTGAAGGTTTGTTGTAACAGTTTGTGTTGCTCGATGGGTGGAATCATGTTACTTGAAACTCAAGCAGACACTCTTTCCGTGCTCTGCAAGGTCACTTCAACTTGAGCACTTTCAATTCGTTTGCTAGGTTGTTGTTTTCCTATTCATTGATGGTCTGATTGCATGAGTGCGCAATTTCCCTTCCCTCTCGTTCTGAGCAATTCAAATCGCTCACAAAAGCTAGCACGAACACACACCCCAGAAACAAAGGCAATAAGAGTCAAAACAAGCACACCTCCCCCCACCCACGAGAGCGTACCTTATCAGAAGACAGTTCCGTCTGAGCAACACTCACTTTCAATTCACTAATTCTCATAAATACACGATGTAAGCGACAGGGTACACAACGCACGCATTGCTTCAACTCAACTGTCTCACTGTTTTGTCTCAGTCTCAGTCTCTCTTTTTTGTTTTGTTTTGTTCCTCTTTGAGCTTCACTCCCCGTAATCCACACGACTACAATGGCTGCTGCTGCTGCTGCTCGACATGCGAAACGCGCGCTCGTCGCACTTGCTCCCGGCGCCGAGGAGATGGAAGCAGTGATCACCATTGACGTTCTGCGCCGCGCTGGTGTACGTGTGAAAGCTTCTCAGAACGCAAAACAACTCAAACAGCAATCAGCTTTCTCAGAAACTCACCCTCGCATGCTCTGTCTCTCTCCCTTTCTCTCGCTCTCTCCCATACATGCATGCTCTCTCTCTCTGTCGTTGTCTACATCCTTGTGAAATGGCTTGGCTGCTTGGCTTCAGATTGAAACGGTCGTCGCGAGCACCACCACCGACCTGCTCGTTCCGTGCTCACGCCAAGTCGTCATCAAGGCGGACGCGACGCTCGAGGACTCGACTCGCAAGGTGACTTTACTGCGTGTGTCTGTCTGTGTGTGCGTGGGTGCGTCGATGCGACAGGGAGGACGAGTCCAATTCGCAATGGCGAACGCATTCACGGCTTACTCTATGAAATTTGGCAACGGTCGATGTGCATATGTGAAACGGTACATGCTTGGTGGATTGTTGATCTTGGCGAGATGATAGGAGCAACATTATGACGTGGTCGTGATCCCGGGCGGCTTGAATGGAGCCAAAGCACTTGCCGATGTAAGAACAGCAGATTTCTCTGAGATGACGAGGTGCCAGATGGGGTGGAAAACGTGCCATCGATTTGCACTCCTTGGATGAATGACTCCTTGTCATGTTTTAGAGCCGTGCGTTTGGTGAGGTCTTGAAGGAGCAGGAGCGCAGCAATCGAACCATTGCCGCCATCTGCGCTGGCCCGATCGCGCTCCTCTCCCATCAGATTGGCGTGGGCAAGGAGATTACCTCGCACCCCAGCGTGCGCGACAAGCTTCACGGTACAGGAATGACCTTTTGGATTTTCACTCGTGGTTGACGGGTCGCGAGGATCAAAGAAATGCTCACCAACTGGTTGTCCCCTCTCTTCTCCCGCCCAATTGTCAGAAACGTACAAGTACTCGGAACACCGTGTTGTGACTGACGGTCAGCTCATCACCAGGCAAGTTAGCTTACGATGTGTGGCTTGTAGGAGGAGCAGTTGGCCTCATTTTCCACTAAACTTGCTTCGTTCTTTTTGGAACAGCCGTGGTCCGGGAACCGCAATGGAGTTTGCCCTTGCGATTGTCCAGCACCTGCTTGGTGACGAAGAGCGCAACAAGGTGACTGCGCCGATGGTCCTGCATCCCTCGCTTTGAGTGGCGCATTGTCTGAGTGAATCTGTCTCGTGTTGCTTGTGTCTCGACCACCACGACGTGTTGTGCTCGCTGCTTTCCACAAGCTTTTGAGGGAGCATTCATTGAAAGCGCCATTGCCAAAAAAAAAACGATCCATCCAAAACGAAACAAACAAATTGAAACCAATGCAGCCTCAAAGTCCAAAGTGCTATATCTCACACCACTGCCGTTCAAAGTGTGCATTCCCATCCCGAATTCTACTCTTATTTAACAAGTTCCAGTACATTGTCCCAGCAGTCGTCTTTTCGCTCCCTGATCATTCACAATGCTTTCGCAGCGGATTCGCATCGCAGCGCCAATCTGCCGACTCGCACGCGCCATGTCCTCATCCAGTCCGACTGGGCGCGGTTACAATGTGCGCTTACAATACTCGCCACACAATGCTCACCCATCGCGATCACTCACCACTGGTCACTGGGTACCTCTCCTCGTGGATGTTGTACAGGACGCAGTGAAGGCGCTCAATTCGCTGGCGTCCAACGCGACGCTCCTGTCCCAGCTGCGCAACTCGTCCTACATGAATCAAGTCAGCATTCCCGAGATGCATCAGCTCCTGGAGCGCATTGGAGTCAAGGTGCGCGCGCTCCGACTGCAAATTTGACCTCGAATCTCGCTTCACTCACTCGACGTCATTCTGCCTTGGGATTCGACGCCGATTTCCGCAATCTTGTTGTGCAGGCAACCGATTTGAATTCGCTCAATGTCGTGCATGTCACTGGTACAAAGGGCAAAGGAAGCACGTGCGCGTTTGTCGATTCCATTCTGCGCGAGCATGGCGTTCAGACGCTGCTCTACACGTCGCCGCATCTTGTTCGCGTCCAAGAGCGTATCCGACTGCATGGCAAGCCAGTCGGGTCAGATTTGTTTGCCAAGTATTTCTGGGCAGTTTGGTCCAAGCTTGAAGCTACCAAGGTGTGTGCGAATTTATCCCGACAACCGGTTGCACTGCCTAACTCTCGGTTCATCGTCCTCAACACAGAATTCGACCAACCTGATTGGAGCGAGCATGCCGTCGTATTTCCGGTATCTGACCCTGATGACTTTCTTAATGGCGCTGGAAACGAAGGCGAGTTCCAGTTGTTGTTGTTGTTGTTGTTGATGTTTTCAAAAACTCTCGATGCTGATTGCTCCTTGCTTCATGCTCTTGTCTCTGATGGAACGTGTCAGGTGGATGCTCTCATTCTTGAAGTTGGCATTGGCGGGAGCTACGACGCGACAAACGTCGTTCCTGCGCCCACCGTCTGCGGAATCACAACAATGGGATACGATCACGTCAACGTTCTGGGAAACACGCTGACCTCCATCACAACGCACAAAGCTGGCATTATCAAAGTAAGCAAAAAAGGAGTTTCCTGCGCTTTGTCATGTCCGAATTGTCAGCTTTGGCCTTGTCGAAATGAGTGTGTGTTGGTGCTGATCCACAAAGCACTCCGCTTTCCATCCACAGCACGGGGTTCCAATCGTTTCTGCCAAACAGGAGTCTGATGAAGCCACGATGGTGATTCGGGACACGGCACAACGCATGAACGCTCCGCTGACCATCGCGCGACCACTTTCGCAAGCATTTTCGAACGGTCTTCAAGCAACGCTCGGTACGAGGGCTATAGTTGTTTGTGCTTGGTTTTGTCTTATTGGCAGCAGCCTACATCCAACTTGCCAACCGTTGGGATGAATGTTGTCTCCAGGATTGAACGGCGACCATCAACAGATGAACGCAGCAGTTGCAGCACAGATTGCCCAGATTTGGCTTGGAAAGCATCGCCCAGAAGCAGCCCTCAAAGAGGGCGTCCTATCGCGTCCGTTCCTGGATGGACTCGCCAAGTGCCGCTGGCCAGGGCGGAATCAAACAGCAATTCACTCCAGCAATTCAAACATTCGTCTTTGGTTGGACGGAGCGCATAATATTGAGAGCTTGACTGCCTGTGCGAGCTGGATTTCCAGCAAGATTGCCTCGGGTGCAGCGAATCGCGAAAGGTAGCCGACATATCGTCTCGCCTGTGAAGGGAATGATTTGATTCGCCGTACTGATGCGTCATTGTCGAACTTCAACCCCGCCCCCCACAACCCACAACTGGCAAAACAGACGCTATCTCATGTTCAACTGCAGCCATGATCGCGATGTCAAGACTCTCCTGAAGCCATTGGTTCAGGCGCATTTGAGGCATCCTTTTGATGGCGTTGTTTTCTCGCCGAATATTGTCAAAAAGTCTTCCGCCTACCACGACATTGGTAACGTTAATTACGCCAGAGTAGGCGTTGTGTTTTTGGCTGATTCTGCTCGCTGCTTGCTCACTCTCGTTCTTGTGTTTTGGCTGCTGGAGCAGACACATCCAACAACCAGCCAGACGACTTTGATGCTCAGGCCTGGATAGACGCAAACGCCGGCATATGGCGTCAACTCGTCCAAGAACTTGGTGGACAGTCAACCACCACGAATGGATTCTTGACAATCGACGATGCGCTCGAGTGGCTGGCTGCAGAGCAAGTCCGTCAAAGTGCAGACCAGAAGAAACCCGTTCAGTTTGAGTTCTTTGCCACCGGCAGCTTGCATCTTGTGGGAGGAGTTTTACGCGCATTGGAGATTCCAATTGATTAGAGCGCATGCTGGGGATGGAGAAGGCGGAGATCAATTGTTTTTGACACATTATATTTCGAGCAAATTGAATTTCTGAGCAAATTGAATTTCTAAGACGTCATCAGCGTGCCCTTTCGCCGCCGCTTTTCCTCGCTTTGCAATTCTTCCTCTGGTTTGCGCTTGCTTCTTGCGGCGGCGGCAACAACTCTGCGACGGAAGCGGGAAGAAAGTGAGCGAGACATTGGGAAACAAAGACGCGAAATTTCAAGACTGCATTTCAAACAAGCGCCGCGCTGCTGCGTTTCATACCTGGCATTGGAGTTGTACTCTGACGCGAGCTGGTCGTTGGTCAATTCCTCATCTCCGGAAGAGTCGCTTCCGTCGTTGACGATCGTTCGGTTGGCGCGTTTGTCGGCGAGAATGTGTGTGGTTTGCCTGAGGGCGGACGCCGCTTCGAGCGCCGCTTTTGCACCAGCGGCATCGCCAGCGGCATTCTTACGATGGAACGCCGCGGCAGCGATTGCCGGCGCAACTGGCGGCTTGAGGAAGAGCGCGCCGTTGACAATGTACAGAAACTCGTCGTGCGCAGTGCCCGTGGCCTTGTAGAACAGGCGCAGACCACATCGCGCGCACTTGAGACGATGCTGTCGTTCAATGCCGTTTGCTCTGACGTTGTATGGGACCACAGGTCAAAGTCAGTTGAATGAGCGCCATGGTTGGTTGTTGCAATCCGAATCGCAGTCTCTCCTGCTGTTTGGGAAGGGGGGGGTGTCTTACCGTTGGAGCAGCACTGATCCTGCATCCACAGCATTCACCTTCTGCACCTGCGATGCGAGCAGTGCGACGCGGGATCCGTCTGTGATGCGCACTGGCAGCGACTCGAGCATTGTATCTGCAAAGCAAAAGCAAAAGCACAAAGGGTGAGAGCTCGCAAACGCCCCTGCCAGTCTGTGCTCATGGTCTGATCATGCTTGTGATTGTCATTCCATTGTAGGTACCGAGGACGAGCACGACGCGGCTGCAGTAGCAATGGTAGACGTAGAGCCGGTTGCTCGCCGACGTTGCCGCTGCGTCCTGCATGGATTGATCGACAAGCAATGAAATATCAAGACTGGACTATGGAGTCAATCGGTCAGTATTGGTACATTTATTTCAGATCCACTGAGTTTGTTGGTGTGTGATGTGTGATGTGGGTGTGGGTGTGAGGCAGCTCTCAGAAACCACACCCACTCTTTCGCGCTCAACCTGTCACAGTGGCGTTTGTGTGCTTCGGCGCCATCGTCCATGGTTAGTTTGGCTCTTTTGATCAAGCTTCATCATAACATAAGACGCTGTGTTGAGATGCTTTTGCTTTTGCCTTCGTTCGGGTGTGAATTTGGGGTTGACTTCAACCGCAAGCTGAAATCGAGCTCCCAGGCTGCGCTTTAAGCTTCGCTGCTTTCTCGATAAATCACGCATTGACCTCCTCATAAATAATCATGGTGGTATTGGTGGGTAGGGGGTGAAAGGGGGCGCTGGCATCGAGCATCTTCCAGCAACTTCTATTTCGCGGCCTCGGCCTTTCTGCCCTGACCTCTCGATCTCCGTCTCATGCCATCCTCGCATGATATCCACTATTGAGCGGTGGCGTGGGTAGGGGTTAGTTTGAGTATCATCCTGTGATGTTTATCTCCGTTCTCAGTTCGTTCTCAGTCCGTTCTCAGTCCGTTCTCAGTCTTCTTTCCCTTCTCTCTCAGCTCACTTGCGAACATGGACGCGCATCTCAATGGACTGCTCCGCTGGGGCATTCAAAACTCAGACCCTGAAGAGCTCCGTCGCCGAGCTGCTGCTGCTGGTGCTACTGCTACCGACACCGCGACTGACGCGACTGACGCGACTGACATTACCATTGTGCAGCCTGCGACGGAGGCGAGCGGTGGCCGCAGCAGCGTGGGGCTCGCGTTGGCTCCGTCGTCCGCCAACGCACCACATGCAGTGACCGGCGCACTCAACGCTGCCATTGCCAGTGCCCACACTGAGGCCGACGCTGGTACTGCTGCAGAGGGGCAGCAACAACCGCTGGTAAGAGCTTCCCCCCCTCGTGGTCCCCGTCAGTCTGAATGATGACCATTGCTGCACCAGTGGGTGAACACTTATATACTCATCGTCTGTGCTTTGTATGGCAATTGTGTAGGACCGAAAGTGGATGGAAGCAGTGCTCGGCAAGGACGATGTCACTCGAATGAAAGGTAGAGAACCACATACGAAAACAAGCCGACGTTGCTCGGCACTCAACCTGTGTCGTTTGACTCATTCTACCAATCTGTGGACACCTCAATCTCCATGCAGAGGCACGAGACATGCTGCTCAACCCGGACGCGACAAAGGAAAACCTCGAAATTGCGCTCGACGACTTGCTGTTCCTCGTCGAGTCGATTGATAACGCTTGCGGTGAGTCAACACCGATATGCCACAGCCAGCACTTGTCGAAAACGAAAACAACAGCATCGTGTACTCACAGACGCCACTCATCTGTCGCTAGATTTGCACACGATCAACGCACTCGTTCCCGTCGCCAATCTGCTCCAATCCGAGCACCCCACTCTGCGCAGCGGAGCTGCGTGGGTGATTGCCACTGCTGCGCAAAACACACCCAAGGTTCAGAAGCAAATGCTCGAAACAAAGGTGCTTGATCGGCTGACCCAGCTGCTCAAGGAAGAATCCCAGATGGAAATCCGCGCCAAGGCTCTGACAGCCGTTTCCGGTATGATTCCCCCTCCCCACACACACACATTTCCTAGGTGGTGTCGTTGCTTTTCCTCTATCGTGCAAAATCGTACCCCTCCCCTGTTTGATTTCTCCGATCTGCATACTCATCTGAACTCTTGTTTTCTGCAGCCATCTTGGGCCACAATCCTGCCGGCGTGGAGCGCTTTGACGAATTGAACGGCTTTTCGCTGCTTTTGGAGGTCGCATCCAACAACGCAGACGATGCGTTTTTGCGAAAGCTGACTTTTATTTTGCGGCAGCTCTGCACCCAGGAGACGGCCGCGCTTGTCGCGTCACGCTTGGTCCAGCTGATGGCTCCCGCGTTCTTTGCAAACCTTCTTTCGCGACCAAACGTCGACTTGCGGGAAAAGATTCTGGATTTGTTGTCGGCCTTGCTTGAGGTGCCAGAGCTCCACTCGCGCGTCATCTCGCAGCTCGTGCCCTTCCAGCTGGAGGCAACCATGAAGACACTGCAAGCCGAAGCTGCCGCATCCACCGATGTCGCCGAAGAATACCAAGACTTGTTGCCACGGTTGACGCAAATTCTGGCGCAGATGCGGTCGTAGTTTGTCCCATTTGCTTTTTTGAATGAATAAGCAACACACAAACAAAAGGTCAAAAAAAAAGTATCTATTGCATTTCTTCAAGAAATAGGAGTGTATTAAAAGTAGAGGGAGAGAAGAGAAGAGAGACACCAATCAACCAAGTCGGAGGCAGACCACTCCGCCAACAATCAACACACGGCCACCAATCAACACAAAAACAAGCAAAACAAAAGCCCCCCTCCATCGGCCATTATTCACTATGCTTGCATGGGAGTGGCACTGACGGAGGGAGCAGCAGAGGCTCCAGCAGCAACAATCTTGTTCTTGTAGTTGACCAGGAAGACAGTGTGTTGGCCGCCAGAAACCACATCGAGCACAGAGTTGTCGCCAAAGCGGGGTGCGGGTACCAGTGTAGGGGTGTCCATGTCGTCGTCCGGGCCAAGGGCGAGTTGGTAGTTGCTGCCCATGCCCCAGGCGTACACCTCACCGTGGTTCGAGAGTGCGTACGAGACAATGCCGCCAGTGGCAATCTTGTCAATGTGAACTTGATCGCTGGGACCCAGCGAGTCGATCTTGACGGGCTGGGAGAGCTCGTTGTTGTTGCCGTGGCCGAGACGGCCATAGTCGCCGCGGCCAAAGCTGAGCACGCTGCCGTCGGCGAGCAGAGCCAAGGTGTGGTGCTCGCCGCCCTTGATGGACACGACCTGACGGCCGCTGAGTGCGGGGACTTCTGTCGGCGCGTAGATGGGGTCTGCGACATCCGGAATGCCGCACTGGTAGTAGTTGTTGAGGCCGAACGCAACGACCGTGTCGTCGTCAAAGAGGACGAACGACTGGAAGCCACCCGTGAAGACGTCCTTCGGCGCGGCCTTCTTTCGCCTTATTAGCACCGGGGCCGGGCCAAGCATGTGGAGGTGCTTGCTGCGATCGCTCATGCGCGAGCCGACGCGGCCGAGCTGTCCGTGCTCGCCGCAGCCCCAGGTCACAATGTTGCCCTTCTCTGTCAACGCGATGGTGTGGTTGTTTGACGCGCTGATGCGCACCACGCGATCGTGCTTGGCAGTGTAGTCGAGAACCACCTTGGGCTCAAACTGCACAGTGGCCTTGTCTGCGCCGCCCTCCTTGAAGAGCGTGTCAAAGTCAAAGCCCATGCGGCCGGCCGAGTCGCGGTACGTACCCCAGCCATAGACCACGCCCTTGTCCGACAGGACGTTTGTGTGCGAGTCGCCGCAGGTCACCGCGACGATAAATTCGTTCTCAATCAATCCCTTCACGAGCGCGGGCTCTGCCTCCTCGCCCGATCGGCCGAGTGCGCCTTCGTCATTGCAGCCCCAGCTGTACACCTGACCCTTGGCGGTGATTGCGACAGTGTGGACGCCGCCTGCCGCCATGCGCACGATCGGCACGTTCTCAATGCTTCGCAGCGGCGTTGGTTTCTTGCGCGACGTAATCTCCTCGCCGAGTCCGAGCTGTCCGGCGTCGCCCTCGCCCACCGTAAACACAGATCCCGCTGGCAGTGCAGCAATGGCGTCCCGGGCAGCCTTCTGTGCCGCGGCGAACGCAGTCTGCGCTGGTGAGATGGCTGCGTGTTTCTCTGTCGCGGCTGCCTTGGTCGGCTTGTTTCCCTTGTCTATTCATCACACAAACAGCAGGGGGGTTCAAAGGGTGAGTTTTGGCGGGTCGTTTCGTTTCCCTTATGTTTATCGATTTTGGTGGATGGTGAGTGCGAGAGGTCTTCCCCCATTCAACAAGCCATGCGGATTCAAACGAAAAGGACGAGAGAGAGAAAAGCGAGATCTCTCTGTCTCTCGCTTCTCGTTCGCCTCTTCTTCAGTGTCCTGCGTTCAGCTCACTGCGACATCTAGAACGCAATGGTACGCAGTAGTGGCGAGTGGCAAGCAGGAGTGGGGATTGGGGATGGGGGCAGCAGCATCGGAGCAGAGGAAAGGAGAAGGAAAAAAGAAAAAAAAAAGCGAAACCGTTTCAAAAAAAAAAAAAAAAAAAACCAACGACGCGATTCAATCGATTTTCAATGCAAGTTGAATATCACGACAGATAGAGAACGAGAGAGAATCGGGTTCCAGATGGAAAGAGTACAAGCAAGAGTTTGTGTGGAAGTGCCGGCAGAAAAAACTCAAACGCACCGACAGCAACGCGCTTGGAGGGCTGGGCAGCAGCAACGTCGTCCTCGTTCGGGCGCTTGCGAAGCTCAACCATTGTGTGTGCAAAATAAAAAGAGTGTGAGTGACTGAGATCCACTCTATCTAAGGAAAAAAAAACAATAAGAAATAAGAAATAAAGGGTCGAAAGTGAGGACAGCGAGATGGAAGGGATTTGAACCATTGACTTGACAATGTTGACATTTCGAAAAAAAAAAAAAAAAGCTACAGTACATCATTACAGTCAGCTCTGCACACTCATCCAGCAAAATACACACTGGAAGGTCCATAAAATCAATCAAAAGAACGCAAAGAAAAAAACACAATTGCTTAAACAACGTTCGCGTCCGCTCGAATCTCAACAAGCACCTTGGCAGCACGCTTGAGGGCCGAAAGCATCTCGGCGGCTTGCTTGCGCTTGACAGCAATGTGAACCGACTCTTCGAGCATGGTTTCAAACAGGTCTTCGCGATAGAGCTGCGAGACGAGCTCGCTTTGGATGTGCTCCTTGATCCAGTTGACCAAAAAGTGCATGATGGCCTTGGGCACCGTGTCTTGAATGTTCTTGCGCACAATCTTAAAGTAGTTGATGATGAGCGTTTCTGTGGGATGGGAGAGGAGGCACGTTGGCGAAGCAGCACGTCAGAACAACTCTGGTGTTTCAAAAGCACCAATTCCAAAACAAACTGTTGTACGTACGAATGAGCTCAGTCTCCATCTGCTCTCGCGATGTCAATGCGCGACGGTCTTCTCGCAGATGAGTTGGAAGCTGCAGTTGAAACAAAAGAACAAAAAAACAAAAGAACAAAAAAAAAAAAAACAAAAAAAAACAAAAGGAACATGGAACGATGAGTTATTTCACTTCAAACTCCAAAAAGCAAAGAACATGCCACCCTTGCTTACATGATCAAGCATCAGGTCATCGAAATGGGCTGGAGAGGACGAGCTGGTGGTGAGACGCCCGGTGGCGTAAGGGTTCTCACCACCCGCCGCGCCAGAGCTGCTTGCAAAGCCGTTTCCAGCGCGCACCGATCCGGAACGCGCAGCAACATCGTGAGCCGCCTCAGCCAACTCCGTGTTGCCGTCTTCCTTGGGCTTGTTCGGCCGGAAGCCAAACAGGCCACCAAACAGGCCGCCTGAGGAGGCAGAGTTTTGGGGCGGCAGCGAAGCCGACAGCGGAGCAGGGGCAGATTGACCTGCATTGGACACGCTGGCTGCTTGCAGCGGCAATGGCACGCCGTTGGCGCCCATGGTCATGGAGGTGCTTCGAGAGGCGCCGGGCCGAGATCCGTTCGTGGTGATGATATCGCCAGACTCGGCCAACATGCCATCGACGCCATTGGAGGAGCCGAACGAGTTCTGGAACAGATGGGAAAAGGGGTGTGAGGACATGTGACAGACAAAAAACGGAAAAAGAAAACGCAAAAAAAAAAAACCAAAAGCGCCAAATTCTCCACATACCCCTCGGGCTCGGCCATTGGGAACTTCCAAGCTCGAGTTGCCAGACGACATCGACGGGTGATAGGAATGGCGATTCTTGTTGGAGGGCTGGTTGTCCATAATGCTGGAGACTGCCTGGCTGCCCGTGGTGAAATCGGGGTGATTGGTGTTAATGTAGGCGAGCTCGATGGCGACAAGATTCTCAATCATCACGTTCGCAGCAGGGAGGCGGTTGCGCAGCAAGGTGGTGACAGTTTCTGAAATGTGGTCGCGCAGGTTTTGGAAGCGGAGCAGCTCGGGAGTCTCGCACTGTTGTGTGATGCGCAGCAGCTCCTCAAAGACCAGCTCTACGCAACGAAGCGCAGGCTCCTCCATGCGACGGATTTGGCGCTTTACCAAGAGCTCGAACGAGACCTCAGGGACGAAAAGCGCAGGTCGCGGGCCCTGTAGAGACAGAAATTAGTGATGAACATGCAGACAGAAAAATTCAAAAAATTCACACCATCAACCAACATACCGTGGCGTTTCGGATGGCGGTGCGAATGTCGCCAATCGTCAGGCCCTCCAAAGGATCGACATTCTCGAGCGTGCGACCGAACGTTTCGTGGAAAATGTAGCAGATGCGTGCACCGCCAGTCAGCTCGTTGGTCTGGATGTCGCGCGACGTGCCTTCGATCGCGCCGCAGTAGTTGGAGCAGAACTTGGTAATGATTTGCAGCATGAGGCTTCCCTGCAACGATTGAATTCGAACGGTCAGAACACAGGTTAGAACGCGACGCCAAACAGGAGCATGACAAAAAACAAGCGAGGAGTGTTGCGCCTACCTTGTTAAACTTGTCCATCAGAGGTTCGCCGTACGCGTTGTACGCTTGTTGGGCCTCGGCCATGTGGGCGTTGATGCGGGTTTTGAGGTCCGGGAGACAATCACGAATGTGGTGCATGAGCAGCTGTGGGGTGAATATGCGACAGAGCACAGCAGGAAGACCAAGTTAGAATCACAAACCTAATTTGAAGAAAAACAAGATCAACAACAACAACAAAAAAAAAAAAAAATCCTCCGAATCCTCACCTTGTTGAGCGCCTTTGAGAGGTAGGCAGTGCCGCAGCGGTGGGCAATGGCTTGATAAGCAGGGTGTGACTTGAAGAACTGCTCCTCGCTCTTGAGAGAGTCGGCAATCGGCTTGGCCGTGTTGATATCTGCCTGCGAGCGGTTGACGACGCCAATAAAGCCGAGCTTGACTGGCACGACGCGTCCTGACAGAATATCCATGGCATCGGTGCCGGCGTCCATGAGATCAATCTTGGTGCAGACGCCGATTGTGCGGTTGCCTGTGCAAGGAAGAAAAAAACAAAACAAAAAAAAAAAAAAAGACCGATAAATTGGTCAGTACTTGCTCACGCGAGCCTTCGGGAACAAAAGCACAGTACCTTCAGGATCAATGGTCTTGGCCAGTTTGAGTGCGTCCGAGTTGGCCAGATCGACGTTCGCCGGAGTGACGGCCAGAATGATGCAGTTCGGGTTGCTAATGTACGAGCGGACGAGCGTTCGGATTTGCTTTTCAATGTCCTCGGGCTGGTCACCGACAGGCACCTGCTCCCAAGAGTGACCAAGGTGAATCGCGCAAAAGCATTCGTGTGAGCGACAAGTGGCAGGGTGTTGAGAAAGAAAACAGCGCACGTCAAAAAACACCGTGCCGCACCTTTGTGATGCCAGGCAAATCCACGAGCGTCAGGTTGAGGACGTTCGGTGAGTAGATGCGCAGGTTGATGGGCTTGGACGAGATGCCCTTGTTGGATCCAGTGACGCGGTCGGTCTCTGCCTCAATTTCCTTGCGAATCTCGGCGAACGAAATGAAGCGTTTGCCCGGCGCGTGGAGGAACTCGCCCCACTCTTCGACGTCCTCGCCGTCGATGCCTGAGCGCACGAACGGAAAACAAAACACACAACAAGGGTGCAAATGTTAGGACGAGTGCCTCAGCAAAAGCACGATGGGTGGATGCGTTGTGGAGTGCAGCAAGGTCGAAGCGAAAAGCTGCTTCTGTCTCTCATTGCTTTTTGGTCATGGTTGACGCTTCCCTTTCCATCCTCCGCCGCAGCGCTTTCATCCCTCAACAACAACAAGAACTCGTCTCGGTCGTTTCTCGAGTGCCATCTCGGCAATGCAATATCGCAGAGAGTCAGCCGAACGCGGCTCTTTTTTTTTGGCTGTCTTTCACATTGTTTTTTTTTTTCTTTTGCTGTTTTTTTTTTTTTTTTTGTTTTTTTTTTTTTTTCTTGGCGGAATGCTTTTTCACCGCTTTGCGCTCCGTCTACACCCAGGGCCCCCACCCGCTCCGTTTCCACCTGTCGATTACTAGGGTCGAGACTCGAACGTGAGAAGGGGAATCTGAGCGAGCGAGGACGAACGTCACAAACAGAGAAAAACTGAAACGCGCCAATTTTCGTGTCTTTTTTTTTTTTTGTTTGTTTGATTGAGCGAAGCATTACCATCATCAGTGTGGCCGCCGGAAGACGACGGGTCGTCCGGAAGCGCAGGCCGAGGCGAGCCTGGCTTGCGGTGCACGAGCTGGAGAATGAGCGGGCGACGGGTGACGATGCCGTGGCCGCGCGGGAGAAAGTCTTTGCCAACAATGTTCTCCAGCACGGACGACTTGCCGCTCGACTGCGATCCCACCACGGCAATCTGCGGCAGCTGGATGGCCTCGGCGCCGACTGTGGTGAAGACGTCCTGCAGCTTGTTGATGACCGGAATCAAGTTGTCCATCTCAAATCTCAGAAAAAAAAAAAAAAAAAAACGGACTGAACCAAGAATGAAAAAGTGAAACAAGTCCAGTTTGAAGCATTGATGTGAAAATGGTCGAAACAAAGCAGGTCAGGTTGGAAGGCAAGTGCAAGTGCAATGCAGTGCTTTTTTGGCAGAGATGCTACTCTCAAGCGAGCGCAAAGCACGCTCTGCACGGTGGGACGACGCTGGAAAACAGAAGGATGAACGCGAAACAATCGGAAAAAAGAAGAAAAAAAACCGCCAAGATTGTCGCCAAGACAGCTCTGCTCTTCGGGTCGTTTCAGCCTGTGTGACGTGTGCAACCCTCAGCTAAGAAACAAACAGGAGGGGAGGGGAAGTACCATACTTGTGTGATCATTTGACAGGGAGGGCCTTTGGCACAAAACCAAGGCAGAGCTCGCGCGAGAACGAGTGATGAGTTCGAACAACTGTACATTTTGCTGCCGATCGGTTGCCATTCAGCGAGTCGAATCGAAAAGAAGGAACGACAATTCTCCTTGAAATGGGCTGATCGGTTGCCGATGCTTGGTTGAAGCGCAGCAGCCTCAGTAAGTGGCGTCAGCGGAAGCGAGCAATCCGAGGCATGTTTCTCAGCCCCGTTTCAAGCCAAGCCAAGCAATGCTGTTATGCTGTTTGAACTAGAAATGGGAAGATGTAATCCATCTACTGTTGTAGTAACGTGTCAATGGAAGATGCGGCCCGTCCAATATCAACGCTGAAAGGCTCCAATCCGGCCCTTGAATCGCGTCTCGATCATTGAAACTCATTCATTCAGCTGTTATTGTTGATCACAATACTGTACAATAAAAACAAGCCATCACCAACAACCAACGAGTAGTCTTCTTTCCGCACGATGGAGCCGGCGAGCCCATTGCCGCCGCCGCCGCTCGTCCCAATCGTCTCAGACTCTGCTCAGCCGACGGTTACCGCAGCACCACAACCCGCTGAACCCACTGCCGCCCCCGCCGCCTCTGCACCCTCACCAGATGTATCAACGCCACCAGTTGCTCCAGAGGACGCCGTTGTCAACCGCGAGCTGCAGCGCGAGTACTACTCGCTCCGATTCCCGCGTCGCTACAGCAGCCACAGCCACAAGGTGAGGAAGACTGCCCACCCATTTGGTTTTGTCACAACCACTCGCATTCACACAGTGCTTGCCTTCTTGCTCTTCAGGATCTCAAGCAGCTGGCCGAGTTCAAGTTTGAGCAAGCGGTAACGAACGCTGCAGCGACCGGCTCGCCCACTGGCTCTGCTGCTGCTGCTCGCTCCCGGGCGTCGTCGTCGTCCGTCTCACCCGACCCAAGCAGTCTCGCTCGCCACAACAGTAGCAGCCCCAGCGGTAGTGGCAGCGGCAGTCCAGTCTCCGCTGCTGCTGGCGCCAGTCCCGCTCGTGTCATGACATTCGCCTCCGCTGCGCCGCCCAACACGGCTCCGGGCGAGGGCGCTTCAACGACAGCGCCGAATCGCTCAGTGTTTGCTGCAACCGGTCCTGCTGGATCACGGCCTCCGAGCGAACACTCGCGCCATTCGGGAATATCGTCGGCAACCAACTCCGTTCACGAGGCGCGCATCCAGCGGCTCATTCGCCAGGTCTTTGTGCCGACCACGCTGCCCAATGCGGATGCCACGGGCACATCGGGTAGTAGCCCATCCGCCGCAGATCAGACCACGGTCGTGGTGGTCTCGTCTTCGCTCGTGGTCAAGTCAGAGTCACCAGTTCAAACTGTGACAGGTGCCGAGTCCACTCCACTTCCTCCTCATCCCCTTATCACCTCCAGCGTCAATGCTGACGCCGCAGAATCTTCACCAGGGACCAGCGCAATCACAGGCAAGGGGCGCGGACCATCCGCCATCCTCGCCCCAACTCCACAGCACCCGTCTGCAGCCGCGGACGTACACGTCCCGTCACCCTCTCGCTCGACATCCTCACCATCATCCACCAACCAAAGCGACATTCATTCGCCATCCCCGTCACTATCAACGGAATCAAACGCCACGCCGGCAGCAGACGCTCCTGCTGCTGCTGCTGCTGCAACCCCAAACCGGGACCACACCGTCTCCCCGCCTGCCAAGCGCAAGCCACGCAGTGGCATGTCTGCATGGTCGACACGAGTACTGACTGCGGCTCAGCTGCCGCACGTGTGCGTGACCATCCCATCGACTGCCATTGTCTCCCCAACAATGCTGGCCGACAAGAACGCCTATCGAGTGTACGTTGTGCTCATGTCGACAGACTATGGTCACTGGAGTGTCCGACGGCGCTATTCTGACTTTGTTGCACTGGACCGGGCGCTGCGAGAGCTGAAAATCTACTCGACCAACGCGCTTTCCAACCCCACCCCAGCGCCCACTCAGCCGTCCCAGCCCTCGATCGCCAGGTCCATCATCTCGCTCGTGTCGTCACCAGCATCCGTGCTCGCGCCCGTTCTCATCCAGCCAGCCCAGTCTCTTCCTCCACTCCCTCCAAAGCTTCTGCTTCAAGCGAGCGGCGACGACCTCGAGCGACGACGCGTCGGTCTGGAAACGTACTTGGCCAGGGCGCTCCAGTCTGTGCACATCTCGCGCACGCATCAGCTTTGGGACTTTCTGTGTCGCTCAGCAGCGGATGCTGCTCCCTGGCTCGAGCACAATTTGGAACTGATCGAACCTGCTGATGCACCAGCTTCGCCACAACTTGGGCTCGCCCCGTCGCCAGCACTGCCGCCGCCGCCTTCCTCGCAATCACCCCATCCGTCCTCTGAAAATCTTGCAGCATTGACGCACGAAGAGCCATCTCTGCAGACCAGCTCGACCGAGACTGAAGCAAGTAGTACAAATGCAACAACTGCCGCCAAAAAGCCACCCCATCGCTTTCAATGGTTTTTCGGTTCATCGTCGTCGCCCAAGTCCATCCTCGAATCCACAGCAGAGGCAGCTACCGGCACAACGGCGATCACGGCTACTCCAGAATCTCATGCAGTAACAACATCCACCGCGCCGGATTCCTCCTCCACTCCTGCGGCTCCAGCAGTCGCTCCTACGGCCCCAACTGCTTCCGCCCAGCCATTTTCCAAACCTCTGGGCCAGTGCACTTCACTGTTGGCCGACATGGCACGAGTACGACTCGCCGAACAGCTCGACGCTCTCGTTTGTCAGACAGACGTGAATGGCTGTGTGTCACGCGAGTTGCTTTTGCAGCACTTTGGCATCCTGGTTGCCGACGGCACCAATTCCGGCGTGAATGAGCTGGGCGACCGCCTGTGCATTGTCATTCGCCGCTTGGGCACCTATGCGATTGGTCGAAGCTCGAACGAGCAGCCCAACGCAGTTCCAGCCATTCCCCAGCATGTGCGTATCGTGCATGTGTCCCAGTTTCTCCGCACCCTGCACTTTGGCACGCCAGAAGAAAAGCTCGCCTTGGGATTCCGTTTTATCGACCTGAATTGCGTGGGGTATTTTACGCTCAATCAGCTCGTGTCTGTCCTTTCGCTCTTGCGTCGCGTGGCCACTCGTGCGTTGCTCTTGCAGCTGCCGACAATCTCTTCTTCCGCCCCGATCGATACGCCAACAATAACAACAACAAACTCGACCACCCACCACGGCGCGGTTTGGACTGCCAATGCCAATATCGACGCGCCGCACACCCAGCCGTCACAACGCTCTGCAGAGGATGACGCCTTCCAGCGCCGATGTGTTGCTCTGTTCCACGCCATGGACACCCAGCGCACAGGACGGGTCACGTTGAAGGAGTACTCGTCGTTCTGCGCCACGCACGGCCTCGAGCTGGCGTCGCTCGGTTTGGTTGCTACTCCGCAGTTTTTGTTTGAAACAAAAGTCGGTATCAACTCGGATGACGGCGCGGCATTGCGTGAGAGTGCATCATCCCCGCCTCGAGCCGACGTGGCGCGATCGGAAGCCATTTCCATTGCCTCGACTTCGCCTCCCACCGCTCACTCCGTCATCCACCCTCAACCCCACCTCGTCGCTTCGCCCGACTTTGGCCTCATGTCGCAGGCATTCCTCGCTCAGCCCATGCAGGGTCGCGGCTTGTTTTGTGATGGGACGCTGCACTTTGATTTCGTGATGGCCATCCTCGTTGGAGTTCGACTGTGTCTGGCTGTCACCAACGACGAGTGGCAAAAGCTCACCTCGCAACGCCAGCGACAGCGAAAGCACCGACAGCAGCCGCCCAGCGAGCGCACCTCCAATGTCTCAAGCACCTCCAGCGACACCTTCCCTCCTGGCGATGCCTCCTACACATCGTCCCAGCAGTCCTCCCAGTACTCCTCTCAACAGTCGTCTTTTGTGGGCGAGTCGGGCTTTCCGCAGCAGCACCAGTCGAGTGCTTCGTCGTCTGTGACGCAGAGCTCGGGTGTGGCAGGGTCGTTTACCTCCGTTGGCTCCAACTCGGACAGGCCGTCTCCGTTGCCCACAATGTCGCCGACAGGAGTGGCCGCGTCGCTTCCTGTGCTCCCCAAGCGGATTGTTGCCTTGCCCCAAATCTTTGGAGGCGGCGCGATCAAGGAGCACAACCCCCACATCTTCAAGGCGCTCCGCGTCTACCTCAACATTGAAGACAACGAGTTTGGGTTTTGGCTGTCGCCTGAACTCGTGATTGGCAGCCTGCTTTTGGGACACAGCAACATTCCCAGCGTCAAGCAGTCCGAGGGCAAAAGCAAAAGCATGTTCTACACGAGTCGCGACGGCCGCTACGTGATCAAGACCGTCTCATCTGCCGAGCATAGCCAGCTCAAAGCGATGGCACCAAGTTATCTCGACTACATTTCGCGTCCTGAAAACAGCCAAACGTGTCTTTGCCGTATTCTTGGCCACTTTTCCATCCGTGGAACGGCCCACCAGCAAGGGTTGCTCGCCCTGTCCAGGCAATACGGGAATGGGGAGCAGAACATTGGCTCCTTCCCTTTAGCCGAAGAATCGGCCGATTATAATCTGGCTCTGAACGCCACCGCCGCAGCAGCAAGCTCCGCCAGCTCGGCCGCGTCCACTGCGAGCAGCTCCACCGGTGTCACGCCAGGCCATGCGACCTCTGGCGCCTCGACGCACTTCATTGTGATGGGCAGCGCGTTCTTTGACGTGACCAAGTGCTGCAACATTGATCACGACTTGAGCGAAAAGTTTGATCTCAAGGGGTCGACCATTGGGCGCAGTGCCGGCCCGCACACTCCACCAGGTGAGTGTCCGCATCTGGTTTTGGTTTTCTTTTGTCTTGTCTGTTCATTGATTCGATTCGGCGTTGTTGAAGTGTGGTGTGGGGAAACGTCTGTTCGCTCATGTTTGAATCTCCCCGCTCCGTTTCATGGTTTTGTTGTATCATCCATCTTCACGACACACAACCCGCTGCAACTCGCAGGAGGAGTTCTCAAAGACATGGACTTTACACGACTGGGCCGATCAATCTACTTGGCACCGAACGATGCGACCAGACTGCAAGGACAGGTCGAGCGCGATGCAGCCTTCCTCCAGTCACAGGGCATTATTGACTACAGCATGTTGCTCGGGATTCGACTTGAATCTGTCGGCACACACAACTCGGAGCAATCATCGTCGTCGTCGTCGTCTCCCAGCAAGCGCAAGTCGGTTCGGGCCTCCCTCTTTCGATCCAATAGCAGCAACCTTGCGAAAAGCAGCGGGACGGACGCGCGTGAGCGGCACTCGATGGTGGCGGGCGCCGTGTCCGAGCTTGCTGGAATCTTTTCGGGCAGTGGTTTCCGATCGAGGCAAGCTGGCGACCGCACGTCTGGTTCGCCCCGGAGCAGCTTCAAACGCCGCAGTGACGTTGCTGGCGGCGAGAACGATGCGCAGCGTGCTGCCCAGGCAGCACTCACCATGGCCGCAGAGCAGACTGCGCTGGCAACGGCACGCCTTCGCCTCGAGCAGCAGCGCGCGGTTGTCGCGTTTATGGGCGGCCTTTCACCGTGGCCGAGCAACGCGCTCATTTTCGCCGTGTCCCTGCTGCCGTCGCAAGACGATGGCGTGAGTGCCCATCTTGGCGCGCTCTACGGGCTCGGATACGGCCTGAGCGTCGACTCGCCGGGCGGCAGGGTGCTTCGCAGCACCGCGCTTCACGAGGTTGGCGACGACGGTTTGACGGAAGGGCAACCGCTCGACACCAGCGACCACCTTTCGTCCAGGCACTCTACTGGTGGGTCGCGCGTGCAGCCAGTGTACTATCTCGCCATCGTTGACACGCTCACCTGCTACACATGGCAAAAGCGTGCCGAGCGGTTTTTGCGCGGCGGGCCATTCGACATGCAAAGCGTCTCCTCCGCCCCGGCCGCCATCTATGCCCCTCGCTTCTCCAAGTACATTGCGAGTATCTGCCACAACCCCGAAAAGGCAAGCCAGAGTGCTGCGCAAGGCTTGAAAAGCGCCTAGTGCGATTTCGGGTCGTCGAGAAGATTGTTTGATTTGTTGTTTTTCTGAGAAAGGAAGAGAGAGAGGCTGAGACTCTCTCCCTTCATTGTGGTATATATTTCTTTTTTTTTTCTTTTCGCTTTCGTTGTGTTTCATAGCAAGCAATGGGTCAAGCCCTCGGTCGCGTTCGGGTTACAGAGCACTGAATTGTTCGGTGCAGAATTTTTTCCCGTGTGTATTCCTTTCGGTCGTGGCTCGTTTTGCACTTTGATTTCAAATTCAGCATTCGATGTGGGATGTCTGAGCCGCTCGGCCCATTCCTTCTTTTTCTCAATCACTACCACAGCCACTTTCCAATGTCGCGCGTATGAAACTGCAGTTTTGCATTGATTTTTGATTTTTTTTTTGTTTTTTTTCCTTTGCTGCTGCTCCTCGGCTCCACACTGGACGGATCGCCATCCCTCTCCTCGCAGCAACAGCAGCACACTGACGAGGCTCGATCCTTCACGCTGGCACTCGACTCGCCAGGCAGTTGTGTTGGAAGGGGAACGTGCTGAATGAATGGGGGAACAATAACTCTCCATTGCTCGTTTCGCTCTTGCCCTTCCCCCGCCATCTCCCATCGATGCCCGCCAGACTGCGCGCTTGCACTTTTACCGAATCAGCCTCCATGCGCTTCATTCCCGTCGACGCCCTCGAATCGACACAACCGAAGCCCTCACAATGAGCGACCCTTTTGGCCCTTTTTTTTTTTTCTCCTTCTGCTTTACCTTCTCCATTGAACCCCCCATCGTCGCTTCCAGTAGTGCTGAATCCCTGCCTCTCTCTCTCTCTCTCTCTCTCTCTCTCTCTCTCTCTCTCTCTCTATCTCTATCTCTGTCGCTCTCCATCCAGACAATCAGAAGGAGGTCCAATCGCCCGATCCCCTCTCCTTCCATACAAAAACTCAATGCAAAACGCAATACAAATGAAAAAGCGTGCTGGATTTTTTTTTTTTTTTTTTTTTTTTTTGTCACGAGTGACTAGGGTTGAAAGCTCACTATTCCGTAGCGGGGTTTGTTTGCGGCTCGTTCCATTTCACGCGTTACTGTTTTTTTCATTTCTGACCCTCCTCGTTTCTGCTTTTCCCCCTTCCCCTTGTTTTTTGAAACGTCACTCACTGATCGGGCTTGCGGTGCTTGTTCTTGTGCACAGTACGACGATGAGGAACTTTCCGACGGCGCCTACGAAGGCTCGTTCGCTGACAACATGGGGTGAGTCTCACTCAAATCGCTGCTGGCATTAGATGCGACAATCACAATGCGTTTGCTCACTGTACAAACTTGCTGCGTCTGGTGACAGCTACGGCGATGACATGACTGAAGCCGGTCGTTCGCAAAGCTCGGACTCGAAGCCTCGCATCCTCCTGATGGGCCTCCGACGGTACGCAATCGGTGTTTTGAGCAATCCCGTCGTGTGTGCCTCTAGCGGATTGGCGCCAACACCATCTGACACCTGATCTTGATCTCTTTGTGCTCTCTCCTCTTTGATCATTCGACGTGTGTAGAAGCGGCAAGTCGTCCATCCAAAAGGTCGTCTTCCACAAGATGTCGCCCAACGAAACCCTCTTCCTCGAGAGCACAAACAAGGTCATCAAGAGCGGTACGAGAAAGCCCCTGGTCACCGTCACGTCGCACGTCGCTCGTGCAGTCTTTGTGCTCACTATTCCGCCGTGGTTTTTTTTTTTTTTTTCCAAACAGACATTTCCAACTCGTCGTTCGTTCAGTTCCAGATCTGGGACTTCCCCGGACAGATTGACTTTTTCGACCCCGCGTTCGACTCGGACCTCATTTTCGCCGGCTGCGGCGCCCTTGTCTTTGTCGTCGATGCCCAAGACGACTACATGGAGGCGCTCGCCAAGCTGCACATGACTGTCAAGAAGGCATACAAGGTCAACCCCGACATCAAGTTCGAGGTCTTCATCCACAAGGTTGACGGTCTGTCTGACGAGCACAAGATGGGTACGCATGGTGTTTTTTGGGTTGTTTGGTTGTTTGTTTGTTTGTTTGTGTTTTGTTTTGCTGACTTTTTTTTTTCTTTTCTTTTTGATTCTCTTCTTCCTGCTCCGTTTCCCTCTTTGGTGCTTCCTGCTCGCTAGAAACCCAACGCGACATTCGCCAGCGTGCCACTGATGAGCTCAGCGACTCGTCGCTCGGCCAAATCCACCTCTCCTTCTACCTGACTAGCATTTACGATCATTCGATCTTTGAGGCATTCAGCAAGGTCGTTCAGAAGCTGATTCCCCAGCTCGCTACTCTTGAGAATCTGCTCAACATTTTGATTTCGGTAAGGTGATGGTGTCTTTGGATGCGACCCATTCTTTTTGCGAAATGCTCACACTCACCATCTCCCCCCCCCTTCCGGCATCCGCCAACAGAATTCTGGCATCGAAAAGGCCTTCCTCTTCGACGTTGTCAGCAAGATTTACATTGCCACTGACAGCTCACCAGTCGACATGCAATCGTATGAGCTGTGCAGCGACATGATTGACGTTGTGATTGACGTTTCGTGCATCTACGGCTTGAGGGACGACGACGGCATCGCGTACGATGAGGACTCTGGCTCCATTATCAAGCTCAACAACGGCATGGTCTTGTATCTGCGAGAAGTCAACAGGTATCTTGCCCTCGTGTGCCTGCTGCGCGAGGAGCACTTTGCCAAGCACGGCTTGATTGCGTACAACTTCCACTGCTTCAGGCAAGCGATTCAAGCGGTATGTCAACGAGTGATTGTGTTTGTGTTTTGATTCGGAGAAGTTTTGAAACTCATTGAGTCTCTGCGCTGCCGTTCCTTGCGTCCATAGGTCTTTGACGCCCGTCGCAAGATGCTTGGTCATTAAACCTCACTTTCACCGTCCGAAATTGAGAGTGACTTCCTTTTTTTCTTCTTTTTGACCATTTAGTGTTGCGCTTGACAGCGACCCGATCAGCGCAATACTCGTGGCCCTTCGGTTCCGTGCCATCGATTTTGATTGTATTTTCGTTGTGAATGTGTGATTTGTGGATGAACAAATAACCAGTGATTTTTTTTTCAATTTCGTTGTTCAATGTGGCAGTAGATCTACACTTCCAATCGAAATTGTGCCGAAACACCAACAATCATTCAAGCTGAATGGAAGACACCTCGCCATTGTCAGCATACGAGAACTTGACGGCGCGGTTGCTGTTGTCCAAAGAGATGCGACCAGCTTCGAGAATTGCAGTCACGAGGGTGGTTGCGCGAAGCGTGGGAAGCGCGCGATCAAGCGCTTCGGGTGTGGTCTTCTTCTTGTTGACAGCAATGCATCCATCCACAAAGTGCTGAAGTGACTTGTAGCCATAGCCGTGCTGGAACGCAAAGCAAGCACGAGAATTGTCAAAGAATATCGTAAGAATTGTTGGAAAGAATATTCCCAAACCAAAGATTCAAACCCTTTCATCATCCCAATGTTCGAAACAAAAACAAAATAAACTCTACGCCTACCTGTCCACCGAAATGACCTTCAGCGGTCGGGTAGTACGCCATGTACAACGGGTTGATGGAGGCAAAGCCGCCCTGGTCGCTGGCAACCGCGTAGTTGCGGTGAGCCTGATCCACCGTGATTTCACCGGAATGCCCCATGTAGAAGAAGCGCTGCTGCGAGTGCACGTCAGCCTTGGGAGCCGACCACGAGGCCACGTACGTGGCTACGCCCATCGTGCCCGAAGCAATGTTTTGCCAGTGGGTGATCAGCGTGATGGTGTCCTCTGTGCCAGCAGGGCAGTTGTACTTGCCCTCGGCCACGCCGTTGCTCTGCATGGCAATGAGGCGCACGGGCTTTGCGATGCCTGTAGTTGTTTGTTTTTTTGGACAGTATGAATGGTGAGCTGCATCAAAGACAAAAATGTTTCTGGTTTCTTTTTGGCTCAGCTCGAGCATTCTTCTCACCCTGCATGGCCCAGCAGTGAATGTCAATGTGGTGCGAGTTCAGGTAATAGCTAATGTCTGAGCCGGCGCCCGCCCAGCTGCGGAATGTTTCGAGCTGGAACTTGGGCTGGCTCATGTAGCTCTGATACAGGCCGAAATCGCCGTAGGTGCGGATGCGTTCGCGTGCATCATGGTAGATCGGGTCGAAACGCTGGAGTGGAGATAAAGGTGGGGGGGGGGCAACGAGTGAGCTTTCAAGAGAAATAAAACAAAACAACGGACGCAATTCTCTTTCATCCCCACCTTGTGGAACTCGACCATGACAAACACGTTGTGCTTCTTGGCTTCATCCAGAAGGACCTGGTGATCATGCAAGGTCTTGACGGCAGGCTTTGTCAGCAGCACGTGCACCTGGTGCTGAATGGCATACAGTGCAATCTCAAAGTGCGTGTTGTCCGGCGTGAAGATGGTGATTGCATCGCCCGGCTGCAGCTTGTCAATCGCCTTCTTGTCTGTTGTCGAGTGTAACAGGGGTTGCAAAAAGCCACTCGTTTCCAAGTGAGCATTCATCATCATCATCATCATCACCAGCAGCAGCAACGTTAACCATTGAATCAAGCTTAGTAACAATCACGCTTTAATTCCGCAATGTAGCCGTACATGCGACGGGATCGCGCTCGACGTCGTCCGCCGGGTACGTGTCGCAGGAGACGTCGACGCCGCCATAGACGTCGCTGATCTTGGACTTGAGGTGGGCGCGGATGCCGTTGAATTTGGAGCCGGTCGTGCCAACCAGCGCCAGATTGCCAATCTTGCCCAGCCGACGGAGGTCGAACAGGACGAGCGCCACCACGCCAATCTTCTTGTCGCTCGCAGACTGCGATCCGTGCACATAGCCAGTCGTGTACTCGCCCGTGCTGCCACAGATTAGGAGGCCGGGGGATGGGGCAAAGACACAGAGTGAACAGTGAGCAGATTCAATCTCCGACCATACCGAATAGCACGATGGACGAGTCACCATCACTCAAGCAGTGTCGCAGGTTGACATCAAGGATGATTAGCAAAACAACACAAAAAAACAAAAAACAAAAACAAACGCACCCCATCATGGCGACGTTGATCGTGTCTCGAGACGAAGAAGAAGCAGCCATCTTGTTTTGGATTTTTGGATGTGTTGAAGAGATAATCACAAAAGTAGGACTGGTTCCGGGAAAAGTATGGTGTATGAGGCTTGATTCAAAAAGTGCAGGCGGTGGTTTTGAACGACAGCACGATTGGGCAAAAAGCATAACAAAACAAAAGCTTGGACGAGAGTTTGGACGAAGTTGGTGATAAAAAACTGGAGATTTGTCTCACAAAATGCTTGAGACGCAAACGAGGAAACGCCACAACGTTGGACACATCAGCAATTTTGCCTCTCGACATCAAGACATGGGAGTGGCAGTGCTTGCACCAGAAGACGATGCGCCAGAAGAAGAACCGGTCGGCGCGGAATCTGGTCGCAATCGGCGAATGGACAGGTCATACACGACCTCTTCGATCTTTTTAACGTCGTATTTAAGCGCATCAAAGCGCTTGCGCAGGCCGTCGTTCTTGAGGTTGAGCAGACGGAAGCCAGAGTTGAGATCGTTGACAAAGTTGGCAATTCGGAATGGGCGATCAAACCGACCAGCCGTGACACTGTTGACGGCAAGTCTGGCCTGTACATGGTGAATCAGCCGCAAGGGAAAATCGGAACGGTCATGATGAGGTCAGTAAGGGGCTCCGAACGTTCAGAAAGCAAAGCCAAACAAAACACAAAATGGAGGTGCCAATCTTGTACCAATTCAGACGACAAGTTGCACAACGCAAAGAGATAGTCCTCAAGAGCAAGGTGGAAGGAGTCGCCCTCGCCCATTTCAACTGAGATCGTGAATACATGTAAGCGAGGGCAGTAGCAGACCGCACAGCATTGGCTTGATGCACGCAACGCTTACCGCCCAGCTTTTCCCGAATTTGCTCAAAGGTAATCAACGTCTCAGACTCCAAGTACACGACAAGAGATGCCAGAAACACGCTCTGCTGGGATGAGAACTTCCAGTGGTCGCAGTAGCGGTGAAATTGTCCAGCAGGGACTTTGGCGGCAATCTTGCTCAGCGCCTGAGCGACTTCGACAAACATGGGAGCCGCCGCCCTGCAAATCTGTGCATCTGTGTCAAATAGCAATCAACCCGCATACAACAAAGCCACAAAGCAATGGTGAGTGTTGTGTCGCGGTGTGTGCTTTACGATTGAGGATTGGGATTGCGTTTCGCCCCCAGCGCTCGTTTTGCACTGCTCACCGTCGGCCGTGGGCTGGTGCACCTGTGAGAGCAGCGTCTGCAACTTGCGGTTGGACAGCTCGAGGCTGCGGACTTCCTCGCGAATGGCCTGTCAACACGACACCAAACGCACGAGTGAGCAAGCAAAACGTCGCCAAGTCCTCACGTCCCCCTCCCTCCCTGCCAACGATCCACACGCAATGCAATGATGCTCATGGATCCACAGGGCAGGTCAATGAATTGGCGGAATTGGCGGAATTGGGTACTTCGCGAATGCTCGTTTCAGCGTCAAACTGCTGCTGAATGGCAGCGAACAAGTCGACGAGCTGCGTTTCAGTCGCCATTGGTGAAAAGACTGGCATTCTGAGAAAATTAAAAGAGTTTGAAAAAACAAAAAAGGGAGTCCAGTCATTGTTTGTACAACGTTTGTTTGCTCACAATCTCAGAAAACAAAAACAAACCAAACAACCATGTCAAGCACTCCAACACTGGAAGCAATCCGGTACACGCGCGGGTCGCTCGACATCCTCGACCAGCTGCAGCTCCCTGCACAGACCGTGTACGTGTCCATCCCAGACAGCCGCGCGGCGTGGACGGCCATCAGGTCCATGCAGGTCCGTGGCGCGCCAGCAATTGCCATTGTCGCGGCGCTCAGCGTTGCCGTCGAGCTCGCCGCCGCGCCACGAGCAGCCTGGCCCAACGCACAGGCCGTCGCAGACCATGTCCGGCTCGCGTTCGAGGCGCTGTGCACGTCGCGGCCAACCGCCGTGAACCTGTCCGAAGCAGCGTCGGCGCTCACCGCACGTGCGGCTGCGCTCGCCGCGTCCAACGCCAGCGTGGACACGACCGTTGACGCGCTGCTCAAGGCCATGGAAGACATGCTGCTCAAGGACGTCGCAGACAACCGAGCGATCGGAGCGCACGGGCGAGCCGCCATTCTCGCGGCAAAGTCCCAGGCTGCCAGTGCTGCCTCCTCAGTGTCATCATCATCATCATCATCATCATCATCATCATCATCATCATCATCATCATTGCCGAAAATCGCAGTGCTGACGCATTGCAACACGGGCTCGTTGGCCACGGCTGGGTATGGAACTGCTCTGGGCATTATTCGAGCTCTGCACGAGACGGGCAAGCTGTCGCATGCGTATTGCACCGAAACACGTCCGTACAACCAAGGTGCACGACTCACCGCGTATGAGCTGGTATATGAGCGTATTCCGGCAACGCTGATTACTGATTCCATGGTACGCAAACGAAAAACACAAAACAACGGCCCTTCTGTTTGGTTGCTCTCATTTTTTTTAATTGTTTCTTGACTTGGCATACTTGACACACCGTAGGTCGCGGCCCTCATGGCATCTCGAAAAATTGATGCGGTCGTGGTTGGTGCAGACCGCGTCGTGGCAAATGGCGATACGGCCAACAAAATTGGCACCTACCAGCTTGCCATTGTTGCCAAGTTTCACAATGTGCCATTCTATGTGGCGGCACCTACTACCTCCATTGACCTTGACAAAGCCGATGGCAGCATGATAACCATCGAGGAACGGCCTGCAAGCGAGCTGACGCAGCTGAATGGCGTTCGCATCGCAGCGGCAGATATCGGCGTGTGGAATCCAGGGTTTGACGTCACGCCTGCCGCGCTCATTACCGGCATCGTCACAGAGAATGGTGTCATTTCGGCACGGCGGGAAGATGGCTCGTTTGATGTGCAATCCTTCCTTTCTCGATGACATGTTTTGGTTTTTCGTGGATTGTTGAGCCTTTTATTGTTGCTAATTGAAGAGTAAACGAATCTGTTTCCTTAACCAAGCATTGTTTAATGGAGAGAGAGAGAGAGAGTGTGTGTGTGTGTGTGCGAGGTACACAGAGCAAGGGCAAACATCCCAACAACGCGCCTTCTACTTGAGCTTTTGAACAAGCACAGCGTTCGCAAGATTTGCAGCAATGATGGTCTGCGACTCGTCCGTCAGCTCGCGGTTCGGGAAAGTTGACGGCACTGGGTCGAGACCTGCATGTTGGAGCACACCCAAAAAACCAAACGAAAGGTGAGGAATATTGAAAAGCAAGCAACACCCACCAAAAACTCGCACTTACGCCGCCACAAAGTTGCGAATGTCCGCCACGGTGTGCGAATGGTTGAACTTGGCAACGAGACTGTCATCGGAGTGTGAGAAAAAAAAAGCCACAGCATGGGCGCAGCAATATGACAATTCTCACCGCGTTCCGTCAGCAAGGCGGATTTGAATGCTCGTAGTCGGCTGTGAAGGATCAACAGAAAGCTGCGAGACGGGTGCCGCAGGAGTTGGCGCTGCACTGACAGACGGGCCAGCAGCCTGAGTTCCGATGACATTCGGAGTGGGCCTGGGGATACACCCATCATACGAATGAGCACGACAGCAGAAAATGTTGATGTTCCACTCGCACAAGAGATCAATCAGGTACTTACGTGCCAAGGGTGTAGCCAGTACCAGCAAAAGCCTGAGCTGGCTTCTTCACCTGCACAAACTCTTGGGTGCGATTGTCCACCAAGCTGATGCTGACCTCTCCGGGATTGGTGTTGCCTATCAACTCACGAGGAGCAACACTGGGCGAGACGAGGAAGAGGGTGAGACACGGAGGCGGGAGGCGGGGAGAAATGTAGGACGGTTTCAATGTACATACCCTTGTTGAATGTCGGCCAAGAATGCAGCATTCTGAGGGTCGTCGAAGCGACGCAACGGACCATCGTCCACGGAGAAACCGTCGCGCCAGAACGTCAGACGGTAGTGCACCTGTTTGAGCACAAAAGTGAGATCAAAGGAAAACAGCAGTGTGTTCCATCCCTGTTCCAACGCGCGTCCGCACTTTTGTCGACGCGGGCTCCTCGGCTGCTGCTCCTGCTGCTGCAGTCGATGCGGCTCCAGCTTGCGGTGGCGGCTCGTTGCCATCGCCCAGGCGCATTCCTGTTTTTGGTTTGCCGTTGAAGAAAACATGTTGTTCAGCAATGCTCCCGAACAACACAAGAACCGAACAAATCAACCAAAAAGGGTGGGGGGGGGGGAAACAACACCTCCTACCTGCACCACCGAACGCGGCTTGACGTTGACGCCTTGGCTGATCTTCGACCTCGCTTGCGCCTTGTCTGTTCAGAGAGAGATTTTAGGTCATTCGTAATCTTCTCCAAAGCGCCCTGCACCCATGCATCCCTCCCAAATTTCGACAATTCGACGCAAAAAACACTATTATTATTATTACTCGCGAGCTTGGCGGAAGACGTTCTGGACGAGGTTGTCGTTGCCTCTGCCAGCGCGACGACTCGGGTCTTGGATGAGCTGGCCACTGCCGCCAAAAAAAACCAAAAACCAAAAACCAAAAAACCAGAAATGAGTGATGATTGTGTAACTGTGAGTACGATGATGATGTGAGCGAAATGGATGAGTGTCTCGCTTCAGTGCTTCCGTGTGCGTTGAATTGGAAAATCTCGAAACTCGGACGTCTCTCTTCCGCTGCAATGCAATGCTGCAATGGATACGGTTTGCGGGGTTGAGCGGACTCTGTGCTGTGGCTTTGGAGGTTCTGAACGCTTGAGCTTTTGCGCTTTTGAGCTTTGAGACGAGAGCAGCAACACCAGAGGAAGGACCAGAGCCCAATTGCCAATGCACTTCCAATGCACTTCCAATGCAGCAGCGTCATCAAATCCCGAACAACCCCCGCTGCCAAACCCCAGCCCCACACTCGCCATCACTCTCGACAGCTTCAATGAGGCCAGAGTGCCCGTGTTCAGGTGCAGCTCCAACCACGCAGCCACCGGCTGATCTCACTCAGATGGCTCAAATGGCTCAATGCTCCCGTTCAATCAGTCAGCTTGCCTGCGCTCACTGCCGCCGGCGTAGTGCTGCTGGGGCTCGTCGTCGTCGTCGCTGCCGTGGCCGTGATCGTCGCCTTCGTCGGTGCGAATGTCCTTCAGCGTCGCCAGTCGAGACATGGATTAAGGGTTTGCAAGTCAAAAGTGGAAAAGAGACTGAGCATTCTGAGCAAACTGAGCATTCTGAGCAAACTGAGCATTCTGAGCATTCTGAGCATTCTGAGCAAGCTTTGCCGATGCGATTTCAAAAAGAGGAAAAGGCTCAAAGTGCTCATTGTACGTTCTTACTGTAGTTTCCCAATGCTACAACTCAATCCCTCCCTCGACCCTTGAGTTCCAATTGAAATCTCTACCCTGCACTGTTCTACTGATGCCAATGCACAATAGCCCCGAGCATGATACTGTGTACAATACACCTATCGATTTCAAAAATCCTGATCACCGCTGTCTTTCCCTCCATTATTGCACAAACGCCAAGCCATCCATTCGCCACTCTGAATGACGAATGTGATGCTCGATCTGTTCTATAGTAGCAATGCTAATGAAATGAATGATGCGCCAGTCTCCCTTCTCACTCACTTTTACTTGACGCTCGCTCGCTCGCTGTCGGTTCGGTTCCAATGCAGTCGCGGTTTCTGGTGCTGGCCGTCGCGCTGTCGTTCGACCTCGTGCTGACGTCCTTCCTGTACATTGCGATTGCGCGTGGCTCGTCGCTGGGCTTCTCAGAGTACACGCGGCGCTCCTTCACGCAGTACCACTTTGCCCAGTCGCTCGTCGATGTCGTCCTGTTTGATCTCATTCGCGCGCTAATCTACCTCGCCGTCGCCGTCCTCGCGCTCGCTCGCGGTCCCAACAAGCACACAAACATCCGCTTTGTCATTGTAAGCATGCGCAAAAACCAATGGTGGCGGGCGAACGGCGGGGTCCATGTCAGGTTGGTGACGTTGGATTCGATCGCTTCCCATGAGCCACGAAGCCACGAGCCACGGAGCCTCAAGTCAGCTACGAGTCAGTCACTCGTACACATCCATTCAAGTCGAACATCAGCATCCAGCAATCAAACAATACACAAAAAAAAAAAGCACCGCCTGGATCCTGACAAGTCAGATTGGATTCAAAGACATCCACGCACTCCGTACGTCCTTACTCACCCCCACTTTGCTTGCTTGGTGACAGCTCAATGCATTCGGACAAGTCGGACTGTGCATTGCGAAAACCAGCCAGATGGACTTTGGGATTTTCTCTGCTGGAATCCAGCCATGGGTCTACTTGCTATTCGTGGCGCTGTTCGTCCTTCCGCTCGTCGATGGCTTCTTTGCGCTCAGCGTCCCTTCCAGTAAGAGCGGATTTCTTAGTCTGTTTGTTTGGTGTTTTTTTTTGGGGGGGGAGGGGTGTCGCTGATATTTTCTTGTCGTGCGCTCACTTGATCCAAAACGCCCAGAGAAACTGCTGCTGGCGAGTGAGCGAACCCCGCTACTGAACGAGTCGCGCGCATCGGGCGTTTCCATCAACGTCGAGAACTACGATGAGGACAACGACAAGCCTGAATCGTAAGCACCACCTCGAAAAGGGTTTAGCGGGGGAAGGCATCCATGATTTTCTCGAGAAGGCTCACCAAAAGCCAAACCGTGCCGTGCAACAGACTACGGAACAGCCGCCATCATGACGATCAATCGGATTCCCATTCGTGGTCGAGTGAACACTTCTTTGTGGCCACAGGTACAGGGGGGGAAATGGACGTAAACGGATGGCTTGCACGCTTTGGTTGGTTGGCATCTACTAATCCTTTGTTTGTCTGCAGAATACGTTGAACCTGCATCGCCGGCGTCTGAAGACCTCTCTGGTGCCGAACTGCAGGGCAACCACACGCCCACTGACCTGGTGACCAAGTTTACAACCGCATTGACTCAAATTGAGCACTTGTACAACCATTCTAGAGTCACCAAGGTAGGGACAGAAGAAACGCGAAAAAAAAAAAAAAAAAAAACACCAATACTGATTGCCCTGGTTTTGTGTCGCTAACTTTGTGACACTGCTTCTTCTGCAGGCCGCAAAACTACTCACCGTAACTCGAAACGCTCTTCGACATCACATGAGCAATCGCCATGTCACCCACTTGACCGGTGGCGACATGACTGCTGCAGCGGCATTCGACCAAATCGCCGCACTCATGCGCCAAGCAGAGAGTCGGCACCATCATATCGAACACGAAGCTGCCATGCTCAAGCTATTTCTCGCCTCAACAGACAACGACGAGGGGTGGATTCTGCAGGGCGAAACAAACGGCATTCGAATTGACTACCAACACCGCGAAGGGTCGGCAACGCACACCATTCGAGCCAAAGGCACCGTGGAGGCCGATACTGTGTGTTTACTCGTTGTTGCCACCGAATTGGATCTGTTGGGCACGTAAGTATTGTCGCAGTTTCTTGTCGTGACTGTTGGGATATTTTTTGCGTTTCGGTTTTCAATTTCAATGGCTCACTCTCTTGGCTTCCTTTTGTGTTTCCTCCCCACGCAGCTGGTTCCCGAGCTTTACCTTCCCGCTGAAGTTTGGAATGCAAAAGTCGACGAGGGTTGCTCGTGTGGCTCCGCTGCATGACCTCACCTACGTTGCGGCGTCTGTGCCGTGGCCGTTCGCTGATCGCGACTTGACTATCAATCTTGTCTTTGAAAACCGGCTCAACGACGATGGCACACTCGTTGTTGCGTTTGAGACTGTTGAAATGTACAGTGGCGTCACCCTGCCCGCGCCAACAGAGGGCGTCGTACGCATCGACCTGACTGGTGGTCTCGTCTTCCGGCCAATCGATCGCCATCATGTGCAAATTCAAATGGTGTGGGATCTTGATCCCAAGATTAGTGTTATTCCGGCTGCGGTGTTGAATTTCCTGATCAAGAAGGTGAGCGGGCTATTTGCAAAAACAACAAGCAAACCAACTGCAATGATGCTCATCACTGAGTTTGGCGCTTGCCTGTGTGTGTGTCGGTTCATCGAGCAGGTCATCAAGCATGGTCTGACCATGTATACAGAGATTGCACGAAAGATTCAAGGGACGCCCTACGAAGTCCGACTCAACGCGGATCCTCACTACGCCGAGCTGAGCGCCAAAATCCGTGCTCTCCACTCGCTTCGTTGAACCCATTGTTCTTTGCTTTTTGATATGTTTCAAAATGGTTGATAGTGTCATTGTGTTTTTCTTTGTGAATTTCAAAAAAGTGGATTCTGAGTAACTTTGTTGTTGCTCAGTCATTCCTTGTCAACCAGAATGGTTGACCAGCTCGTCAACTTTCTCACCATTGAGAAGCGTGTTGTATGTTTTATTTATTTTGCGCTGCAATACCAATGATTATTGTGGTTTCAGCAGTGTGGCTTGTCGTGTTGACCGAAGTGAAAGGAAGATTGGATTGTTTGTTCTGTTTTGTTTTTTGGCGCGAACTCAATTTTTGGCGGGAAAGTCCTCGAAATATTGACTCTCCTTGTATTTGATCGTCCACACTGCTGACCACTCGCCACTAAACTTACCTTACGTTTTGGTCTGCTTGTGCGTGACACACAGATCACGAGCAGGTGGCTGAGCGCGGCGCTTGGGTTGCCAGTCACATCAGCCAAATCGTACGGCGCGCTGTCGCATTGATCGCCTCTCTGGAACGACAGAACGAACACGCCCAGCGTTCGGGCTACCAACGGGTTTCAGACTGAGCTGTCTCGTCAGACTCACGCTTTTGTGGTTTTTGGTGCTGTGGATGGCTTTGGTGGGGAATGCAGGCTCATGGCCGAGTACGTCCACAAGTATCTGGCCAAACCCAGCAACGTCCCCGCCAGCACGGCCTTTGCCACGTATCTTGTGACGGGTACTCCGAAAGACGTCCAGGAGAAAGTCGCACGTGGCAGTGGCGACGATGCTGCGCCGTTGGAGATGCGCCTTGTCCACCAGGATGCGCTTGCAGGTGAGTGCAGGCGATTCCTGCACAACCCGTTCATTGGTGGCAGCAACCGAGTCTCATCTTCAAGATCTGTTGTGATGCACAGACATCCTTACCCACTTTTCCAAGGTCAAATCCTTTGAAGTCTACGCACTCTCCCCGTCCAAGCCTCTGGTATGGTGTCGCATGATTGTTTGTCGTGTCAAAGCGAATTTCACGCCTCAACTCACCAACCAACGGTGGTTTTTTTTTTGCAGGCCACTAGCATTGTTATCACTGATGGAGAGTCAGCGACGTATGCGTCCTCGCCAGCCTTGTAAGTGTGCAGGGGGGATTGGTTTTTGTTTTGTTTTGTTTCGTTTCGTTTCGTTTCGTTTCGTTTCGTTTTGCTGCAACGTTCTTTGTTCATTCTTGATCTCCCCCCCCCTGCACCCTGCTCTTCAACCTTCAACGCACACAGACGAAATACAATCACCTGCAGCCTTGCAGTGCCTCGAAAGATTTCACAGAATGCCGCGCAAGGCACCGCTCGGCCCATACTGCCAGTGAAGGCCCTGTCCGTGAAGGCGACGCCTGCTCCGGCGCAGCCATCCACCGCTGCCGCTCCTCCAGCCAGCAGTGCGCCAGCCGAGGCGACGGCAACCACGCCTCTCGCGAAAAAGCCCTCTGTAGGCGCGCAGTCGTCTGTTGCCAGCATGTTTGCCAAAGCAAAGACCCCGTCTACATCGACAGATTCATCCCCAGCCTCGAAAGAAACCAAAGTAGCCGCCGAGCCGATGGACGTGAGCCCGAGTCCGACCGCCCCCGCCAAAGCTGCGTCGTCCGCTATTGCCAGCATGTTTGCCAAAGCCAAGCCCAAGTCCTCTGAGCCCAAGAAGGAAGCCGAAGTGGCCCCTGCTCCCGCGGCTCCAACGGCGCCAACTGCAACTGCAGTGCCGAGTCCTGTGGTCCGTAGTACTTGTCTTGTTGCGGTTGTCGGTGACTTTTTCTTGTTTTGACATGATTTTGGGTTCCTCTCTGTTGGGATGCGTGCAGGACACACCGAAACGAAGGCGTGCAGTCGACTCGGACGATGACGAGGAGGAGGTCAGGCCATTGAGCAAAAAGGTGCATCATCAAGAAGTAAAGAAGCCCGAAGTGAAAAAGCCGCAGGATGATGACGAGGAAGATGAAGACGATGACGATGAGGCAGCCTCGGCCGAGCGAGATTTTGTATTTGACGAGGAGCCTCCAACAGGTACAAACCCTTTGCTTTGCCCCCTTTTCATGAGCCGACGAAGCGCACATTGTCAGTGGTGTTGAATTTTTTTTGTTGTTGTTGTTGTTGTGGTTGCTGTTGTTTGGTGGATTGGACGTAGGCTCCAAGGTCGTTGCCAACAAGCCGGAGGCCAAGGCGGCACGTGTGCAGGTTAAACGGACATTTGTTGATGAAAAGGGTTTCAGAGGTAACCACCCACGCAGATGTGTTCCAGGAAGGACAATCGGACACTCACAGCCCCTCTACCTGTTTTTCTGCACTCTGATAGTCACAAAGATGGTGTTTGAAGACGCACCAGCCGACGAGACAAGCCCGCCGGCAGCGCCTGCACCCAATCCCGCTCCCAAGTCGCCACCGAAACCAGCCCCTGCGCCAAAGAGTGCATCTTCTAATAAGACTGCAACAGCGACCCCACCAGGCTCCAAGCAGGCCTCGCTGATGAGCTTCTTCAAAAAGTAGAAATCAGAGCTGAAGCAGTTGAATGGTTGTTTGCTCGTGTTCTGACTACAACAAACGAAAAACAGCATCGCATATCCCCACACTGAGACACACGGCCAAAGTTGAAGCAAACGCAAACGCCGCTAATCCTCTTTGCCACCGATGGCATTGAGACGCTCGACAAGCGGGGGATGGCTGTAGTGGTACATGCTGTACAGTGGATCGGGGTCCATGTCAGAGAGGTTGTTCTTTTGCAGCTTGACGAGGGCAGTTCGAAGATGGCCACCGTGACCAAGCTTGGCGGCGAAAGCGTCGGCTTGGAACTCGTATCGTCGGGACAAAACAGTCATCAGGAACTGCAGCACCGTGTTCATGGGCTGAAAGACAAACTGGAAGACCAGGAACATGCCGATAAAGACGGGTCGCGAGTCGGGGAAGCCAAACGACGTGTACAGAGGCTGGTACGACACAAACAGACTGAACAGGGCGAACGAGACAAAGTTCATGAACTGCGAAAAGACAAAGTTCTTGAGCGTGTGGTTGAGCTTCCAGTGGCCAAGCTCGTGCGCGAGAACGGCAAGAATCTCGGGAACGGTGCACGGCTCGGTGACTCGCTTCTTGCGGGCTGGCTGCTGCTCGTCGTGGCTGTGTCCGTGGTTGTCGCTGTCGTGGCTGTGGCCGTGGTTGTCGCCGTCGTGGCTGTGGCCGTGATCGTGGTGGCTGTTGTGGCTGTGGCCATGCAAGCCAGCATCAAGCTGCCGACGAGCAACCCCAACGGCTGCAGCGCTGCTGTCGAGGTTGTACTCGTCACCGAGCAGGGTGTCGAACAAGACAATGCGCTTGTTTTTGAAAAAGCCGTAAAAGTAGGCGTTGCTGTGCGACGAGCGCTTGGAAGCAAGCACGACAAAGATTTTGACCAGCGGGAATTGGATGTCGGGGTGCTGGGCGAGCGACTGGATGCGCGAAAGCAGCTCGCCATCGGGCAGCGGCACGTACTTGTCAAACATGGGCGCAATCACAACAGGGTAGATGGTCAGCATGAGCACACTGAACGCCAGCATGAAGAACCACACGTAGAAGTAGAACTGCTCGCCGCCCCACTGAATCAGAAACACGAGCGGGCCAACGACAACAGGAATCAGGACAATGGTCAAAACCAGCTGCTTGATCTTGTCCACGATGAAAAAGCCAACCGACTGCCTGTTGAATCCGTGCTTCTCCTCCACGACAAAAGTGGCATACGCCGACCACGGGAGCGTCGTGACAAAGGAGAGGACGGAGAAGACCCAGACGAACGCGACCGAGTGGACAATCGGATGCTCGGCCGCCGAGTCGTACCGCAGCAAGTCCTGTGTGATGGCTCGGCCCGACCAGCTCCAGCACCACGGCAGAAAGCCCAGCAGCAGGATGGCCGTCATCTCGATCTGCGAGTACGCGTTTCGCAGCATGTCGAGCTGCGACCGGTCCTTGTTGTAGCTCTGCGTGCGCTCAAACAGCTCTTCCTTGACAATGCCACGCAGCACCTTGGGCACCAGCGCGTCAATGGACTGCGCATGCGGACGCAGCGCGGCAACGTAGCGCTGGTGCTGCCGCAGCGACAGGTACATTTCGAACGCAAACAGCGCCCAGCCAAACGCCAGTGCCGCCTGCATGTACGGGAAGGTGTCAAACGCAGCCTGGAGCTCGGCAACGCTGCGTCCGGACAGGGTGGCGAGGGACTCCATGACGCTGTGGGATTGACCGGGAAACGGCAAAGAGGAAAGAAAAGAGACAAGGACTGAGTTTCTGGATTGAGGATCTTGGAGAGCAATAAAACAAACAAAAAAGAAAGAAAATGTGGGAACAGCAAAGCAATGTAGTTGTATGCTTTGTGGTGTCGATCAGGCGGGAAGGGAGTGAGGGCGGGCGCGAATCGAGTGCTAGCAATTGGCCAAGTTTAGCGATGCAAATGAGGGTGAATGAGGCTGGCAGTTCGCGCTCCACAACGTTGATTCTATGGAAAATATACTTGATAGTTGAAATCGAGGTGTTTGGCCGATGTTGAGGGCTCGATTGTGCGTAGCGCGGGTGCCGGAATAATTTGCCCAAGTTCCAGGTCCATATCTCAAAATGTCTCCGGTCTTCACCGACGCCGCGTTGCCCATGAGTTATGGTACATGTTTCAATGTATGTTATGTGGGTGGTTGATCTAGATCTCCAATTTGCAACGATATCGCAAGTTTGAATTGAGCGTACCTCTAGGCCTAAATTTTCGAGATTGACACAATTTTATTGCCGGGAATTTCGCGGGTCTTAGCAGCACCATTCTTCACTAATTATTATTGACCATACTGAGTTGATCTTAATGGTGGTTTGATCATGGCAATATGTCTTGATCACACATTTTTGTGACATTCGGAAATCTCGGTAACGAACGCAAGCATCTTTTGGCGCCAAACAGAGCACTTGTGAGTTTACTAGAGACGAAAGAAACGCACGGCACGTCGTTGTTTCCGAGAATCATCGTTGATCAAAGCGGTGCGGCGAATGAGTTCAAGAGGTCTGCGACATGAAAGTTGGAACAAACCGGATTTCTCGCTGTTGGAGAGAATTTTTCGGCTTGGATCGACCCAACCACGCCGCATTTCTTGCCTCTGCTTCCTCCTTGTCCGTCTCAACATGTTGCTTCATAGTCGATTCAGGCTTGAGTGGATGCGGTCAGTCAAGAAGGTCCAGTCCTTCTATTTTGTTTTTGTCGAAATGAACCAACCAATCCTCGTCTTGAGTATGATTTTGTAGACTTTGCTAGTTAGCCGCTTGCTATGTGATTCGTTTTTTTTTTGCTAACTTTTTTTTTTTTTTTTTTTTTTTTTTTTTTTTTTTTTTGGGATAGACACGAACGTGCAGCGTGAGAGTGGCCGCAAAGTGCAAGAGCAGAACATTGCCGCAGCCAAGGTCAGCCACAAACAAGCCGAGCAAAAGCAAGCAAAGCCAGCGCACAATGGATGAGACGAGCAGCGATGAGCAGCGATGGCGAGGGAGCATAGAGTGGGGAAGAGAGAGCACAGCGGGATAGTCCGATCGCCCCTTTTGCGGCCTCTTTTGGGGCCGACCCGGGGGGGGGAGGGTCGTGTTGGTGCGATGCCAACGCCACACCATCGCATGCATTCGAACAACCGACTTTGCCCGTCCTTCCATCCGTCAGCTCTTTCTCTGCGTGTTTCGAGATCGCGCTTTTATTTTATTTTATTTTATTTTATTTTTTTATTTTTCATTTTTTTATTTTTTCGTTCCTTTTCCATGTGCTTTTATTGTTTTTCTGTCGTGTTTTTTTTTTTTTTTGTTTTTTTTTTTTTTTTTCCCCTCTGGTCGAACAACCACTTGTTTGAGCTCTCATCCCAGACTGGCGGTTGCTTTGTGCTGGTGCGTGGATTGCGCACTCCATCGTTCATTCGCCAATCCCACTCTCACGCCAGCCAGCGACACAATTGACAATGTCAACCAGCAGAATTGAAACAATGAAACCAAGAGTTTTTTTTTTTTTTTTTTTTTTTTTTTTTTTTTTTTTTCGTTGAAATTGACAGTCAGCGCTTCGCTCATCATCATCATTGCTTCATCTCGTTACTCACGTCGCTTTTGCCTTGTTGCTTTGTCCGTGCTCATTTTCTCAATTTTTTTTGTTTCTCCAGGCTGTCGCCGATGTCATCCGCACTTGCCTTGGCCCCCGTGCCATGCTCAAGATGCTGCTCGACCCGATGGGCGGCATTGTCATGACCAACGACGGCAACGCCATCCTGCGTGAGATTGACGTGTCCCACCCGGCTGCCAAGTCGCTCATTGAGATTAGCCGAACCCAGGACGAGGAGGTTGGCGACGGCACCACGTCCGTCATCATCCTTGCTGGCGAGCTTCTCAACGTTGCCCTTCCTTTCCTCGAGCGGAAAACCCACCCCCAGGTCTTGATCAACGCCTACACGACCGCGCTCGACGACATGCTCAAGTACATTGAAAAGACCGTTGCCGTCACGATTGATGTCAACAACGACGAGGACATGCTCAAGATCATCCGCAGCAGTCTCGGCACCAAGTTTATGAAGCGATGGTCGGATCTCGCATGCAAAATGGCCCTCGATGTGGTCCGCACAGTGTCCATCAACGAGCGAGGCAAGACTGAGATTGATCTCAAGCGGTATGCCAAGGTCGAGAAGGTAGGTCGAGCTGAAAGAAATGGCCAAAAAAACGATGGAGGTTTGTGCATAGTTTGGGGGGGGGGAGGGCTTGTATTCAAGCAGGAGTTTGTTGAAAGTCCGCTGTTTTTGTGTGTGTGTGTGTGTGGGGGGGTCTGTCGATATGCGCTTTGGTTTCTCATCTTTTCCCCCTTAACTTTCTTTTCTTGGTGTCCCCCCCCCTTCCGCCCCTTCATCCTTCACTTCCTTCCTTCCCTCTTCTTTCCGCTTAGATCCCCGGCGGCGAGATTGAAGAATCCTGCGTGCTCCAGGGCGTCATGTTTGAAAAGGACGTGACCCACCCCAAGATGCGCCGTCGCATTGAAAACCCGCGCATTGTGCTGCTCGACTGCCCGCTCGAGTACCGCAAGGGCGAGTCACAGACCAACATTGAGATTTCCAAGGAGGAGGACTTTGCAAAGATTCTCAAGCTCGAGGAGGAGCAGGTGGAGAAGATGTGCATGGACATTATCGCCCTTAAGCCCGACCTTGTCATTACCGAGAAGGGCGTGTCTGACCTCGCGCAACACTATTTTGTCAAGAACAACATCACCGCGCTGCGTCGTCTGCGCAAGTCAGATAACAACCGTGTCGCCCGCGCTTGCGGTGCCACCATTGTCAGCCGAACGGACGAGCTGCGCGAGAGCGACGTCGGCACTGGCTGCGGTCTCTTTGAGATTAAGAAGATTGGCGACGAGTACTTTACCTTCATCACCGAGTGCAAGTCGCCCAAGGCATGCACAATTCTGCTTCGCGGCGCTTCCAAGGACGTTCTGTCGGAGGTTGAGCGCAACTTGCAGGACGCCATGAACGTTGCGCGCAACGTTGCCATCGACGCTCGCCTGGTTCCCGGTGGTGGTGCAACCGAAATGGCACTGTCTGCTTTCCTCAACGAAAACTCAAAGTCCATCGAGGGCGTCAAGCAGTGGCCTTACCGCGCCGTCGCCCAGGCACTCGAAATCATCCCCTCGACCCTCATTCAAAACTGCGGTGGCAATGCCATCCGCGTCCTGACCGCCCTCCGCGCCAAGCATGCCGTCGCCGGCAACTCGAACTTTGGCATTGATGGTGACCTCGGTGTTGTTGCCGAAATGTCTCAACTCGGTGTCTGGGATGCGTACTCTGTCAAGATCCAGACGCTCAAGTCTGCTATCGAGGTGGGGATTCATTTGTGTGTTTAGAGGGGTTTGGTGATGGAATTCGAAAGTTTGAGGTTTTTTTTTGTTTGTTTGCTCATTTTCTTTTGGTTCATGGTCTTTCTCGATCATTGACAGACTGCCGTGCTTTTGCTTCGCATCGACGATATCGTCTCTGGCCTCAAGAAGGAGGGTGATGAGGCTGGCAACCCCGGCGCTCAAGCAGCCGACGAGAATGCCATGGAAATGTCGGCCGAGTAAAGTGCCGTGTTGAATTTTTCATTGCACCAGATGGCCCAGCTTCCTGATTCCTGGTCTTGGTTTTCGTTGCTTTTGTGACGATATCCACTTGACTAACTCCAATCCGTCCGCTTGTACTTTTTTTTTTGTTTTTTGAATCAATAAACTCTAGACACAATTTTTGTTTGGTGCACGCGAACAGGACTTTGAAAACAAACAAAAGAGAACATGTTATGATCAGAGATCGTTCCACGAAGATACGAGTGATGGGTTGATGATGAGAGTAAAGTTAGGGAAACAAGAGACTTCACTTCCACCAAGCGACGAGTGAACACACTCCAAATACAGATATACATCAATCCATAACAGAACATCGACAAGCGGAGCTCGAAAACGGGAACAGCAAAGCAGCAACTTGCGACAGGCAAAGTTGAAGCACAATAAGAAAATGTCTGTCTGCCAAAATGACCATCGACATTGAGTTAAAACTCCAGATCCTGTTGCCAACATGTAATTACACCAATTTGGCACTTACTCTGTCGTATTAAATACATGTAAAGCGAGTTCAAAGGGACCTTGTTGGAGGAGGGCGGTTGTTCAAAGGTGCTTTCTTCTGTTCCTTTCGAATTCTGTGATAACACATTGACCCCATATCCAAGCGGCTGTTCACCAAACAGGGGAATCCATTGGACTCTCACTGAACTTGCATTGGGTGTTGTGTGTGGTCGATATTGAGGTCACTCATTTTTTTTTCCCCCCCCCAAATGTCTGATTCCAGCCAAGACAGCCAAGACAGCCAAAGCAGCGCCCCACAGCAGCAACTTCGTGGCGTCGTCCGACCTGCCTCGCCCACTCAAGACCGCTCACCAAATGAGATTGTGCGCCCTCGCTTGGAGGAGTCAGCAACACGCGAAGCAGTTCGAGCCGCAGACCAGTTGCAGCCAGCCGAGCAGCCAGACGAGCAGCCAGCCAACGAGCGAGCCAACGCGCCAGCCAACGAGCGAGCCAACGCGCCAGTCAACGAGCCAGCCAGGCAAGGTGGCCAGCAAGCCAATCAGCCGCCCAACGAGGTGACCGACGAGCGAGCAGAACTCCGAGCAGAGATCGCTCGATTGAACGTTCGTATTGAGCAGAACGAAACTCAACTCCGACACTACGAGCAAGATGCTGCAGCCGCCCGTGTCGCAGGTCGCGAGCAACTGGCTCTGCATTATGAAACTCGCGCAGACGACGCCATGGCAGTCATCCGCAGCACAAGCGCGGCACACGCGGCGGCGCAACAACGTCTGTTGGCCATCACCCCAGCCCCAGCCCCAGCCCCAGCCCCAGCCCCAGCTTCAGCCTCAGCCCCAGTCCCAGCAGCCCCGATTCAATGTATGTCGTCCATTCTATTGAGACGCTTGTATTGGAAAAAAGGAGCGATGATGAAGAATGCTCACTTTGCTCTCTCGATTTTTTTTTTTTTTTTTTTGTAGTGCCTGATGACAACTCGCTTGTCAAATTTTGGCGAGCCCTTCAAGACGACCAAGTGACCGAGCGGGTCTTTCGATTGGATCCTGTCACCAACCAGATGGTCGAGGTGAATCGTGACCCAGACCAGCCGCTTCAACCCAATGAAACGAGGTTCTTGACGCTGCCTGACGGGGTGTTCTGGCTTGGGAACTACAAGCTGGGATCAGTCCTTATGGTCCGCAGCTGCTATTATGGACTTTTCGACGCAATCATCAACTCACTTGCGAATGCTGAGCATAAAAACAGCTGGATCGTTACCGGCAATCCAGGCATCGGCAAGACCTTCTTTTCGGCATACTTTGTGTATCGCTTGTTCCAGCAACACCCTCAGCTGACTGTGGTTTACGAGCCTGCTCAGCCCGGATCGGATATTCGATACCGGCTGCAGCCGAACCTAACCGTCCACACAGGCAGCATTCCGCTGCAGTCCTTTTCCGACCAGCTTTCGAATCTGGATCCCAGGACCTGGTACCTTGTCGATGGCCATCCCGCTGGCATCTACAATGCTTACACCCTGCTCGTTACATCACCACGCAAGGACATTTTGAAGGAACTTCAAAAAGACTCCAACCCCAAGATGTTCATGCCAGTGTGGTCGTGGGACGAGCTTCTTGCATGTATCCGCCAGAGGAATGCAACTCAAGCGCGACTGCAAGCTGCCGAGGAGCGGTTTTATCGTTGGGGTGGCATCGCGCGTCACGTGCTCGATGGTGGTTTGACTCTGCCTCAGTCCGAAATACTTTTGAACCTGGCGCTTAATGCATGCAATGTCAAGACTGTTCGCAATTCCGTGGGTCAGATTGCTGGTGAGCAAGATATTTCACACCGAGTCCTTCACATCAAGGTATTACCGGACAGTTTCGAAGCCAGCGGCCTAATTTTCGCGTCTAACTGGGTGGTCGACAAATTTGTGACTCGTGCGCTAAGAGAGGAACGCCAGAAGCTCCTCGCCTTTCTACGTAGGTCTGCCTGGCATCCAGAGCATGCCGCGAACCGCGGACTTATCTTTGAGAATTATGTTCATCAAACGATCATTCAGGGCGGCAGATTCCGAGTACGTGACTTGTCCAACGCCCAAGCGCCTGTGTCCATTCTGACCATTCCGCCGCTCACCCACGTCTCCTTCAACCACCTTGGCGCCGTTGATCTCGGTGACCAGAGCCGCTACTTTCAGCCGCTCGCCAGCAATCATCCGGCCATCGACGCCATCATCTCGCCCAACAAGTTTTTGCAGATGACCGTCAGTCAAGACCATCCTGTCAAAGCGCAACGATTGAGCGAGGCCATTCAACGTATGCCAGCTGATCGCGTTCCCCAACTGTACTTTGTGGTGCCCTCTGAACTTTTCGATACTTTTCGGCCGCAGCCCTACCACACTATCGATGCTCACGTGTTTCAGGATAGACAGGCAATACCTGCAAATGTCCAGCGCGTTCAGCAATTTGCTTTGTGTATTTCGTTCACGCGCAGGATCCCCCCAACCCCTGCAACCCGCTGATCCCACCAGTTTGGCATTGTTTCTGTCGTATTAAATAAAGCGAGTTCAAAGAGACCTTGTTGGAGGAGGGCGGAGACGGAGCGGTAGTTAAACTTTTGCTCTTTTTCGAATTCTGTGATACAGCTCCCTTCAAATGCCGGTCAACACATCGACCCCATATTCAAGCGGCAGTTCACCAAACATGGGAATCCATTGGACTCTCAGTGTGATCTTGCATTGGGATCGATAGAAGAGGGGGGGGGGCTGTGGTCGATGTTGAGGATCAGTATCCACAGCAAATGGGAATACTCATGGAGCAATATTCAACGAAGGAGTGAGTATCCACAGCAAATCATCAATAAGACGTGACTGGGTTGACAGGTATGACAGGTATGACAGCATTGGAATAGATCTAATACTTGACTGGGTTGACAGGTATGACAGGTATGACAGCATTGGAATAATACTTGACGCTTCAAAGGCGAAGTCAAATGAAAACTACTGCCCAAAGCAAGTCAACAACAATCCCAATTTTTTTTTTTCGCCTGAATCCGCGTCATCCGTGAAGAGTGTATTTGGGGCCGAGTATTAGAGGACCATGGAACCAGATTGAGATGTACATTGATTAGAACGAGCTAAGTGAGCTCCTTTGTCGCTGCGTCGCTCGTTGCCGCCGCCGCCGCCGCCGCCGCTGGCGAGTCCGAGAAGCTCCAGATCGGCATCAAGAAGCGCGTCGAGAACTGCGAGCGCAAGGCTGCCTCCCGCGACAAGGTGTCTGTCCACTACACTGTAAGTCTCGTCGAACAGAGGAAGCTGAGGAAGCGGGTTTTACTGCCACACACACACACGCACACACACACACACACACTGCGGCACTGCTCCCCATTCGTGCGTTCTGTGTCTGTCTGCACATTTGAGCGCATGAACTGGAGGAGGGGCGGGGGGGGGGGCAACTGGTCCTGTCTCACTCTCGAGTTGACTTTGAGATCTCCATTCCGCTGCTCACTCACTGTGCACTACTCACCTTGTGTCGTTTCACTGTCTCACTGTGCAATGGCACACAGGGCATGCTGACCGACAACTCGGTCTTTGACTCGTCCGTTACTCGCGGCACCCCGTTCGAGTTCACTCTTGGCGCCGGCCAGGTCATCAAAGGGTAACGTTCGAGTTGTGGCGCGCTGACAAGCAACCAGCCGTCCTCACTCACGCGATGACTCTTGCGTTTTGTGCAGCTGGGACCAGGGCATTGTTGGCATGTGCGTCGGCGAGAAGCGCCGTCTCACCATCCCTTCGCACCTTGGCTACGGCGATCGCGGCTCACCACCGAAGATCCCCCCGAAGGCCACCCTCATCTTTGACGTCGAGCTGCTCGAGATCAAGAACGCCGGCCGAGACCTTTGAGTCTCGTTGTTGGCACTGCATCCTGTGTGTGGTCGTAACGCGGGAAGTGCACACAAAAATACTGGCGCAAGTCTTGTTGTTGTTGTTCCAAGCGTGCGGCACTTTGAGCTGTGCGTTCGGAATATCAATCGTGACATTGGATACACTTGGTTTGCAATGCATCATCAAAGTCCAGTGCGCATTCCAAACAAAAAACAACAACAAAAAAAAACAAAGAAAAGTGGAAGAGGCAGCGACCTGCTTTTTTGATTCTTTGACGACGAAAGGCTGTAGTGACGTTGGAGAAGCCCACCCGATCTTCATGAATACAGCAAACCACTAGGAAAACGCGAGTCAGCCATCCGACAATTCCGATGCTGGTAAACCCGAGTCGGGGACAGCGCATTTTGCATTTTTGTCACTTTCCAAACTCGCGCTTTAGATCCTATCTGCACAAAACAAATGGCCCGTAGAACTAGTTTATTCATGGAAAGACATCATGCCGTTGGGTCGTTTGGTCTTCGCTCCAACAGTTCGCGAATCATGTCATCCTTGTTTCCCTGCATTGCCTCGAAAAGTTCCTGGCTTTCATCTCGTTCCTCCCGCAGCTGTACCACAGACAGAAACACAGCGACAAAGCAAAGCCGCGTTAGACGAATCAGCGATTCTGCTTCCAAAACCACGACAGGTTCAAAACAGAAGCCTTACATCTTTGCCCGCCGGTTCCAATTCGTCTCCATGCTGCACAATCGCATCCATCTGATATAAGACCCTCTCTAGTGTGTCAATGTCCAGGTAATTTAGTGGTAGAAAGCCAAGGAGCCCATAGTCGTCCAACTGTTCAAAAGTTGAAACAACAGAAAAAAAAAACAAACCAAATGGCGAAAGAATGAATGAGAATTGCAGACCAAGGCGCATTCAACCAGCACTGCTCGGCCAGGAGCTCTTACCGTTGGCGCAATCCTCTCATTCAGCCGTCTAAACTTGGCTGGCATGGCGTGGTTGGCAGCTTGCATCACCGTTGTCACGTCGCCATCCAAAAACCTGACCAATGCCAAAGGCGAGTCAGCATCAAAGATAGTCTTCAGGCACTCATACCTATGCATCCCATGCCATAATATCTACGCCTACCGTTGCAGCTGCAACCGCGATAAGGGCTGCTGAAACAAATCCAGCTTGGAGAGAATGTTCAGCTGCGGTAGCCCCATGTTGAGCATTGTAGTCATTGCAGAAAGCGCGCCCGACACGTATTTTGGAATGTCATTCACACATTGGGAGTCGAGCAGGAAGACTGTTGCGGAGCGCACAAAGCGTTGGTCGAGCAACTGGACAATGCGAGGCACAATCGGCAAGTGGACGTAGAGCTCGATTTGGCCTGCATGCACACCCATACACGCACACCAGTTGGGGATTTGTCAGTGAGACCCAAGCGCGACACTTGTGGGGGGGCCTGTCAACCTGAACTGCTACTACTTTACCGGGGCAGTCAAACAAAAAGTACGAGTTGTCTGCGTATCCGTCCAGCTCGTCCGTCAAGTAGGTGATGTGATTGAGCAGCCATCTTCCAAGCAAGCAAGAGTCCAATGGGCCGGGGTGGAGGGTGGGGGTTGTCAAGGGTTGTGGCACATGAGTGCAAAATTCATTTTCAAAGCACTCACTCGCGCCCACCGACAACAAAAGTTTGGTTGCCGGCAGGTCGGACAATTCGCGACAACCACTCACTCCATGCAATAGATGAGGCTTCCGTTTGGACCCAGTTGGCACTCTTCCATGACGTCTGCGACGGTGATGAATTCGCGAATGTCTGTTTGTGTTAAAGTTCGACGACAGCACAAGTGAGCCTTTCGATCTGGATGATATTCGCTTGTTGTTTTGATGCTTGACGACTTGAATGATGACCATGGTGACATTTGATATTCCTTGATCTGATCATGATGACATGATGACATGATGATGATGATGATACGATGATAGTCTGAGAATTGACAACCCAAAACGCGACCCTCACCGAACGACGGCGCAACGTCAAAGGTCTCTGCGCCAGGATCGAGGTTGATGACGTGGATGGTCCTTCCAAGTGTCTGTGCGTGCTGGACCAGCTTGCAGCACAGCCGCGACTGGGCCCCCCCCCAAGCGTCAGCTCAGTTCAGTCAGTACAGCACATGTATACATTGTCGCATTGAACACGGCACCACTCAGCACTGAGACGCCGAGCCGGATATCAAGCTGAGAGGGAGAGCTTGTATTGGTAGAGTGCCGAATGGGAGTCGTACCTTGCCACTGCCAGCGGGACCGACGACAAAGTGACCGAAGCGCATCTCAACGTTAGCAAAAAGACTGAGCCAACAAGAAAAGAAACAGACTTGGACTGAGAATCGAACAAATAAGCGACTCAAACATGCGTGATGGAATATAAATAAGCTGTCATTGAGATTGAGATTGGATGCTTTGGCGTGTAAGTAAGGAAGCGCAGTCCACAACGTCCCGTCTCAGAAACCCAGGTCCAAACTCAGCGCTCCGCCAAACCGAGCTCAAACCCCCGCCCCCTTTTTGTTCGTTGGCATCTTCTACAACAACTGACACTCTCAACTCATCTCAACTCGACTCGACTCAGTACATAAGGACAAGCACGACAATGCCGTCGCTGATGAACAAGTTTGGCGGTTCGCTGCGTTTGACGCCGCCGACGACGAACAACTCCACGTCGAGCTCGGACTCGTCGGAAGCCGATGCATCAACGCAAGACACTGCACAACAACGCAGCAATGGCACAGTTGCTGGAGCTGGAGCTGGAGCTGGCGCTGGAGCTGGAACAAACTCGACCGCGACAACGAGCAACCTCACGTCCGACGAACCCGAGACCAAACCCAAGCTCAACAAGCTGCAGCCCAAGCAGAGTCGGAGGCAACTGGCCATGCAGCTGGCTGTCATGTCAGGCATGCTGCCGCCAGACGAAGAGGCGCTCGAGGCAATGGACGCGCTGGACGCGATGGACCTCGAGGACGAAGCAGACCAGGACGAAGACGACGAGGGCGACGAAGACAACGATGAGGATGTGGATGTAAACGACGACGTCGACGACGACGATGACGACGATGACCAGTACGAGGACGTCGAGGACGAAGACTCGCTCGAAGTCGCCGAACTCAACCGCCAGCTCGACGCGCTCGGAGCCGTCCTCGACGTATTTGAAAACCACAGCAAAAACCTCGAGGCCCGCGTTGAAGCGTACCGTGCGCAGCTGCTCGCAGAGCACAAGCAGCGCGACGCTGATGCCAAGCAAGAGTCAGGGAGCGGCGCAAGTGGCAGCAGTAGCGGTTCATCGACATCCGCGGCAAAGTAGCGCAACCGAATGGAACAACCCGCCCCCGTTGTGTGTGGTTGGATTGGCTTGTGTGTGGTTGGATTGGCTTGTGTGTGGTTGGATTGGGTGTGCAGTGGTCATGCGTGCGTGTTTGTTTGTTTCCGAGCTTAATATTTTTGAATTGGATTTCCCCTTCGGCTCTGAGCAAAAGCTATCCAAAGCCAACCTCATCCTCGCCTTTTTGATCAATCCAATCATCCATTCAGTCTTTATTAGCGTCATGTATTCTACTCCAGAACAACTGCGTCGACAAACGCCTGCGAGCGCACTGCCGCGATTCGAGTACTTGCAGGCGCTCGTCGGCGAGCTGCGCGCGGCATCCACGACTCCGGGTGAGCGATGGCGAAGCTGACAAAGTTGTCTCTCCGTCTCTCTTATTGTTAGAATGGACGATCGGAGTGAGCGAGCGCGAGCTGAATCTGACGCTGGGTTGCAGAGGCCAGACTGCAGGTGCTCGCCAATCTCGCCAACTTTGCCTACGATCCCATCAACTACGACCATCTCGTGCGACTGGCTGTTCCGGATGCATTGATTGGTAAGAGCCGAGCCGGGGGTGGGGTTGGGCGAATCAGCGCTCCTGCTCAATGACACAAAGTGGGCGTGGAGCTGCCTCAGTCTCAGAAACTGTGAAAAACGACACAATGTCAACCTGACCTTGCTTTCATGACTTGCAGATCTCGTTCAGTCACCGCCTGCGCTCAGGCCTGGCGCAATCACCGCGGTCGAACAGCTCCAATTCCAGCAGTTTGCGTTGGGCGGGCTGTGCAACCTGTGCCTCGGTAACCCAGAGTACTTTTGAGAGGCGCCTAGGTGCAGGTGTTGTGGTCTGATCATATGCAACAGTGCCTCACTGAACAAAAGCGCATTTGTCGCGACAGATCCAAGAGTCCAAAAAGTCATGATGGACAAAAACCTGCCGCAATTGCTGGATCCTTGCCTGACCAACTCCGATGACATTGATCACGAGCTGAAAATTATCGCACTGACCATCATGGTTTCCCTCTTGCCTACGATGCCGCACCACGGTTTGTTCGACTCTGGCTTTGCGTTTTCATCAAACAAGCTTGCCAGTTCATTTTTTTGTTCACAAGTCTGTTTTATTGGCTGATTCTTGTAGTAGAGCTTGCATCTGAATCTAGCCTCGCATCAATCAACGAGTGGAGCGAATCAGATAAAACCCCACCGCGTTTACGGACACTAGCTATGCTCTTTTCAGAGGTAAGTTTTACTTTGTATCTGCTTTTTGGAGCTGTATTCATAACAATCTCATCTGATCGGATGTATTGACATTCGAATTACACAACTCCAACACACGAATACGCAACATTTACAAGCAGAACCGGAAATCGTCTCAAACGAGCTCATCACCACCACGACGCCTTTCTAAATCCACCACGACGGGCGTTGCTTAGGATGATCCCTCGCTCGAATGCAATTGCTCTTCGGTTGGAGGAGCAGGCAGCGCCAACCCAGCCTCCTCGGCGGGAAGCAAAACGGACGGCGTCGGCGGTGGAGGAAGCTCACTGGAAGCTGGTGCTTCTGGAGCTGGCGCCTCTGGAGCAGGCGCCTCCGGAACTTCCTGTGCTGGTGGCGGCGGTGCCGGTGCTTCCTGCTCTTGCGAGCTGGAGGCTGACAATTCTTGCTCGGTGGGAGGTGGAGGGAACGATTCAGGCCCAGCTTCGTGGCTCGATGGCACCGGTTCTCCGTTCTCCTCGTCCTTGGGATCGATAAACCGAGCCGTAGGTTTGGACGTGCTGGCCCCCTGAGAAGTCTCGTTACTAAAGCTTGCAGCAGATCGCCGGGCAGGCACAGGCTTGCTGCTTGCAGTAGTGCTAATGCTGCTCGGTTCAATCACAATCGGGATGGCGGGCGGCACACCAGCAATCACGACATCCGCATCGTCGTCGTCGCGCGACACCTCCACCGGCTCTTCCTCCTCTCCTGGCGCCGCTTTGCCAGTCTCGTCTGGCTGGTCGACGCCACGATCGACAAACTCGTTTGTTTCGCCAAACAAGAAGGCGTGCTCCTGGATGATCATGCTGACAATCTGGCACTGCGATCCAGTGTCCGCGACCATTGCCGCAAGGTTATCAGCAGGCGCGCGGATAAGGGTCGGGCCAAACACAATGGCGAGGTTGTGCGCCTTCATCTTGTTCAATTCGCCCTGCTGAGCAATTCTGTCAAAGCCAAAGTTCGCAAATACAGCTGTCAGCTTCCATGCACGCCACAACCACGCCCAATTTTGCCGTTTCAAGTGGGGGCGTGACACGTACTGCACAAGAAGGTCGAAGAGACGCTCGAGCACGAGCAAGTTGGATTTGGGCAGGCTTTTCAACAACTCGCGCAGCGAGACAGCCCGACTCTTGTGATCCGTCGTGTAGCCTACAATTCATGAAATGGAATGATTGTTTAGTATTCGCGGACGGACGACGGTTGGTGGTCGCTTTCCTTCCTCAAATCCCGGCTTTTTTTTCAACTGTTCAACACTTACGAATAATGTTGATGAGTGGCTCGTAAAATTCGAAGGGGAAGAGCGGCGTTGGCAGCTCGCGGAAGTACAGCTTGAGCACACCTGCAACTGCATGAATGTTCTGCTGGCAGTACTCTTCGTTGACGAGCGGATCGAGGCCGCGATCAAAGGAGGCACGCATTTCCTTGATGGCCACTGCGCTGCCAGACAGCCGAAAGATGCCTTCTTGCAGAATGCCTGTGGATGTTGGCGAAAAACATGTGATTAGGATGCGAATCAAAGGTGGCAAGTGTGGCACGTCCGCAGGACGTACCAAAGTCTTCAATCGTTGCAATGCAGCTGTCCACAAGCAATGGAGTGGAGCGTTCAACAACGCGCAGGTGATCAGCGAGCTCGACTCCAAAGACTGTTTCGGCATGGGAGGTGAGTCAGATTGGGGCCAAACCCCACAACACAAAATAAACAAACAAACAAAAAAAAAACCGAAAATAAAACCAGGAACTCACCCTTCGGGCTCCCTTTCGTGCTGCTCGAGCGGTTCAATGTGGCACGACGCTTGGCATCGGACGGGCCCATGATGGAGTCCGATGGCACACGGCCGAGCACTTGCAATTGCGCCTGCGTCTTGAGCAACTGAGCCGTGTAGAGCGATTTCGTCAGGTGGGTCTCGACGTACGTCGGGGTCGATGGCGGGGCCGGAGTCGTGTTTCGCGAGCGAGAGGACGAGGCGGTCGGGGACACTGGCAAGGGACTCGTCCCTGAGGACGACGTCGAGGTTGCAGAGCTCGCAGCGGCGTGCTTGTCAGCTCCAAAATGTGCACCGTACAGTGCCTTTTTGCGCTCTTGGTCGCCAGCGTTCACCTCTGACAGTTTGTGCGAGCACTCGGCTTCAAGCAGAGCCAGTTGCGCGCTGCGCTGAGAGAGCTTTTCTTGACGAGCCTTCAGATTCTCGCGCGTCAGGTCAGTCACGATAATCTCAGAGTGGGCATGGTCTGACGGGGTCACGAGAGCAAAGTTGGCCGGCGCACGGAAGGCCTCGGCGTAGTTGGTCATGTACGCCTCGCGCTCCGCCACGCCGTCAATGTTGGAGGTGCAGACCTTCAGCAAATGCACCATGCTGGAGGAATCTGTTGCGCACTCACCCTCAATGTGCGCGTATTCGTTGAAAAAGTGATTCATGTTTTCGTGGTAGAACCGGTCGTGCAGCTGCGATGAGGCGAAGAAAAAAGAAACAAAGCAAACAAGAACAAAACAAAAAGGAGAAGGAGGCAAATTAGCAAACAGCAAACAGCAACAAACAACCCTTAAACATGTCAAGCAACAGCCTGAAACGAAGCCGCCACAGATTCTCACAGCAGTCAGTTCGACAATCTCATGTTCAAAGAATTGATTCTTGTGAGCGTTGGCCACGTCGATGGCAAACAAGTAGTCGTTGAAGGCGTTGGATGCGCGGCGCTCTTGCACGGCGGCAGTGTCCTCGCGCTGGTTTTTTACAGAAGAAGAACAACAGTTACGATCGTCAGAACCGCTGGCGATAAACACCATCAACGAAAACTCCCTCATTTCGCCAAGACTTGTTTGAAAGTACCTTGTGCAACTCCTTCTCGACATTCTTGCCGAGCATGCTGATAATCTTGCTGTTGACAGAGCCCGACTCGAGTTTCTTTTTGGCGTCCTCCACCTTGGCTTTTGCACTGGCAGCCTTTGCAGAGAGACCGTGGAAGCTGTGGGCGGTGGTCTCGAGGTGGGCCAAGGACTCGCTGAGCTCGGCGTGCAGCTTGAGACCATAGTCGTGACACTGGCGCGCCCCAGCCACTGTCTCACGTTCCATTTCAGCTGTAAAGTCGAGCAGCTCAGTGCCGTACCGTGTGGCCAAGGCGGCACGCGAGCGACTCGTTTTGCGGCAATTCTCAATCAACACCGTCCAGACGTCGACCGGCGTCTGCGGGTGCACAGCGTTTTCGAGAGATGTCGGCGATACCAGTGGACTCGGGAGGCTCGCACCAGCAGCACCAATGACGAGTGGGCTTGCGCTGAATTGGCGCCAATGAAATCAAAAGTCAGAAAAACAAAAACAAAACAACCAGAACCTGCTCCAACAAAAAAACAGCCAACGGACAGCATCCAGCTGCATACCTGCCGTCAGCTGGTGATGACAACGAGTTGTTGTGCAGCAGCGTGTATCGACCGTACGAGGTGTGCTTGAGCTTGTGGGCAAACTTTTCGGCGACCTTGTCGAGCTTTTGCGCATATTCCTGCTCGACCTCGGCGCGCTTCTTGAGAAACTCCTGGACGTCCTGCATGAATGCGACCTTGGATTCCGTGCGGTGCTGGAAGAGCTTGAGCTGCTCGACTTCCTGGCTTCGGATTGCTGTGCGGTAGAATAGATTGAGTTGAGATATGAGTGGTGTCTTTTTTTTTTTTTGCATTGCCACAGCGATCAAGTTATCGCATGGAGAGCGAGGTACCACAAAGGCGGGGTGAATTACAAATGGATGCAGTGGGGCTGCTGCAGTGTTGGGTTGGGGTTTGCCGAAGCAAGATTTTAGCGGGGTTGCAATTCGACTTTTGAATGCTTTTCCACTCTCACTCGCTCTCTCTCAATCACAATGGCACTCACTGCGCTCTGTTGTCGCTTTTGTCATCCAACTGCCGCGTCTCTTTGTTCGCTTTGCTTTGCTTTGCGTTGCTGCGACTTTGCATTGCGTCGACTCCAAAAAAAAACCAAAAAAAAAAACCAAAACCAAAACAATAAAATTACAAGTTTGGCTTTTTTTTTTTTTTTTTTTTTTTTAAAAAAATGCCAATGCAATGTAAGCTGCAGCAACAACAACAACAACGACGACGACCGCCCGCCGACGGAGCGACGGAACGACGCGTCTGCAATGCTGATGCTGCACACATTGGAGACAGAGCAAGGAAGGAGAGCGAAGGACACACTGCACACTGCGCTGGTCCAATTCGAAAATGCTCATCGTTGGCTTTCCAACCGCACTCCCTCTTCAACCCAACGCCACAACCCGAGCTCAGAGAGAGGAAAACCGACCTTGAATCGAGTCAGAGTACGTGTCGCCCTTGGCTGCGCGTGCAACGAGCATGTCGCCTGGCGACTTGGACATGCGCTTGACAAGGCCAGACATTGGATTTGTGTAATGGAAGTGTGGTTGAAACGAAGAAAAAACACAAACGAAAAACAACGGCAAAGAAAGCAAGACAAGGAAAGAAAGAATGGAAAGACAAGAAAGAAAGAAAGAATGGAATCGAAGCCCAAACAAACGGTTGTTGTGCTCACAAAAAAAAACCCAACTGTAATATTGATGGCGGACAAGGCGGCGGTTTCCGACGAATTAAACCAGAAAAAAAAAAATACAGGCAACGCAGAGACAGCGCTCAACAGTTCAAAGCGTCCGTGTCTGACTCGAAAACAAAAACTCATCGCGCTTGTCTTTATTCGCCAGGTCCGTAGGGGTTGCGAGACTGGCCAAGCTGATGCAGGTTGGCAAAGGTGTGGTTGACAAGGCGGTGATGCGCTTCGTCGCTGCGGATGGCGTAAATGACATCCTCCATCGTCGCTGCCTTGTCGAGCTTCCAGTAGCTGTCGGACAGTCAGCCACACAAAACAAGAGACGCGTGGGACAATTGTTGGAACATGAGCCAGTGCCCACTGGAAGCAAAACAAAAGACAACCACAAGCACGACTCACTTGATCGCAATCTCAGGAGCCTTGCCCGTCTTCCACTCTGGCAGCTTGCCCGTCTTGATGTCGTCAAGGCACTTGGTGTAAGTGTAGACAGCCTCCTCCTCTGCTCAAAAATCAATCATATGGTTGTGAAGAGTGAGACAAAGCCGTGCGACCTTGCCTGCTGCACTCTCTCTCGTCGAAGCGTTACCGAGGTAGCCGACAAAGCGATGCACAAAGCGCGGCGCCAGAATGTACAGGAAGAAGAAGGTGTTGGTCATCACACCCTGGACTGCAAGCACGGCCAGGCGGAAGAGCTGCGAGGGCTGCTTCAGTTGCCTGCGAGCGAGCAGTTTCAGGTTTTTGGTTGTTGAACAATCGTCAGAGGGTTAGTGCAGACCTTTGATAGTGAATGGTGGCATCTGAAGGCCTACTTACAGAGCGGTAAGGAGGTGCATGCGCTCGTTCTCAGCTTCCTCTGTTATTTCAACCAAACAATCGTCAATGTAAGCCTTTCGCCATCCAAGGCAGCACCTTTCCAACGAATAGCAAAGCCTCAATATGCACGCGTGGTTTTCATATGTGCAGCAACCAAAAAACAAAAACCGCGTAATCGAATTCGACGGGGGGAACTTTTATCAACAATGAATGAATGCCAAGACTTTGCACCATTCAAAGTGCGAGGAAACAAACCGCCAACGCTCCTCCTGTTTTTCCCCAAGCACATGTCCCAACCCATCAACGAAAAGTTTGCCATCTTACCAAGCAGCGTGTGAATCCAGCCGTGGTCGCGGCGCATGAGGCGGAGGGACTGCAGGTGGCGGATCATGGCGCCGACCATTCCTGGCACCGCTGCGACCTACGCCCCCCCATCCCAACGGGACAAACCGCAAAGTGTGTGAGTGGCGCTCAACCAAACAGCTCAATCTCCAACTTCCAATCAAACAGGCAATCCATGGGATTTTGGGGCTGTTTTCAAACACGAATCTGAGCCGCTTAGATCTAACGACGCACCGTTTCGAGGAAGATGATGCGGGTGAGCCACTTGTCCGGGGTGCGCTCGCCGAACGCAAAGCCCGAGAGCACGTCAAACCCGAGGCGGATGCACTTGATGGCGGCGAACGCAGTCCAGTCGACGAGGTTGTCGGGCTTGTGGTGAGTCAGCTCGACCTGGCTGAGCTCCTCCTTGGTCCAGATGCGGTGGGGCAGCAGGTAGTCCTTCTCGCCCGCAGTCGCAGGTGCGTGCTGCTGCAGAACGGCCTGCGCAACCTGATCGCTGATGCGGAAGTGCACCGCCTCCTCTTCGACGGGGGTTGTGCGGGTCTGCAGCGGCGGAGGCAGAATGTCGGTCGCGGTGCCCTTCGCAGACTGCGCGTCGAGGCCCTGCGCGTTCTGTTGCTGCATCGCAATGCTAGCGGACGCGCGGGTGCTGAAGGAACGCATGACTGGGGTGGTGGTGGTGGTGGTGGTGGTGGACAGGCGAGGCGAAGCGGCAAAGTGGCGGATTGCGATCGGAGCAAACCGCTTGCTGCTGCTGCTGCCGCTGCTGGGCTGGGCAAGCGTTGCGATGCGAGCGAGGCTGGTGCGGATGGCAGCCGCAGACGATGCCGATGCTGACGACGGAGCGAGGCGGCTCAACATGATGAAGTGGATGAAGTGAGTGAATGAAGAGTGAATGAAGAGTGAATGAAGAGTGAATGAAGTGAGTGTGAAACGAAATGCAAAAAGATTCAAAAACACAAAGTGCGAGTTTTTTTTTTTTTTCTTTTTTTGCATTTCACACTCGCTTGTTTTTTTAAAGTCTGACGTGTTCGTTTGCTTTTGTTTTCAATCAGTTTCATTCATCGTGTTTGGGAGCCGAATTCGCGCATCAGCAGCGGCCAAGGTTGGAGAGCGGGAGGAGGGGGGGGGAGGAGGAGTTGATCATTGGAAAAAGTCAAAAGCGAAGGGTGTGCCGTGGATTCTCAGATTCGCGGAAAGATCTGGTCGGGTTTGTCACTTTGCTTTGTTACTATCGAGACATTTGCTTTTTGCTTTATTGTCATGATTCGCGCCGTGGTGCAGGAGGCGGCTGTGTCGAGTCACGATCGGACGAAATGATCAGCGCGCCGATCAAAATGGCGCACGTCCCGATCCACCACTGTACTGGCAGCGGTTCACTGAAAAACAAATGCCCGAGGATGGCCTGCCCAACACCAACAGCGGGCAAACGAGAGATGAGCGGGTGACAGTAATCTGGGATATCAGAACAAAACAAAAACAAAAACAAAACACAGAAAAGCGAACAAACGCATTCAACTCACCGACAAGCAAAAGTTGGAAACCATGCTTAATGCAGTCGCTTCGAGCGATGTTTTGCACTTGGATAGAGCAGTGGAGAACAGTGTCCACATTAGCGCGTTGCAGAGAATCACAAGCGCAAATCCGACGACAGTCTGCAGCATGTTGCTCTGGCCAAAAGCGAACGGGACGAGGGTTTGTGGTGTCAAATATCAAATAAAGCAGATCGTGTCAATGGGGCCATCAGTCACTGGGACGCCGTGTGCTGAATCTGAGCAGCGTTTCGCGTTTGAAACCTACCATTGTCTGAATTGAAATGCAATCTTGATCGGTGACCTGATCCAACGGACACAACGGTCGCGCCCAATCCACAGATCCTGCCCAGGTTGCCAATACGCACCATGTCGGCCATGCGAGACTGACGCCTCGGTGGAGCAGCGCCGCGATCAGGTGCGACCATGTTTCACCTGCAGAACTGCCAGCGCCATCACCCTCGGCCACCGCCGCAGAGACTGCTGGTGAGTGTGTGGCCAGCTTGCCCATAACTGATGCCAAGGCTGCAAATCCGCCAGCTGCGACCGCGAGTGATCGTCCGACAGCGGCGGCCTGAGACTGCGACGAGATTGCCGCCATTCTTGAGCGAAATTTCTGCGATGCGATGTGATGTTCAGTAACACAAGCGATTTGCTCTACAGAAGACTGCTCTCGAAAGTCAGTCAATCAACAACCCAACCATGGTTTATTCGAATAGTGTACAATAGCGTATTGCATTGTGGAGATGCAAAGTCACGCACGACTAAAGTTTGCTCTTTTTTTGTTGTTTGGTTCAACATGAAGTTTCAAGCAGTAACGTGCTTCCCTTGATTCGCTTCTTTACAGTCCGACCCAACGAATTGAAGCGTTCGACTTGATTACCGCCACGGCCGGACCATGAAGAAGTGAAAAACGCCAATGGACACGGGCCTTATGCCTTTGAGTAGTTCTGAGATTGAAACAGCTAAAAGTTCCTCTGTCGTCATCGCTTGATCGGGCTGCATGGAAGCCATCAAGAGCATGCAGATCACGCAAATGACAATGAAAATCAAAACGTCGGATAGCATTGTGCGGTGGATTGTCTCTGTCGCGGCACACTAAAAGTCAGAAAGTGCGAGCGAAACATGAAACAAAAAACAGTGCGCACACAGCAAGTTCACCGTTTTTGGATGTTGTTTTAGGAGTGAAGTCGAAACCATTAACCGCAAATGGAAGAAATCATCACAATCGTCAGACTATCTTCACGACATGTACGCGTATACTCGAGGAAACATCCGTTCCGCACAATTGCGTGCTCAGGTCCGATGACACAAAATCTGGAAGAGACTGTGCGCTTGGTGGTAAATCACATTCATTAACAAAATACGCACTGCACACACACGCGCGTTCAATCCTTCAAGAAAACCTCAACGGTGCCGCCGAGATACGAGCCCTGGTGGCTGCGCTCAGCACCAACGATAACGTTGCGCTTGCCGTCGCCATCAACGTCCGCGGCAATGAAAGCAGCGCCAAAGCGCGAGTCGGCCTCGTTGGGCTGGAAGACGGTGGATGCGACATGGCCAGGGCAGGGCTCGTACAGCGGAAGAAGCCCGCAGTCGTGGGAGGTGGCGTTGCCCGTGGGGAACTTGGCGCCGCCGTGGAAGACGTAGACGATACCTTCCTCGCCGGCAAGCAGCTCCTCTGAAACATCGTCGGTGCGGGTGGGCGCCGAAATCAGCACGTCATCGACCTGGTCGTCGTTGACGTCCGCGACAACCACATGCCAGCCAAAGCGAGCGTAGCGGCGATCGCCACCCAGGGTCAGCGCGGGGGTGACTTGGTTGAGCGTCTGCGCCTTGCCAAGCAGGTCTGCAAGGCGAATCATGTACACGGCGCCAGCCTGGTCGAGCGAGTCGGCAATGCCAGCAATCTTGCCTTCAACGGTCTGCGTCGGGGCACCAACAATCAGGTGGGGCTCGGAGAAGCTGCCAAGAGGGGAGCCGATGGCAGCCGAGAGACCCAGCTTGCCAAACGACTGAACGCCAGCGAGCGTAAAGATGGGGTTGGAGGCCGACTGGGCGGGAGCAAAGCCGAAAATCTTGCCGACAGACTGAACGTCCGAATCGGAGAAGGAGCAGCCCGACGAAGCGCAGATGCGGGTGGAAGGGGCGCCAACCAGCAGCACGCCTGTGGAGTTGGTTTCGGGCGACGAACGTTCGACCGAGACGTGGTAGCCAAACCACGCGTTGTCCATTTCGCCCGTCATGGTCCAGTCGGCGTTTGCCACAGTGAGGGACTCGACTTGTTGGCCGTGGTTTGCCGAAGCGCGGAAAACGTAGACGGCTCCTCGCTGGTTTCCGCCAGCGGGCGCGTACGGGGCGCCGACAACGAGATCCGCGCGAGCGTCCGAGTCCAGATCTCCGCCAGCGAGACGCCATCCGAGGTTGTGGTAGGTGTCTTGGCCCGAGATGACCGTGCCAGCGGTCGTCGACAGGGTGGATCCCTTCTTTCCGTAAAACACAAAGACCTTGCCAGTGTACATGATGTCGCCAGCGCCGACCGAGGGTGCGCCGACAGCCAAATCATCAACGCCATCAGCGTTCAAGTCAACGACTGCCAAGGCGCTGCCAAATCGTCCATAGAGGTCCTGGCCGTCGATGACTATTGTAGAAAACAAGCAAACAAAAAACAAAACAAATAACGAAAAAAAAAAACCCAACCCAACGTAAGCGCAAACAAACGCTTCGCAGCACAAACAACCCAATTCCTCCAAGTCACATACTCAGGTTGGCCGCAGCGTTCAAATCAACGTTGTGGAGATCTCCCTTGGCGCCGTAGACAATGTACACGCGACCATGTTGGGCGTTGCCAGCCTCGCCAGTGCCGGGGGCGCCGACAGCAACATCGGCGATACCGTCGTTGTTAAAGTCACCGGACGCCATGGCCCAGCCAACGCGGGAGTGGTTGGTCGAGGTCGTGAACAGACCGGACGCGGGAGCACCAAGCGCCTCAGCCTTGGCCTGTCGCGCAGTCTCGCGACGAGCGAGCTCCTCTTCCTTTGCGGCGAGAATGATAGCCTCGACCTCGCGCAGGGCCTCCTTGACTTCGACGCTGGGCTCCAGGTACGCGCCACCGTCGGCAGTGCGCGAGATCTTGATGTCGGAGAGCGAGAGCTTGCGGGGCTCAATGACGCGCTGCAGACGTTCGCCAAAGCCCTGGCTGTTGGCGCATGCACGGCGGTTGGCCTGCTGCGGCATCTTGGGAGACTTGGGGACATCGTGGGCGTCCGCAGCGGCGCAGCGAACAAGCATCGGGTTGTTGTTGAGGTCGCACGTTTGGGTGCCACGCTCAACCATGGGGATGGAGGCGTTGTTCCAGATGAGCTGCGTCCAGGCAGCCATGTCGTACACGCCGCCGAGGAAGAACTCCATGAACGACTCGACGAGGAAGGGCGACTTTTTCGAGTAGCTGGGGAAGGCCTTGGCAACCGCGAGGCGCTCGCCGAGACGGCCGAGGAAGAGCCAGGCAGTGCACTCCTCGACGACAGTGGCATTGATGGGGTTGACGCCATAGAGCTGGGTGTAAATCTTGAGCAAATCCTGCACGGGAATGTACCACTTGCCAATCTCAGAGATGAACTTGAGCTGGAGCTCATAGTTGGCCACGACGTCGCCACCCTCGTCGCCAACGCTGTGAGCGGCACTGAAGCTGCCATGGAAGTTTTCCTGCGTGTTATTGAGTTTGTTTTTTGGGAGGGGGGGATGTACAAAACGAAGTGAGCCAACACAACAAAACAAGGTCAAAACAACTACAATGGCACAACCGCCCGTGGTGTCGCCACCGCATCTCGAGACGTACGTTGCCCATGGTGGAAAGGAAGCCCTGCGGAATGCCCAGCGCGTGCCAGGAAATGTCCGCGACCTCATGCGAGACAAAGCCGAGGTAGAAGGCGACGAGCTTCTCTGCAGCCTCAGACCACGGGCGCGGGTAGGCCGAGCGGATGTAGTTGGCCGTGGCATTCATGAATGGCGTCCAGTGGGTGTCTTCCGAGACGTAGCCAAAGTTGCCCTTGAAGCAGAGGCTGTTGTAGTAGGCATCTGTCGAGAGATTAGAGCGAGTGAGTTGGAGATTTGCGGTTGAGTTGGGTTGAGTTGGGTTCTTCATCCGCCAAGGCAATGCAGCAAAAAAAAGTGCATGTCATGTCGTGGAGGGGACCGACCTGGGTAAGGGTTGCCTGCCTGGAAGGCGTCCTGGTGCTTGAGCGCAATCTATGAGGAGGGGGGTTTTGTGAGTCAAATTGGATTGCTGCTGTCTCTCTCTCTCTAGCTCTCTCTCTCTCTCGTTCTCCTTCTCTCTCTCACTCTGACTGTCGATGCTTTGCGGAAATGAGCGCAGAAGTCGTGATGCAGGATGGCAGCAGGTTCAAAAACTCACTTGTTTGTAGTCCTCATGCTCGACGGGGTCGAAAAAGTCGAGTGCGTAGCGGGCGATCGTAATGTGTGTCGAGATGCCGCAGCCCTGCACGGCGACCACAGCGACGCAGAGCACGAGCAGCGCGCGCACCACCAGCGTCGTCGTCATCGCAGACGAAGAAGGAGAAGAAGAAGAAGGAGAGGAAGAAGGAGAGGAAGGCAAAAGGAGTGAAAATTGGACTGGAAATTGAAATTGGATTGGAAATTGGATTTTGTTATTCTTGGCAATGAACAGCAGCCGAACAGCCGACGGGACGACGGAGTTTAATCGAAAAAACTTGCGCAGTGACAACGAAATAGACAAACACACAGAGAAGCAAGAGCGAGTTTGATTTGAGACACGAGAAAAGTGGGAGCGAGCGAAAAAGGGGAAGGGAAGCGAGGGGTGGGACGCGAATGCGAACAACCATTGGAACACGAACTTATGTCCGCCACCCAACCTCCACCCACTTGGTGCACTTGGAGCAGCTGATTGCAATGATAACGTCAACACACACGCACGTAATTAACTCCAAAGTCAACAAAAAATGAAAAATCGGCGGGCGGACAAGCTGCTCAAAAGATAAATGTATTGTGACATGACACCAAGCACAACATGAAGAGCCTCAGAGATAGACTGTAACAAAGAGCAACACAACTCACAATGATCAACGATCGTCATCGTAACGCCCTCGCTTGGAATCGCGAGTCGACAACTCAGTGTCATCCTTTTCTCGTGCTCGGCGTCCTTCGTCCCGAGCGCCGTCACGGTCGTCTTTTCGGTCACTGCGACGCTCATCCCGGTCGCCTCGACGGTCGTCATCTCGACGGCGTTGGTCGTGGCTTCGTTCCCGATCGTCTCGTCGACCGTCACGTTCGTCGCGACGATCGCTACGATCATCTCGGCGAGAATCGCGCCCTTGGTCATCTCGACGATCACTGCGATCGTCGCGTCGGGCGTCGCTGCGCGAACGTTCGTCACGACGATCATCACGACGGTCATCACGTCGATCTTCGCGTCGATCTTCGCGTCGATCATCACGACGGTCTTCGCGCCGTGAATCGCTGCGAGTGCGGCTGTCGTCGCGGCGCCGGTCTGACGAGCGCGAAGAAGCACTGGGACGCTCGCGAGAGTCGGAGCGCTTGGATCGCGACCGAGATCTCGGGTCGTGGTTGGACTCCGAGTCCGAGCCGGAGCCCGAGCTGGATGATGATGATGATGACCCTGAAGACGATCCGCTCGACGAATCCGAATCAGAGTCCGAATCAGAGCCGCTCGACGATCCCGACGACGATGACGATGAGTCCGAGTCCGACGACGAGCTGACAGCAGCGGCGGCAGCCTGTGGCTCGGGGTCTGGGACTGCTTGCATGATCATCTTTGGCGCGTTGTTGTAGTAATGACGAAGATCGTCTCTGAAAGTGGGAGATGGGACATAAGAGAGGCGCACAACAAACAACAACAACAACAAAAAAGGTGAGCCAAAAACAATCCAACGCGAAAAAACAATGGAAACAACCATTCGGACGCAGCAACCACTCCATCATCGAATAAACGTACGCAAGACCGCCTCGCCCAATACCAACGAAAAAGTTGATGGCAAAGCGCATGTTCTTGGCATTGTCCTTGGGGAAGAGCCCAGCAATGTACGGTTGGAGGGCCTCCATCTTGAAGCGCTCGTTCAGCTTGGCCAAGCCGATATAATCTGACAATTCTTGCAGCAGCTGTTTCAAGAAGATACGACTCGAAGAGGTGGTGTCCTCTTCGGTCAAGCGAACGTTCGCAAACACAGTCCAGGGCAGTGCGTCCGTGTAGAGCAAGTGCGCGAAAAGCCGGCCAATGTGGCGAATTTTGTTCGTTTCAAACCTATGAATTGTGTTGTACTGGTGCGAAAAGGGTAGTTCACAGTGAGAGGCAAGTAGTCTAACGTGAAATCCGACCTCACGTCCAAATCAAACAAAAAAACAAAACGGAACAAGAAAGCAAACAAAAAGAAAAAAAAAACCTACATATTCCTGGAAGCAAGTCTCAAATGATTCACAGAAGGCACCTCGCAAGCGACACAGACGTTCTGCCAAGTCGGCGTAGAAGCGAATGAAGGAGCGTTCTTGGCCGCAGCATTCGACAACCATTGTCGCGAGAATCATCTGCAGGGAAGATTTGCAACACGACGGCAACAAGGGGTCAACAACACTTTCTCCACATTCATCGACCCGTCCATCAGCAACACACAATAAATCCACATACCTCCATGCCGGGTTTAATGGTGTTCTTAAGAAGCTTGTGCGCACACTCTTCAAAGCTGGCGCTGCTCATGAATGTCAGGTAGATGGTACGACGAAGGTTGACGGCCTCTTCGCTGGTCTGGTCCAGAATGCTGACGTCGGTCTGCACCTGCTCTGACGCTTGCGATTGCTGCTGCTGCATGTTCTCGGCATCGTTTTCCTCGTCTTCATCATCGCTCTCGGCTTCGTCGTCACCATCCTCATCATCGTCGTCCTCTCCAAGAATTTCTGCCTTGATTTTCTTGTACTTTTCTTCGTTTGCAATGAAGTTGGGATCGGCACGGAAGATGTCTAATCGCCAGAGGCGGAAGCAAACGAGCAAGGTGAGATGAAACGCCCACGTCCCGCAACTCACACCCACACCCCCCCACTCACGCAAAATTCAAGCACTTACCCAGCTGCTCCTCGGCATTCAACTCTTCGTCGTCGAGAGAAATCACATGCATGATTTGGTCTTCGTCTTCAACGAGACTCAGACCCTCCGGAATGCTTGGGTTGTCCTTAAAGTTGTCCTTGCGAAGGGCAAACATGACTTCGAGCATGTACTGGATGCGAAGCGAGACGTTGCCGTCGTGCAGAATGGCTCGCAGACGCTCAAACGCAGCGTCCAGCGCCCGAGGCGAGTTTTCAGCGAGGAAGGCGCCACATTCGCGAATAAAGGTGGTGGCAATCTCGACGGAATCATCGGTGGGTCGCTCGAGCAGCAGCGTAATCACTTGCAACGCGAGAATTTCGTACGCAACCTGCTGGTTGACCAGGTGGGCGATAAAGCGGGTGGACGAGATGCACGCCTGCTTGTTGTTGCGTCGGAAGGCGCGTCGGAACTGCAGCACGAGGCGCTTGAGAATGAGCTCTCCGGCCTGAGGGAACTTTGTGTTGATGATGGCTGTGAGCGCAGCATAGACGGGTGTGAATGTGGGCGACGCGGCCTGCGCGCGAATGAAGGATCGCGCCAGCACACCGCGCCCGCGCACGAGGTTTTCCGAGAAGATCTCGGGCAGAATGTTCTGGATGTTGGCCGTGTTGAGCTTGTTGACAATGCCGTTCAGCGACTTTTTCAGCGCCTCCCAAGACATGCGCTGGAACTCGACGCTGCTCTTGTCCTGCATCTGGCTCTGCATCATCCGCAACCGCGCTGGCGGGATGTACACGCCGCCGGTCGGTGCCAGCGTCACGTCTGTCGTGCGCTTGTTCAGCGACGGCTCGGCCACCACAGGTGCAGGCGCCGGTCGTGCCTGGTGATGATGGCCATCATCACGACGCGACGACGACGACGACGACGTCGCGGATTGCAGATCGCTGTGCCGGGCTCGACCGCTGCCAGAGCGCGACGGGTCATCGCGGTAGCTGCTCCGGGACGACGAGTCTCGCGCATCGCGGTCTGCATGGCGATCGTGCCTCCACCGGGAGGAGGAGGAGGACGACGACGAGTGATCGCCATTGTCTGCTGCTGCCTTTGCATTGCGGCTGCGTTCCCCGCTGGAGCTCCGGCTGCGGCTGCGGCTGCTCCTGCTCCTGCTCCTGCTTCTGCTGCTGTCGTCGCTGTGGCGAGATGAGCGGCGGCGGCGTCGGTGGCTGCTGCGACCAGATCGCTCGTCTGCACTCGCGGCTGGCTCATCGCGCCTTTTGTCGAGATCGCTGCGTTCTGACTGCTGGGCCGCCCTGCCACTGCCACTGCCACTGCCAGCGGGTGACGGCGACCGGCGGCGTGGTTGGCTGCCGTGGCGCGAGTCGGGCGATGCGCTGCGGCTGCGGCTGCGATTGTCGCTGTCTCGGTCGCTCTCCCTTTGAAAAAAAAAAAAAAAAAAAAAAAAAAAAAAAAAACAACGAAAAGAAATAAAGAAAAAAAAAAAAAAAAGAAACTGAGCATCCAAGTCGCATAAGCATAGATTGGCATGGCAGAATCGATTGTACTGTGAAATAGAAATCAAGAACAACAGCAGAAAAAAAAAACAGAAAAAAAACAAACAAACAGTCAAGGGCCGAAACAGGTTTACAGCAAGTCTTGAGACTGCTGCTGCTGCTGCTGGGGCTGTTGGTACGGCTGCGGCTGCTGTTGTTGTTGGTACGGCTGTTGTTGGTACGGTTGCTGTTGGTACGGTTGCTGTTGGTACGGTTGCTGTTGTTGATACTGTTGCTGCGGCGGTGGTTGCTGCGGCAGCGGCGGGACGGGGAATGGATGGTACGGCGGTTGCCCAGGAACACTCGAATTGGCATGCGCATCTGTCGAGGAACCGGGGTAAGGTTGGTGTGGGGCAAATGCTGGAGGGGGTCCCTGCATCGGATGGTACATTGGGAAAGCAAAACCAGGTGGCATGGGTGGCATCGGCGGCATGGGAGGTGGCGGCAAGGGCGGCATTCCATGTGGATTGGAACCAGGCTGATGCTGCTGGTGGTGTTGCTGTTGCATGGCTTGAAAGAACGATAGGGGGATTTGCATCGGGAAACCAGGATGCCCAGGAGGCGGAGGCGGTGGGAGACCGGCAAGAGCAGGAAGCGGGGGAAAAGGTGGGACGGCACCACCTGGGAATGGCCCAGGCGTGGTGTTGCCCGAGGGAGCTGGCGCGCCACTGCCACCTGGCATAACGGGTGGGTGTGGTGGAAATCCAGGGAATCCCGCAGGCATGGGTGCACCGCGGGGAAAGCCGGGGGGTATCATAAACACCATGGGGCGTTGCACCCCATCTGGTCCCACCTGCATCGGACCAGGACCGGGCGGCAAGAACGGGAAATGGCCCGGTTCTGGCGGAGGGGCATGGGTGGCGGCAGGTCCATGTTCGCCGGCGCGCTCGACACTGGCCGGCTCGTTGTGCACACGCTGCTGCTCTTGTGTGCTAGCCTGGGTGAGGTCGTCGCCGCCCCAGCGGGGCTCAGGCGCCGGCTGTTGTGGTGCAGCAGGATGCTGTTGTTGTTGCGTTGCAGACGAGGATGGATTCTCCTCCCGAGTGTCCATTGCCTGCGACTCGTCGTGAGAATCGTGCTCTTCATGGCTGTGAAAATCGACGAACGAGGTCGGAGGGCGGGGTCCAGCCGAGCGTGGCGGCTGAGGGGCCGAATCATTGCTAAACTCGTCAGCGTCAGCACCGGGCGCATACTCAAAGAAGGTCCAAGCGCGAGGCCCCTGCTCTGCCTCGGCAGCCGGAGCAGACGGCTGGCCAGCAAAAGAGCCCTGCTGAGGTGCATGCGAGTCGTCAGCAGCCGTGCCAACCTTGTCGAGATTGAACTCTTGGATGTGGAATTCAATCTCTCCCAGTGCTTTCCTGTTGCCTTGTGGGCCATCAGCTGCGGTTGCCTTTGCCTGCAGCTTGCTCTCAGCAATAGCAGCTCTGGCATCTTTTGCGTCCTTGGCCTCTTGCCTTTTGTCTATCAAATACAACGATAGGTTGAGTTTTTCCGCGGGTTGTAATTTTCAGCGCGAAGCGGCGTGCAAAAAGCCTCATGGGACCGGATCGAGCCGGGTGTGGCACACATACCTTCGATGGCAGCCTTTTTCGCTGCTTTGGCGGCTTCCTTTTCTTCGGTGCGCTGCAGTTTTTTGAGCTGCAAATCGGCCTCTTTTTGCTGATGTTTCTCCATCCGCAACCGATGGAGTTCTTCCGGTGCTGCAATAGGGGCAAAAAAGATCGAAAAAAGACAGCGGTCAAACGGGCATGGTTGTGAGCTCAGGTAGTTCCCTCCCAAAAAAAAAAACGCCTGAACAACACAAATAGCACGAACATTGAAAAAACAAAAAAACCAACCGCTTAGCTTACTGTGCTTTATCTTGTCCGTTCGCTCTGCCAATGCCCTCGATTCTTCGCTGTCCACGGCAAGCATAGCCAGCACCTTTCGTGGAGCTGCCAGTGGCTGGTCGTGCAGGAGTGGCAGAGATTGTCGATCTGGCGACAAAGTCAAAGGTCAATACATCAATCATCATGACTGCCATTCCCAAAGAATGGAAAAAGAGCCACCTACTGATAGGCCGAGACTGATGCATCGATGGCATGTTTGCCGGCGAGTTGAATGTTTGGCGTTTGACGGTTGCGGTTTCTGCACACGGAATCGCGCACAGTCAGAACAACAGAAGCTCGTACATCTCAAACGCGACCAACAACCAAGATTCGTACCCATCTTGCGCAAATCTTCTCGCAGACTGGCCGACTTTGGCGGCCGTTTCAGCTTGAAATGGTGTTTCGTGTCGGCAAGCGAGTCGAGAAACTGCTGTGGGTTGGACTGTGGATGGAAGGTGGCAAACTGCTCTTGCATCAATTGCACTCGCACCTGCGAGTTCAAGAAGAGGTAGTCGAGCGGCAGCAGCTTCATCGGAGTTTCCGAGAGAACTGAGAGGAACAACGAGAAGTGAGCGAACAAGGTTGGAAGCAGCTTTTGGACGACTGAGCAGCACAATAAACAACACAAGTTGCACGCGTACGCTTTTCGCGGAGCTCGCCGTGCGCCTGCGTGATGAGACTGGCATCGTTGTCCCACGATGGCATCAGGGTCGAGTCTGCAGGGTAGCGCTTGAGCAAGTCCCACACGAGGCGAACCCACTCGTCCTCGTCTCTGCCGGCCACTGCGAGCAGCTCCTCCAGCTGCGTGCGGAACTCTCGCATGTCGCGCTTGCGGATGCTGAGGAAGGAGAGGAGGACCTGTGGATTGGATTGGATGCAAAGGGGGGAGATGAGAGCGAGTGATGAGCGTGTTGCACAGCACATCATCCACCCATCCGTCCGCCATGACACACACACACACACACACACACACACACACACACACTACCTTGACTTTGACGGACGCGTCGAGCCCGTGCCAGGCCTCGCAGATGGAGCGCAGGACGTCGGGAGTGAAGGACTGCACAATGACCGAGGCGCACCACGGATCGTCTGCAGGCAGTCGCTTCTGCAGCCACAGCGCAATGTCAGCCGTTGGCACATGCGATGCTGCTGCTGCGGCTGCTGCTGTTGCTGCTGCCGTAGCTGCGGTTGTTGCGGACATGCAGACGTTTGGTTCAATGCACAAAGACTGAGCTGCTCGTTTTTTGTTTTTTTTTTTTTCGTTTTTGGCGGGAACTTTTTCACAATGTTTGATCAGAATGCTGTAGTGCCAATCTCTTGCTCTGTGATGACAAGTGTCGGTCAGCTACATGTCAGTCAGTGGGTGGATGGGTCAGCCCCGACGAACTGTAAACTGCCGATCGCTGCAGCAGCATTGGAATTTGAGCTTTTGGCTTGCTTTGCTTCGGCAATGGTCAGTCGCGCGGCCAATCGGCTTGTGCAGCACACTTTGAGCAAGACACTCTGTCATCTGCATGAACCTAGCTCGGTACGAATGCGACGATCGCTTCACAGTTTTGCGTTGTTGATCAATGAATCCAATAAATTTGGACGTTCGGCAGTCCTTTCATTCTTGATTTTACTTTCTTTGACCCCCTTTTTTCTTTTCTGCTCGTTTTGTGTCTGAGTGCATTACTTTGTTCCTGCGTTCACGATGCCGCCGAAGAGGAAAGGAACGCCTGGACAGCGCGCCGTGACCGAGCCGCCAAAGTCGGGCGACATGAAGAAGCCGCAGAAGGCGCACTACGGCGACACGAAAAAGCGCGCTGTTGGCGTCGACGACATGACGATGCTCTCCAAAGGTCAGCCAGCAAAGTGAACGCAACAACGCAGGCCATGGCGAGCTCGAGATGGAGGGACGTGGACGCGGAGGGGCGGGTGAGCGGGGGGGGGGAGTCAGTAGCGGCGGAAGGGGAGGCAGATTTGAGAGGCGAGCGATCGGATGATGGCTCGCTCCGTTCGCTTCGACGCTCAGCTGGACGCACACTTGCAGACTGCACTGCTTGTTGGATTCAGTGCGAGGCAGTTGCTTGCTGAGGAGGCCAATGAATGGGAGTCTAAAGTGAAGATCGAAGCAGGAATGAGTTGGAAAAAAAAAAAAAGCAGAAACCAAAAACAAAAAAAACAACGAAGCAAGTGACTTGATTGACGATTTGCAGCCGAACTGTGCAGCGACAGGAGTGATGATCGAGAGTCAGAGACAGAAAGCGGAGGACAGCGTTGAAAGATAGACAGGAGAGTGGGAGAAGGAGAAAGAGAGTGGAAGAAGGAGAAAGAGAGGGAGAGAGGGAGAAAGAGAAAAAAAAAAAAAAAAAAAGAAAGAAGGAAGGAAGGAATTGCTGCGGTCATTGGAATTGCATTGGAATCGCATGCCGCTCTCTCTCTCTCTCTCTCTCTCTCTCTCTGTCTCGTTCTGTCTCATCGCACTCTCGTTCGCACTTTGCCGCCAGCAATGCAGTCGAGCCAATCCGATCGCAAGCACAGAATGCACTCGTGCTCGTGATGAACAGCGAACTCACAAATCTGCAATCAGCCAAAAAAAAAAAAAAAAAAAAAAAGCTGGATGGAATTGCCTCCTTCCTTATTCAGCAGTTTTCAATGTGCTGAGCATTGAGTATTGAGTGGGAAAGCGGCTCCACCACTCAACTCATGCGAGCCAACAAGAAGAAGAAGAAGGCAAAGACAAGTAGATATTGAACGAGTCATCGCACGCGAAAACAGGAAAAAAAACAGGGGAACAAAAACCGGAAACAAGAAATCTGAACTCACAATCGATCGTCTGTCTGTCTGCTCTGGTCACAGTCCAAAACGAAAACATCAACGACAACCTCAAGCTCAGATTCGAAAACAAGACCATCTACACGTACATTGGCCACGTCCTCATCTCGGTCAACCCGTACCGCGACTTGGGCATCTACACGACGGAGGTTGGTTTTGGAATTTTGTTTGAGGCTGAACGCGTCCTTGCGGAGGCTCATCCGCCAATTTCCGGTTGCTTTTTGTTGCGAGCGTAGATCCTCGAGTCGTACACTGGCAAAAACCGCATCGAGATGCCACCGCACGTCTTTGCGATCGCCGAGGACGCGTACCGCACCATGAGCGCTTATTCGGAAAACCAGGTATGGGGTGCAATCTCTAGAATGCGGGACTTGCCAGCAGTGTGCGATTGAGAAAGCTTGCCACTCACTCACTCGCTCGTGTTGTTGTTGTTGCTGTACATGCTAGTGCGTCATTATCTCTGGCGAGTCGGGAGCAGGCAAGACGGAGGCTGCCAAGAAGATTATGCAGTATATTGCTGCCGTGTCTGGTGGTGGCAACAAAGCCGAGCACGGTACGCCCTTGAATTTGGATTCTTTGGATGTTCGTTGTGGCTCTGGAACTAATTTTCCGCGACCTACTGCGACAAAACAACAACAGTGAAAGACATGCTCCTCGCCACCAACCCTGTCTTGGAGGCCTTTGGAAACGCCAAGACACTCCGAAACAACAACTCGTCGCGCTTTGGCAAGTACTTTGAGATTGAGTTTATCGACGGCTCGCCCGGTGGCGGCACAATTCACAACTACCTGCTGGAGAAGGTAATTGGAATTCGGAAGGAACAGATCAATGACTCAAACAGCGCTTTTTTTTTTGGCATTCTCACTTTGTTGTTTTTGCCCATTGTCTTCTTCTTGCCCTTCTTCCTCTTCTTGTTGTTGATACTGCGCAGTCCCGCGTCTCATCCCAAATCCGTGGCGAACGCAACTTTCACATCTTCTACCAGCTGTGCCGCGGCGCGTCGCAAAAGTGGCAGACGGATTTCAGCATCTACGGCCCCGAGTCGTTCACGTACACGTCGCAGGCGGGATGCTTGGACGTGCCCGGGATGGACGACACCCAGGACTTTGCCGAGACGCTGAATGCGCTCAAGATCATTGGCGTGCCAGAAAAGGAGCAGTACGACTTGTTCCGTCTCGTGTCGGCCGTCCTCTGGCTCGGCAATGTCGAAATCGCCGAGAATGCCGACCAGGCGTATGTGACCGACCCCAGCACGCTGGCACATGTTGCGTACTTGCTCGAGGTTCCCCAAGAGATGCTCGACGCGTGCTTCCGCGAGCGCCAGGTCGAGACCAAGCGCGGTGGCCGACGCGGCACCTTGTACAATGTGCCGTTGAACGGCGCGCAGTCAGCGGCGGTGCGTGATGCCTTGTCCAAGTCCATCTACAATCGCATCTTTGACTGGCTGGTCGAGCGCATCAACGTCGTCCTGTCTGTCAAAACCAACCAGCCGCTGGTGGTCGGCGTGCTGGACATTTACGGCTTTGAAATCTTTGACAAGAACGGCTTTGAGCAGCTGTGCATCAACTATGTCAACGAGAAGCTCCAGCAGATCTTTATCGAGCTCACGCTCAAGGCCGAGCAGGAAGAGTACGAGCGCGAGGGCATCCAGTGGACGGCCATTCCCTTTTTTAACAACAAGATTGTGTGCGATCTGATTGAAGAGCGCCGCCCGCCCGGCATTCTTGCCATCATGGACGACGCTTGCGCGACCGCGCACGCCGATCCGGAGGCTGCCGACCGCTCCTTGCTCCAGCGTCTCGGCACCCTCTCGTCGAACGCGCACTTCTCGTTGGGCGGCGTCAGCTTTATCATCAAGCACTACGCTGGCGACGTCACGTACGACGGCGCCGGCATGACGGAGAAGAACAAGGACCAGCTGGTCGTCGATTTGCTCGAGGTCATCAACGCCTCGTCCAATGCCTTCCTGAACAAGCTCTTCCCTGAAAAGGCGGATCGCGACACCACCAAAAAGCCCACGACGGCTGGATTCAAGATTCGCACTTCCTGCAACGAGCTTGTCGAGGCCCTGATGCAATGCAACCCGCACTACATTCGCTGCATCAAGCCCAACGAGAGCAAGTCGCCCACGGAGTACGACACGAAACGATGCCTGCACCAGATTCGGTATCTCGGCCTGCTCGAGAACATTCGCGTGCGTCGCGCTGGTTTTGCCTACCGTCAAGTCCACGAAAAGTTCCTCGAGCGCTTCTACCTGCTGTCGCGCCGCACTTCGTATGCCGGCGAGTACACTTGGCAGGGCGATGCCGTTGGCGGAACCCGATGCATTCTGGAAGACTGCGGCATTGCGCGCGAGGAGTGGCAGATGGGTCGGTCCAAGACCTTTTTGCGCCACCCAGAGTCGCTGTGGGCCCTGGAGCACCTGCGTGAGAGGTACTGGCACAACATGGCCATGAAAATCCAGCGTGCGTGGCGCGGCTTTTTGCGCTACCGCAACGAGTGTGCTATCCGTGTCCAGCGCGCCTACCGCTCGTGGGTGGGTCTGCGCACCTTTTTGCAAATGCGAGACTATGGCCACGACGTGCTCAGCTTCCGCAAGGAGCGCCGTCGCTTCTCGCTCATCTCGCAGCGTCGCTACTTGGGTGACTATGTTGATTTCCGCTCGGACATGACGCTGCAGGGCGCGTGCGGTCCGACCATTGGGCGCGAAAACACAATCTTTTCATGCCGTTGCCAAGTGCTCGTGCACAAGCTTTTGCGGGCGAGCAAGCCTGCCCCGCGCTTCCTCGGCGTGACCGACCAGGCCATGTACCTGATTGCGGCAACCGTGGAGAAGAACATGGCTGTGCTCACGCTCGAGCGCCGCATCCCGCTGTCGTCGATTGGTGGTTTCTCCCTGTCGCCCTACCAGGACGACTACATTGTGGTCCACGTTCCGACCGAGTACGACACCGTGCTCATCACGCCGTTCAAGACCGAGCTCGTCACGACCATTGCGTGGCATCGCGGGGGCAATGTGCAGGTGGACGTGCAAGCCAACATTGAGTTTTCCAAAAAGCCCGGCAAGAAGAGCGTGCTCGAGTTTGCCAAGGACGAAATGGCCGGCACCGAAGGTGTGTTGAAGAAGGGCAAGATTGTGGTGGCCTCTGGCTCGCCGTCCAACTCGGTCTCCGACCCTCCGTGCCGCAAGCGCCAGGCCGCTGCTCAGCCAATCACCAAGGGCCGTCTTCTTAAGAAGGGCGGTCCCTCGAATCGACCTGCCAACAATGGCGCAGCTGCGAATGGCGGCGGTGCCAGCGCCTCGAGCGCCTCGGCTGCTGGCAAGAGTGCTGGCAGTTCGAAGGGCGCGGCGCCTGTGGCTCCGCCTCAGAGAAGCGACAAACCGGCCGCCGCGGCTTCCAATGCGGCGCCAAAGTTCCGTGCGACCTTCCAGTACGACTCGACCGACCCTGGTGAGCTTTCCTTCCCCGAAGGAGCAGTTCTCGAGGTCCTCAAGAAGGATCCCAATGGCTGGTGGCATGCCAAGTACCAGGGCCAGGAGGGATGGGTGCCATCCAACTATCTCGTGGAGGTGATTGAGGCCAAGGCAGCGCCTGCACCTGCAGCAGCTCCCAAGCGTGCAGCACCTGCAGCTGCAGCTGCTCCGGCCGCCGACGACAGGGACGAGGACGAGTCGAGCGGTCGAGGCACGGTTTCTCGTGCTGCCGCCGCCGCGCCCAAGCCTTCTGGTGGCGTGGCCATGCCTGCTGCTGCGGCTGGAGGCACATTGCGAAAGGCTCCTGGCGCGCCCGCCGGTGCTGGTGCCGGTGGTGCTGCTGCTGGTGCTGGATCAACTCTGGCTGGAGGGACTGGCACGCTGCGCAAAGCGCCTGCAGCCCCAGGTGCCGCTTCTGCTGCCGCTGCCGCTGCTGTGCCAAAGCCAGCCCTCAAGCCAGTGTGAAGCCGCCGGGCTCTGACTCGGCTGTTCTCACCAAGCCGAAGCCCGCGACCACTCCGGCTGCTGCTTCTGCTGCGAGCTCGGACGACTGGGGCGAGGATGCCGCAGAGCCTGCGGCCGTTGCACCCAAGCCCAAGCCTGCCGCTGCGTCCGCCGCATCACCGCTCAAGCCCGCCGGACCTCCCAAGCCAGCTGCCGGCGCCGCCACCAAGCCTGGCGTTACTGCTCCGGCCATGAAGCGACTGTCCTCTGGCGCCGCCACCGCGACCTCGACTCCGTCTCCTACACGCCGTCAGCCTGCTGCTGGCGCTGGTGCTGGTGCTGCCGGTGCTGCTGCCTCTCCGGGAGCTGCCACTCGACCAGCGCCAGGAGCTGGACCGGCGGCTCCCAAGCCCGCTGTTGGCGCGGCGGCGCCCAAGCCTGCTGCTCCTGCGTCTGCTGGCGGCCCGGTGGCTCCCAAACCCGCACCCGGTCCTGGCGCACCGAAGCCGGTTCCAAGCGCAACTGCACCAAAGCCCGCTCCAGGCGCTGCTGCTCCGAAGCCGGCGCCCAGTGCCGGAGCGCCCAAGCCCGCTGTTGGTGCAGTTGCGCCCAAGCCTGTGCCATCCGCCGGTCCTCCAAAGCCAGCTGCACCCGGTCCAGGCGCCGCCGCACCCAAGCCCGTGGCGAGCAAACCAGCGCCCGCCCCAGCTTCCAAGCCGGCGCCCGCTTCCGCTCCCAAGCCAGCTGCAGCCGCACCGAAGCCCGCCGCCGCCGCAGCAGCAGCGCCGAGCAACCCCGTTCTTGCCAAGGTGAGTTTTGTTTGATGAGTTGTTTTTTTTTTTTTGAATGCTTTGATACTCACTTTTGACTTTTGGGCCTTTCTTGTTTTTGTTTTATCTGATCCCTCTCGTTTCAGGCATTGCCAAAGCGCCAAGACTCGGACGACGAAAATAATGACGACGAGTGGGATTAAATCCTCCCTTGGTCGCCTGACTCTTTTGGAGTCAATCATTGCTCTTGATATCAGTGTGTTCTTTGTATAAATGTGAGAAAGTTTAGCGTGGCATGAAATGATTAAACTTAACCAAAAAAAAAAAAAACCTTCATTTCGATCAGCTACAGTTTCGTGTTCTGTTCAAAAAACCGCACAACGCATGCAAACATAAAATTGAACAGCATTTCCCGCATCATGCATCCAGTAGGCGGTTGGTGGCGCGCATCACGTCATTGTTCGACTGACGAAGCGCGTCCAGCACGGCTTCTCGCGTAAAGCCCATGCTTGTGAGCTGCTCGACAATTTCGTCCGACGGTGGCTCTGGCTCGCGGCGAGCAGCTGGGGGAGCTCGCGCGCGTGCCTCTGAGTTTGGCTGGAAAAATGGGGTCTGTGGTCATGAATTGGCGTCAGTTGGGAAAAGCAGAGCAGAGAACGTGAAATCGCCACACTTATGAGCATGGCTTCGCTCATACCTGAATATCTGGCCGACGGGCACGGCGCACACGCACACCAACAGTGTCGCGAGAGTCGGCAGAGCCAAACCAAGGCTCGACATGACTGGAGAAAAATCGTACAATCGCACTCGGAAGCAGGAGGGATTGAACACTGGCAATGTTACTGCGGTACAAGAGTCCAGCCATCACGCCGCACACTGCAGACACGACAGAGCTGGAGCCACCGACTGCAAGGAGCTGTTCATGGCATGGGGCGCAGAGTGATGCAAAAGTTAGACAAGATTCAAGTCGTCAAGGTTCAGAGAATTGAACCACCGCTGTACCTGAATCGCCGCAATATACGCAAAGGACTTGTGAGAGAGCTTCACGCCGCAGAATCGATAGGGCTGCGAGGCAGGGACTTCGAAAAAGAACTGCACGAGCAAAGCGTAGATGATACCGTAGCTGCATGTGGAATTGAGCCGGGATGGGGTTGGGGTAGAGTGAAGGGACAACGGTGTCAAAGTGTTGCCGATGCGTGAGAGACGGACGAGATTGAAAGCACACAAATGGTTGCCAAATACAAAACCAGGCGCGATGCTCAAAGTCTCCTTGCAACGAAACTCACAGGCCAGACGCCGCAGAGAAGGCTTGTGATTGCACGACAACGACGGCACTCAGTTGAAGAAGTGTAGCGAGCGCTCCTGCAACCAGGACAAGCGACTGTGCAGGCGGTAGAGAGGGTCAGTGGCGTGCGAAAGCGGCTTTGTCAAAAAATCTTGTTAAGATACAAGAAGCACCATACCGCAAACTTGGCTGATCCGTATTGACGCTCAAGGACGCGCATGTGGTACAACACGGCAGCACCCACGACGAGTTCCGATGGGGAGGAGAACATGACTGGTTGCGTGAGCAGCCGCCAAACCTGAGAAATACAGCCACACAGCGTCCAAAGGGAACCGTGCAGACTGAGCGATCGCGGCAAAACAAGCAAAGACTTTGCGTCGAGGACACCCCAATCACGCAAGCGTGCGGTGGTGCTATGTGCGGCGGGCTTGCTGGCTGAAGCTTGTCAGGAGCGAACAAACAATACCTGGAGTCCCGCGACTGCGGCAGGGCTGAACGCGAGGCCCATGTCGGCTGCCGAGCCACCGTGCAGATGGTAGTACGCAGCGAGCGTGGTTGCGCCAGAGAGGCAGAGCAAGCCTTTGGTGACGGAGGCACTGTCTGTGAAATTTGAGCATCAGCAGCAGACTGTGAGTGGATGTGTCTGTGCCGCTCCCACTCTCAGTCTCGCGTGCAATCGCTTTGGGGAATGGGATGAGAATGCTGGTGGTCATGACATGATGGCTGGGATGGATGGATGGATGGATGCACGACCAAGCAGCAGAGAAACAGCGAACGCAACGAATGAATGGCTTACAAAGACCAGCCGTCATCGCTTCAAGAATAGCTCGGTCGAAGTGTAGAAAGTGTGCGAGACAAAAAGAGTTGGACTGAGCAAGCAACGTAGATTAAGATGATGAACGATGGTGTCTTGGAGTGTCGAAGTCGAATGCCGACAAGTAGCGGTCAAAACGCAACAAGGGTAAGAGTTGAGCGTGAATGCGTTGAAATGGGTAGACCTCACTCACTCACTCACTTCACTCACTCACTCGACGCCAAAATCCAGCAAAACGGCAACGCGTCCTTGTTTTGCACAGTGATTTTGGTGATTCATACTCAGTCTGAGTAGCACAGGACAGTCTTTGGATTTTTGAAGTTGTTCGACCAGCGACGTAGATTCAACCCAGCGCTGCTCGTATCACTCCGCAGCCAGAGCCATAACAAACAAGCAAAAAGTCCCTCTACTCTCTACCAATACCAACAGAAGTAGAACTCTGCAAGACAGGAAAGATGAGCGTCAAGCTGCGAGGATGGGGCGAGTTCTTTGAGACGGCGCGGTTTACGCTGCCTCCAGGCCTGTCTGAGCTCGTCCGGTCGAACAAGGACATGGCAGCCAACTTCAAGGACCTTGCGCGGGGCGGCTCTGGCAACGGGCTGCGACGCCTCGCAACGCGCATCGAGTCCAACCTCATCTACTTTCAAGTCAACTACCTCGTCATTGTCCTGCTCTCGTTCCTCTACGCAAGGTGCGTTGCCTGCCATTGTTGTTGCTGTTGTTGTCGTTGTTGTTGTTCGTTTGGTGCCTTCGTCTGGGTTGATGCAGTTGTCGACTGCAGATGTTCGTTCCTCCCTTCTCGATTCGCTGCTGCTCGTCATCACAACGCGCGTTCGACTCGGCATGGCATACAAAGACACCCATTATTGCTCTTGCTCACTGAACGAACCTCTGTTTGATTTTTTTTTTGGCTTGTCATCTGTCACAACGCTGCTGGTGTTGCCACAGCATCCACGAGCCAATGATTTTGGTCGCGCTCGTCATTGGCGCAGGCATGATTGGCTACGTTGTGCAGCATCCAATGATCAAGATTGGCGACAAGTTCTTCAACCAAGAACAAGGTTACTTTGCCTCCGTCATTGGTAAGCTCTCCTGCACGATCGCGTTGTCAAAAGTTGTAATGGCTGACCTGACTGCTTTGTCGATCTGGTTTGCTGCCACGCAGTCACCGTCAACCTCATCTTTGCGTTCTCCGGCATCCTCTTCTTCAAGTGCTTGTTTCTTTCGCTGGCCGTCGTCATTCTGCACGCCACATTCCGAATCCACTCGGCAAAGGCCTCCATTGTGAATTGGTTTACTCGAGTGACTGGCAAGGAGCAGCTCGAAGACCTGTTCACGCCAAATGTAAGGGCTGACGTGCATGGTTGGACGGAAAAAAATGTGCAGAAACCGTTGACAGGCTCAACATGAATTCATCCTTGCAAACAGGAGGACGACGATGAAATTCTGCCACGTACATCCCGTGCGCGTACTGGTAGCAAATCTAACATGCAAGAGTCAATCTACAGCTCGCCGACAAAGAATGGTGAGCTTCGATCTCGCCACCTCCCCTATCGAGAGCAATGAATGGCGGTTTGACAGCAAAGTCAGAATTGTGTCTGCCGCTGCCCGTCCGCCCCTTCCAGTTTTCCAGTAGCTCTTGTACTTGTCCACGTGTCTTGCTGCGGTGGTCTGCAAAACTTGCTGCAAAAACGTCGTGTCATTTTGTGTGTTCAGAGTGATTTATTGCAAAATCAAACAAACCAGCAACAAAAAAAATCGAGAAACCAAAGCGACCAACACCCGCTCTCAAAGCTAAATGGACTCCATTGCTAGCATCATGCTTCATCGTCGTCGTCATCCTCGGCATCAAAGAGAGACTCATCAATCTGGATTCAACAAACCAACAAACAAAAATCAGACCAGCCAATTCAGGACACAAACACCCACATTTGCTCTCAACCCGATCAACCCGTGCTCCCGAGCAATCGTACAGCAACAGAAGAAGGACCGGCAGCTGACGAGGATGAAGCAGCAGCTTCGCTCTCGTCGTCTTCAGCAGTTTCGTCTTCCTCGGGAATGTTGTCGGCCTCTTGGGGTGTCTCTTCCTCGTCGCTGTATGTGTCAGTTTCGCGGACGTATGTCTCGTCATCGGCTTCATCGTCATCTTGGAACAAATCGGGACGGAAGGCGAAGAGCGTTCGGCCACTAAGACCAAAGCCGCGGCCAGCCTTGGCGGTTTCTTCTTGCTTTTTCATTTCTTGGGCTTGAGTTTCTTTCTGCAAGTTGTCAAGAGCGAGTAGGTGCAGATGTGACAAAGGATGATGCGAGAAGCAACCCCCCCCCCAAAAAAAAAAAAAAATTCGCTTCCAGGTGAGACGAGACAAAAACGATGGCAAACATGCACAGGTCCTCAGTGCGGCGACAGCGACATCGACTCCTCCACACTGACCTTTGCCGCAAGTTGCTTCTCTTTCCAGGCAAGGAAGCTTTCGAGAGTGACGGGTGTCAACTTGCCGCCATGCTTGGAAGCGAGATTTGCGCGCTTGAGAGTTGAAGGAACAGACAACGGCAGAGCAGAGCAACACCACAGTGAGACATCCTGACACGAAGCCGCCACGATAAAACACCCGACAGTGCAAATGCAAGCAAAATAAAACAATCGCTTCCTCGAGACATGCATGTACCGACCTCCGATTCGATCAGCTCCTCGAGAGAAATCTCCTCCTTTTCGAGCTGCTTGGCATCACGTTTGAGCACAAAGCCTGGGGGCAAGGCATGCTTGTAGATGCACTTTTCTCCGGAAGGGCACTCCCAGAACCAGCCGTACAAGTTCTTCTCGATGGCTTCGAGGAAGTACTTGCACACAATGTCTGTGGCGTTCTTCTTTGCGTTATCCGTGCCGTGCTTCTTCTCGACGGCTTCTTGTAGCTGCTCTTGGCTCCATTCGTCCATCTTTGACGTTCCCTCGGCCGCGGCCTCACCATAAATTGATCGCTTCTCGCCCTTGCGTTCGAGAGCGAGGTCGTGCGAAAACCGGCACTTGTTGCCCTTCTGGCAGGTGCCCGCCTTGAAAAAGGCGCACACAACAGACATGGGATCGGCGCCTACCCTCGAGTGCAAACCGAAAAATACGAAACAGCGAAAAGCGACAGGCAACAGGCAGGGTGAGAACATGACAAAAAAAAAAACAGATTGCGCAACCAAACCATCGTCCAAGCCTGAGCCTGAGCCTGCGCGTACCAACGGCGACTTTCTGCTGGACGGGAGCATTGAGCACCGGCTTGAACAAGTCACGTTCCAAGTCGTCGTCGTCGTCCTTGGGGCGTCGTGGCATGCCCGTTGGGCGCGAATTGAAGCGGCTGTCGATTGACTTTTGCACATTGGCGATGAAATCCTGTTGCTTTTTGCCTGCGGTTTGTTTGAGCAGGAGTGGGTTAAGAGAGTGAGTTGTTGCCAGGTGAAGCACAAGCACGGGATAGAGCAAGAGAGAGAGAGAGAGAGAGAGAGAGAGAGAGAGAGAGAGAGAGAGAGAGAGAAAGAGAGCATGGAGCACGAAGAGCCAGCCATCCACATGCCAATAAAAAAAAAAATAAAATAAAAAAAAAACCGATAAAACTGTACCTTTCTTATTCTTGAGACCGAACGTCTTGTCGTCCATGATCTTGTCCTTCTACTCGAGCATACAAGAACAGTGGAGAGTGAGAGAGAGAGGGAGAGAGAGCAGTGGAGACGATAGAGGGAGTGAGCGACAGCAGCAACAACAGCAATGTGAGATCTAGGAAAAAGCGTGCGCGCGCCGACCGCTCAGCGGACAACAACGCATTGAGTGTACGGTATGGACGCAGGGTGAAGAGTGCGACATCATGACCACCAGGGACGGCGGGGGCGGGGGGAACACTTGGGCGGGCGAGCGAGGCAAAGGTCGCATGGACAATGGTCAGCCAGCCAGCACAGCTTTGCGGCTCGTCTGGTCCGTCCAGCATCCAGGGTGCAGATGATATGCAAAGTGTAATGAAGGGGAGAGAGAATAAATAAGCAGGGAGAGCCAGCTCGTATCGTACCGCCTTGTTGACGGTCTTCGTCGACGCCTTCTTTGGCGGCATGACTGCAATGTGTTATCAAAGGTGCAATTGTAAAAGAGTGAGCCTGCATGTCATGCATGATGAGAAGACATGCAGTGGACAGCATCAGAAAGCAAAACAAAGGTCGATGTTGCAGAGGAAGACGATCTAGCTCGCAGATTGGTTTTAATCAATGACAAAGCTCGCAGACCATAGGACGACGGCACAAAAAAACAAAGGACAGAGCACACACTGGGGCTTGTCCGCAGAATTCGCACATCAGCCCAAGATCAAAGCGCAAGCAAAGTGCCGACAGAGCGCGCAGATCAAGTGAGGAGATAAACGCCAAGGCAAAACACTCCAAAAAATAATACATGCAACACAAACCATCAGACCGACAAACAATCAGCAGTCGTACGCATGAAGTTGGTCGTTCTGCGCCTTCGAGAAAGAAGCGCAAGGAGAACGGGGCAAACAAACGCACCAAAACCCCAAATACAGAGAGAGAGAGAGAGAGAGAGAGAGAGAGAGAGAGAGAGAGAGAGAGAGAGAGAGAGAGAGAGAGAGAGAGAGAGAGAGAGAGAGAGAGAGAGAGAGAGAGAGAGAGAGAGAGAGAGAGAACAAGGCTGTTAAGAAACATGCCGCCAAAACTGCACTGGATTCCAAATCCATGCAAACAGCGACCACACAACAAAGAATAGAACGAAAACAAAAATAAACCGAGTCATCGCTCCGATCAGACTTGACACACAAACGGGCACTGTTTTTACATCTTGGCCCACTTCAAGTCGTCTTCTCGTGGCGGAACACCAGTCACTGCACACAGCGCCTTCTCGAGACGAACCCAAAAGTCAATCATCTCCAGAGGGTAGTTGAGCCAGCCAGTGGTGATGCAATAGTACGTGTCGTGCGGCGAGACGTGGTGGATGCGGTGGTGCTTTCGCGGAAGAATAATGTGCATGTCTTGGAGCAGCTGGACCCAGCCTGGGGGCTTGTAGGTGTGCGACCACTTGTGGATTTGGTTGGTGAGCGTCACAAAGATGGACATGGCGAACAGGTAGCAGTTGGCAAAGTACGCTGCACGGCCCGCGCCAGCCATGTCGGAGACGGTCCAAAAGCTCAGTGCAATGTAAATGTGGAATGGAATGGTGACAAAGCAGTTGTCTCCGTTGGTTTCAATGACGTCGTGGCGAGTGATGGCCGTGGGATCAATGTGGTGCTCCCGGAAGGGTCGGATAAAGGCCTTGCCAACGATCGGGAGCTCGACCGAGCCCCAAGTGTCGGCAGCCCAGTGTGCCAGGCCCGAGAGGAAGTCGGCCGTGAATATTCCGAGGACTGCATTGGGATGAAGCAAAGAGTGGGAGAGAGAGAGAGCGAGGTCAGTGCGATTGTTGCGATTGTTTTGGAGGACAGCTGGCCAAAAGATGAACATCCCCACATAACGTACCGATGCTAACAATGACGCCAATGGCGTTGGCGGACGAAAAGTTGAACGCGATACACAAGAGGTTGATGGCCGTGAGCGAGGCGCACGTCGTAACTGAGATGATTTCAAACCGGCGTTTCTCTGCAAAAGCAAGGGAGGGGGAGGGAACGGAGTGAGTTTCAGGTGAGCATATCAAAAAGACCGACGAGAGAGCGATGTGAGAGAATGATGTGCGATGGTGCATCCGTCAGTCAGTCGGATTGGATTGTTGTGGCTTTTTGCTCCTCGTTGCTTTGTTGCTTTGGGGCAGTCGCAATGTGGACATTGCTGCATGGTGTTTGTTCAAATTGGAATGTTGATTTCGCAATGGCTACCTCGATGGCAGCAGTGCAGGCCCAACAAGAGCAGTGAGCAAGAACGTGACGCTCCTCAGCAGCCATACCAGCTGCGAAGATTTCGACCCGAAGAAAAAAAAAAAAAAAAAAAAAACGAAAAAAAAAAACAAAAAAAAAAAAGATGGACTTTGTGTGATTGCTGCGATGTTGGCTCTCGAGCGTGCGCTGTTGGAGCGACGAGCAATGTAAAGATGCAACATGACCCCGAGTGCAGGTCGAACATAGACAGGGAGAGAAAGAGGGAGAGAGAGAGAGGGAGAGAGAGAAGAGTCGGGAAAACACGAGGCGGATGCGAGGTAAACCGAGATCAAAGAGAGAAAAAAAAAAAAAAAAAAAAAAAAAAGGTTATCTGATGATTGTTTTTGAAGTTTTCGCTCTCTCTCCCCACTTCGTTGAAGGCAAGACGAAAAGGACGGGGCAGCTCAACGATAGCTGAGCAGGAGATCCAACGTCGATGGGAATGAAGCTCCGCGAGAACGGCGCTTTGCAGGCAGTCACAATGCCAAGCAAAAAAAAAGAGCAGCAACGCAACCGCACGAGGGAAGCGGAATGAATGGAAAAATCAAAAAAAAAAAAAAAAGCCACTCTTCGCTCTCTCTCATTCTCTCTCTCTCTCTCCGGCCCCCATCAAGACACAGACAGCAGCAGCAGCATCATCGCACAGCAGGTAAACGCATGGACAGAGAACAAGGGAAGGGTCTGAGCGAGAGGCGGGGAGGGAGAGGGAAAGACAAAGAAAAAACCGACCGGGAGTGTACTGAGCGGCGAGAAGCTTGGCGCCAGCATTGTCCTTGCCCCACCGCGGACTGTGCAGCTCGGCCTCGGCAGATGCGGGCGACGCAGCACCAGCAACGGACGCAGCAATCTGGTTGAGCGATCGACGAGGCGCGTCTGGTGCTGCGTCGTCGGTCTGCTTGGCATTAGCGTGCGGTTGTTGGGGCGCTGAAACGCCACCACCCAACGCACAGTCGCTCGACGTAAACACCATCTTGGTTCACTCTGGTTCAAAAAACACAAACGCGGATGTGTCAATCCAACAGGAAATAGAAATGGACTGGATTAAGGTTTCCAATGCTCGCTCGATTTTGCCTAGGAAACGGCCGATGAATGCTGGAACGGTGGAGCTTTCCTTGTGCCTCACTGATTCAGGCATTGAGCACACCACCCCCCTTCGACCTCGGCCTCATTTACGATTTGTACTGCAAACGCGTGTCGGGGTTGAGAGCCATCTCATCCTTGACGGGGCGTATTGGTCGTGCGTCTGCTTGTTTATCTCAACAAACCATGCCGAATGGATCCAAGCGATCGCGTCACTCGACCACTCGACGCATCGTCCCCCCCCCCTCCTTGGGACTTGGGACGGTCGGAGCCTGTGAATGCTGTAATTCCGCCTAACGCGAAAAAAATGCGCACAAATGTTCAACAAAATGAAATCCCAATCAAGACGATGTTGATCACTCTTTTTGTTTGCTTGCTGCCATTATTTGGTAAATAGCAAACTCATGCCAATGCGCACGAAGGAGCAATCCGCTGCTATATGTGGCCTCTGTCTTCCTTCTATTCCAGTCGAGCAGTTCGCAGCTCAGAAGCGGGGGTTGCTGTCAAACGGGCGCACATTCCGTAATGAGCTGCACCTGCTATTCTCTCGCGCTCCCTCTCTCGCTCTCTGCCCCCTCAGAATCTGCTGTTGAAGCGAGCAACTTCAGTCAAGAACAACAACAACAAGAAGAAGAAGTGATGGGGTGGGAAGGCGCAGCAGTAGGGTCGTTGAACATTCGCATGGGACCCACTCGTGCGAAACGGAAACCCGCCGCTGCGATCGAGCTGCTGGCTGCTTCGTTCCCTGTTCGAAGGCGCACTATTTGTCGATGCAAACAACAGTGAACGTGATCGCAACGCCGCCCCTCTGCGCAGGGATGGGGAAACGTGGAGGGGAAAGCCTAATTGTGGAGGTGTGGCGTTGGGAAAACCATTTCTCCGAAACCCCCAACCGACCGCCTTTCTCCATTTTGCTTGTACTTTGCACGTTCAGTACACTGACGCTCACTTTTGCCCTGGAATTGTCGTCGATGCAGATGACGCGAAAAGGAGCTGCCATTGGCCTGCTGCTGGTGCTCGTCGCCGCATTGCTCCACCACGTTCAGTTGGCACAAGCAGTCGATGCCTGCAACGTGTGCACGTGCTTGGGAACGACTGTCAATTGCACTGGTACATCTCTTTCCACGATTCCGAGCGGAATCCCAGTCTCCACCACGGGACTGTACGTGTCGTTGTCGCCCGTCGAGTAGCGCCTGATTTGGAAGCGTTGACCAGTCTCATTTGGCGGCCTTTTGGTCAATAGGTACCTGGCAAGTAACAGCATCACCAGCATTTCTACAAGCGCTTTCACTGGCTTGACTGCACTGACAGAATTGTAAGCATGTCAAGCCCGGCGAAAAAAAGTACAAATCGGACCAACTCACCCGTTTGCTCTGCAGGGATTTGCGAAACAACCAGATCACCAGCATCTCTGCAAACACTTTCGCAGGTCTGCCTGCGTTGAATGTCTTGTAAGCAAGCAAACAACACAACAACAGGAGGAATCACACGGACAAAACAGCAAATCGACTGACTCGTTGGCGTCTCGTTTTGCAGAGCTCTGTCCGACAACCAGATCACGAGCATTTCCGCCGCTGCTTTTACAAGCCTGTCTGCGCTGCATGCTTTGTAAGCAAGCTCTCACGCCGGTACGTGCTCGACTTGTCCGTTGACCTTTCGCCTTTGCGCCACTTGCAGGATTTTGAATAGCAACCCCTTCACCACTTTGCCGCCTGGGCTGTTCAAGGGCCTGCCGAATGGGCTAATTTTGTCGTTTTATTCGTCCCAGTTTTTCCAGTCGCTGCAGCCCAACAACTTTACCTTTGGTGAAAATGCTGTCGCTCCGCCCAGCACATACGGTAGTGCATCCGAGCCATACCGTAAGTTCCAAGATGACTGGGCCATCTCCCCTGTGATCATTTCACTGATATTTGGACTGCAGAGTGTGATACAGCTTGTGCCACCTGCTATGCATCTGGGTCGAGTTCGTGTTGCGGGATGAATTGTCTGAGCTGCACTCCATCCGCCGTGTGCACCCAGTGCTATGAAGGGTTTGCCGTGCTGAGTGGGTCTTGCGTGTCGCTCGCGGTCATCGTCTCCGTCGCCTCCGTTGCGTCAGCCGCGTCCGTGCAATCTGCATCGATTGTATCCGCTGCGTCAGCTGCGGCAAGTGCATCGGTCGCCTCCGTAGCTTCTGTGCAATCAGCCTCCGCTGCCTCGATTGCTTCAACCAGATCTGTGTCGATTGCGTCCATCGCCTCAATCGCATCAGGTGTTCTCGCGACCTCGGCATCCCTTGCTTCCCTTGCTACTGCGTCTTCAGCATCGCAGGCGTCCGCATCCGTCGCATCTGCTGCTTTCGCCACCTCGGCGTCTATTGCTTCCGTTGCAACTGCATCCTCGGCTTCATTTGTGTCTGCTGCTCGCGCGTCGTCGGCATCTGTTGCTTCTCATGTTTCCGCCATCTCGGCGCTCTTGGCTTCTGCTGCGTCAACCGCATCGGCATCTGCTGCATCTCTTGCATCCTCCATCGCACAACACGGCGGTGGTGGCGGCTCCCAGAACTCATCGTCATCATCAACAGCTGCCATTGCTGCTGCTGTCGCGTCTGCTGCAGTTATTGCGGTACTCGCTCTCGTGTTTGTCGTCTTGCGCCGTCGTCGATTGCAGCGCTCAGGCATGCGTCCAAAGGACTCTGGCGGTCCCATCTATCAAGAAGCTATTGCAATGACAATCTCGTCTTTGAACCGTTCGATTCGATCTGACAAGGAAGAGGACATCTCTGCATACGCTGTGGTTGGTCAAAAACAGCCAGAGCCTCTGTACCAAGTCATCTCGACAAGTACCTCTGCTGAGGTAGTCTATGATTATGCAAGCGCGTATGTTGCCGGCAGCAACTCTCGTCGCATTCGTGAAGGCTTGACCATTGTGAAGCACCTTGCCAGTGGGAACTTTGGCGACGTGGCACTGGGCCAAGTGCCTTTCAACGTGCTGCCTCCAAGAGCACAAACCCTGCTTGGAACTGCCACCTCCGAGTCGGTTCAAGTTGCAGTCAAGTCCCTCAAGTCCAACGCGGATGACAAATCTCGTCAAGACTTTGAGAGCGAGGCGAAACTGATGGCTCCATTTGTGCATCCGAATGTCGTGCGCCTGCTCGCAGCTCTGGTCGAGTCAGAGCCGCATCTCGTTCTGCTTGAGTTTGTGCAGTACGGCGACTTGCGCACGCTGCTGCAAAAGTCCAAGCTCCATTCGCTGTGGTGGACGCAGAACGAGCAGACTCACGCCATTCGTCAGATTGCTCTCGGCATGGAGTACCTGGGTACGCTCCACTTTGTGCATCGCGACCTTGCCGCGCGCAACTGCCTTGTTGGCAAGGGGATGGTGGTCAAGATTGCCGATTTCGGGCTTTCTCGCGAGATGGCCTCCGAGAACGAGTACTATCGCATGCAAACGCGTGGCAAACTTCCTGTGAAGGTTGGTTGAGGGTGTGAAACGCTTGCTGCTTGAAGCTTTGATTCTGATTATGTTGACCTTGCTCTTCTTGACAGTGGATGGCCCCGGAAACAATGACCTTCCGCAAGTTTTCTTCAATGTCGGATGTGTGGTCGTTTGGTGTGACTGCCTGTGAGTAGATCGTTGTGTTCTGCTAAACTTTGTACTCGCATCTGACTTTTTGATTGGTGCGCGTTGGTAGGGGAGTGCTTCAGCTATGGCACAGCGCCGTACGGCCCGTTGAACGGCATGGAGACTTTGGCTCACGTGGAGGCTGGCGGTCGCTTGCCCCAGCCGGAGCACTGCTCGGCTGAAATGTTTAGCCTGATGTTGAGCTGCTGGGACATGTCGCCTGAAAAACGCCCGACATTTTCTCAGCTCGTCAAGGAGCTGACGTTGGCTCAGGATGGGGCGACTGTCCGCGAAATTGGTGACATGCTGTGAAAGTGGGCTCGTGTTTTGTTGTTTCTTGAAATATCGCGCAATTTGGCATTTGAGGCACTCAGCTTGCATTTGAAGTCAAAACAAAAATCACAACGACAAACAACCAAAAGAAAGAACAAAAAGAAAACACGTCGACGAACATCAACATGATCTCAACGGTTCGTCGCCATGATGAAGCTGGACAAAAGAAACAAATTCTAGTACACCATTGACATTCAAAAACAAGCAGAAAGAGAGGACAGGTTCAGTCAAACCGTTCGTTTGTCTTGAACACGATGCTGAGCGCTCGTCTTTCGCTCACGAAAGCGGTAGTCCGTGGTGCTGCTTCATGTGCCACAACTCTTGCATCGACACCCCTGCAGAGTAAGGTTCTTGCTCCTGTTTTCCGTCCACCGACGCCCTGTGCTGCTGGTCAATGAGAACCAACGCGGTGTATTTTTATTGTCGTTGTGTGGCGTGCATCGTTCGATCAGTTGTTCTTTCAGCCGAGTTCGCCTCATTACCGGGCATCAGGGCCCCTGGACTCGCGCTGCACTCCTTGTCTACAATGCCAACTCCATCACCTGCGTACTAGCAGCTGGTGACTGGTGTGCATCGTCTCTTTCGGCTTGAGTACTTGTGTCTCGGCTCTGTTGTTTTTAACCAAATAAAGCGACCAATATTCTCTTGGCGATCGCAATCTTCTCGACTTGAATGTGTGACAGCAAGTGCTACTTGCTTTGATGAATACTGCCCAATACATTCACTGCCGCCTGTTCTTGTACTATCCCGATCATTAAATTTCGACCCCCCCTCTTTTTTCACTTTTTCGCCCTCCCTGGGACCTGTGTTGCTTTCCGTCTCGCCCGCGGAATGTTCATTCATGGTACGGTGTACCAGACACATTTTAGAAGTGAAGCAGCGGGCTGGGAGTTAAGATTCGAAGCGAGAACAGACAAAAATGAAACTCAAAAAAACAGAAAAAGAGCGGATTTTTTGCCCAATTTTCACAAAGCATTACATGGCACACAAACAACGTGTCGCAGCGCCTTCGCTCCACTTCAGTACTTGGTATAACCACCATTGGCATCTATCACAGCTTGAATGCGGCGCGGCATCGATGAAATGAGATCGCGGCAGACCTCTGGCGTGAGCACTTCTTCGTAGACCGCTTGGAAGCGTTCCCACAACGCGGCCTTGCTCTTGATCTCCCTCTCCTGGTAGATCTTGTTCTTGACCATGTTCCACGCATTTTCGATGGGGTTGAGGTCGGGAGAGTTCGCAGGCCAGTCCAGGACGGTGATCTGATTGGTTTCGAACCACTTGGCCACATCTTTTCTTTTGTGACAAGGGGTATTGTCATGCATGAAAATCATCTCGTTTTTGTTGTTCCACACGCGAATGCTTGCTAGCAACTCGCTCTCCAAAACTGAGAGGTAGGTGTCGCCGTTCATGACGTCGCCGACCTCGCAGAAAAGCGAAATTCCGAAACGAGAGATGGCGCCCCAAACATTGATATGGCCACCGCCGAACTTGACCGTGCCCTGCACGCATCGATCGGTCAACGTTTCGCCAACCAGACGCCATACACGACCACCGTTGTTGTTCCTGTAGAGATAGAGAGCAGTCTCGTCGGAGAAGACGACCCTCAGCCAGTCATCGACGGTCCAATGCTGATGAGCGAGTGCAAAGGCCAAGCGTCGCTCTTTGTGTGTCTCTTTCAAGAGGGCTTTTTTGACCTTCGCTCCGTTGACAAGTCCTGCACCATGCAGCACCCTTCTTATCGTGCATGGAGAGACACGAACTTTGGACAATGTGCGCATAGTGGCGGCCACTTCGGGTGCGGTGTCGGACTCATCGAGGAGGATCTGTGCTACAATGTTGTTGCGGTGAAATGACTTGAGCTTGCTGGGGCGACCGGGGCGGGGGCTGTCGCTCGTCGTCGCCCTTCCCGAGAAACGTTGGGTGATGCTGATCACTGTAGAACGTGGGAGGTGAAGCTGGGTGGCGATCTTGTTGTAGGAGAGGCCAGCATTTCGCAACGCGAGCACTTGACCGCGGACGACCTCCCTGGGCATCTTGTCCAGCACGGGCAGCGGTCTTTTTGGTGAAGTTGGACGCAGCCATACCGGGGGCTGTCTGGGAGCCACGCGGGACGTGGACTGACTGCGTGTGCGAGTCATGCGCACAAAAAGACTGAACCCAAACCAAAATTTGGGCGGGAAAAGTGAATTTTTTGAGTTTCCTTATATTTTTTATTTTGCTCGCTGCTGCTCTGATATGACTCACAACCCCCGCTCCCGGTGTTCATCAGACGTTCGGTACACCGTACCATGAATGAACATTCCGCGGGCGAGACGGAAAGCAACACAGGTCCCAGGGAGGGCGAAAAAGTGAAAAAAAGAGGGGGGGTCGAAATTTAATGATCGGGATAGTAGTTGCGCCGCCCACTTTGCCCGAGCCGGCGTTTGACGCCTTCCTCTCCCCCGCTGGCGCCGTCCTCGTTCCCTCCTTTGGCGCCATCCAGTTCCCCACCTTTGGCGGCGTCCGCTCCCGTATCGAGAGGAACTGTGAACGCCCCAACCTGCTCATTTGGCCCCGCAGGTCCCGCTCCACCTCTGCTTCTGGCCCTCCGTCCGGGACCGAAGCCAAAGCCCCTGCTGTAAGCATCCTTATCATGGTCTTGAGTTGCATGCACTCAGGCTCACATTGTGTCATCGTTCTAGGCGACTGTCAACCCTTCAGCGGAGGATGACCGTGCGTTGATTGATCGCCTGCCCGAGGCCCTCCGCAAGTCTTTCGGTACGATTCCTCCACTGCTTTGGAGTGTAGAGTTGTTCGCCGACTGACTTTGAACTGGCGTGACAACAGAGGCGAAATGGGAGGCACCCGCCCTTCGCAAGCACCTGCTCGAAAAGCTGTCAACTGCTCAACTGTTTCTTTCCCAAAAGAATGCAATCTCTGTTGTCCAAACAGAGCTCTCCGCGTTCGCGTCAGTCGTTCCCGAAGCGATTTCCGACACGGAGCAACGGCGCAGGACTGGTGGACCAGAACTGTATCCAAAACTACCGAACCGCTTGATCGCGGAGACGGTCTTGGACTGGATCAGGCTGTGGTCCAAGAACCAAGGTACGAACTGACGTGCAATAATTGTGTGTGTGTGTGTGTGTGTGTGTGTGTGTGTGCCGGTTTCGACGAGAGCTTGGCTGTCTCCTATTCTGCCCAGTCGCAATGGTATGTATGTGTGTGTGTGTGTGTGTGTGTGTGTGTGTGTGTGTGTGTGTGTTTTGTTTCTCATCTCCTCGCCAAACCTTCTGTCCTCATTCGATGTCTCCTCTTTAGCAACTCACAAGTTCATGCGTAAGCAAGCGATAACGAGTGCGAGCTATTTTGAAATGGTCACAAAAATCTGACTTCCAACTCTTTAATCGTGTTTTCTGCCAGCTTTCATGACGGTCGAGGAACTCGAAGGCAAACTGGCCCAATTTTCTGCTCGCGAACCTTCCCCCGCTGTAAGGTCGTTTGTCGCGTTGACGTACGAGGCACGTCTGAGAACTCTTCTTATTCGTTTGACTTGATTTGGTGATGCAGCAAGAGATGGCCAACAAGGCCGTTTCACTCGATTGCGATGATGAAGCCTGGGCGGCGGTAGGCAATCAGACGCCTTGATTTGCTCATATGTCGGTGTGTGCTCACTTCATTTTCATTCTCGTGGCTCGAGAACAGCACAAACAAGCAGCAATCCGCGAGTCTATTCCAGCCCATCCGATGCTGCAAGAGCGTGTCGAGCAGCTGTCAGCGGTCAAAGCGCGTTTGACAGAGCATTTCAAGTCACTCACAACTCAGCCAGCTGACCGAAAAGAACGACAGTTCATGGTCGTTGCAACTATTCCTGGAGCGGGAAAGACTCGGTTGGCAACTCACTGCGCCGTCGAAGCGTTTCCAGACGTCCTGCGGGATATCGTGCGAACCAACCCGAACAAGAGGTCGACGCTTTGCCCCATCGTGCTTTCCATCACTTTCAACTCTTCCACTCCTTTCGACAACGACAAGGAGGAAAACTTCGAGCCGGAAACCGCTGTCGCCATCCGCTTGCTTTACGCGTATTTCGAAGCGCGCGATTTCGACGAGTTCCGCAACACGATCGGCAACAGGGGTTCTGTGCGAGTGTCGGATGCGAGTGACTTGATTCTGAAGGACGCTCGCCAGCGACATCCTTTAACCCATCCGCGTGTCTTCGTTCTGATCGACTCGTTCAGCAAGTTACTCACATTCGACCTCGATGATCTGCGTGCAATGTTTCCTGAGCGAGTCAAGAAGATCGAGGCGAAGCCGAGGTCCGACTCGAAGGAAGATTGTTTGCAACGCACGTTCCTGTACTACGCAGTCAACCCGCTTGTTATGCGCTCCGTGAACTCGACGATTTCAAGTTCCTTGCAACTCATGCTTTTTGGAAGCTATCCCGGGGTCCTCAATAAGTTGTTCCGCGTCCTGGGCGACCAAGATCCGAGCCCACGCGGTGGAGCAATTGATGGTGTGATGTCCATCGATGTTCCGGCGCTGTCGTTTGGCGGTGTCTCTGCGCTCTTGGACGACTTTCTCGTTCAGCCGCGCCTGGCGGATCGTGGTGAGGGGTGGCGGGTCGTCCCTTCGCTTCGTGGACATCTATTCGTTCTTGAAGGGATTCCTCGTGCAGTGCAGAAGTACGCGTGGACTGTGCGAGAGCACTTGTCTCAACGCCTATCGGTGTCCACGACTGAGTCGCTCGATAGCGCTTGCAGCCGCGTGCAACATCACTGTTGGCAGCTTTGGTCCTGATCTGCATGTGGCCGAGGCTGCGCTCGCCCGTTCCATTTGTGGGACCCGCGTTGAGCCCGACACGCGTTTGACAAACACCTTTACTGTCGCAGCCGCTGTTAGCGCCGGATGCTGTCACCTGGACAACGGCGTGCTCAAGGTCCCGCTGTACCTGTTTGCGGCGCGCCTCCAGGCTGATTTGAAGGCCTATCCACTGTCTTCTCTTGCACATCAACTGTATCTTACTCTGACTGAACCCGGCCACGAGTGGGAAAAGTTTGAGGTTGTGGTCGTCATTTTACTGCAAATGCGACGGATTGCCGACTCGATTGAAACCTCAAATTCTGGCATTACTGTCCCTGGAGAGCCTAACTGGGCATCTGGCCTGCATCTGAACCAGATCACTCAGTCCGAGTTTCAGTCGAGCGCCGATGAGGCCAGATACCCACGCACTTTCAATGATGTCGCGAAGGCACACAGTCGGATTTGTGGGATGAAAGGCCCGGACGGCACCGACGGTTTGCTGATGTCCTCGCTTGATCCGGCCCCTGCGGTTGCACAAGAAGCCCGAAGCTGCATTGCTGGCCTTGCCGGTGCTCCCATTGCTGAAGCAGACCAGCAAGCACGCTCACGCCCTCTTGTCGAGTTCATCCAAACGAAGCATTCATTGCAAGACACGACAGTGTCCAACACTACCATTGAAGGTTTGTACGGAAAGCTCGCTAGGATGGCCACTGATCAGCCATTCTTCTCGAGGTCGGCTCCTGTGCTTGGTATTGTGACGGCAGCGCGCCTTGGTCGCACGATGAACAAGTATGCAATCCCAAACTACTGCTGGCTCGCGACCCGTGAAGATCTCCCCGCTCTCTTTGGTGGCTTCAGCGACCTCGTTCAAGGTACATGGGGCATCTTTTGTTGTGCATGTTCTTGCTGTCGATTCTGTGGCTGACTGTCGTTGTGTTGATTTGCATGTTACAGCCATTTTGTCACCGAACATCATTTTTTTTGTATTACGTTTATTGGAGAGTGGAAAAAGCTTCTAAGGCTCAAAAACCACAAAGAGGAGGATCATGATCAGGGGCAAGGAGTAAGTGACAAGGGCAACGTGTTTAACTTATTCTTGCGGTTGCAAGTTTGGTGTTAGCGTCCTGGTCATACGGGCGCCGCTTGGTGACTCGGTTTGCTCATGCTCACCGGGTTTTCGGGGGTAGAAGTGAAATGGTGGTCTTCTCTTCTGACCTGACAATGCACTTTCCCCACATCTTCGACGTGGGAGAGTCAGCAGGCGGGGCTCGCGGCACAATGTCCTGCAGGGCGCGGGAGTGGACGAGTTTGATGAAGGTGGTGTGGCTGGGTGTGAATGTGTTGTTGATTTTTGCTTCGCAGCGGGTGCGCCAGATTGCCCAGCGTCCGAGGTGGTACAGGATCGTGGCAAGCGCTCGCATTTCCTTTTTTCGCGCAAGCGTGGTGGGGAAGGGACCGAACAGGAGGGCTTTGTCGAACCATTGGGAGGGAACTTGAGTGAGCGTGCTGAAAGATGGCGTTCGCGGTTTCCCAAACCGCTTGGGCTGTGTGGCAGCGGACAAGGATGTGGTGCCAGGTTTCTTTGGCCGAGCGGCCGTCGTGTTTGCAGTGCGCGCAGTCGTAGCGCCCGGTGGCAATTCTGTCGTCGTACTCTTCGCGGGAGAGCGAGCCGGCGCGCAGCGCTTGACCATCTGTTTCGAGCCAGTCGGCGCCCAGTCGGTTGGTGCGGTGTGCAATGCGCCAGAGCAGGGAGGCTTGCTTGGATGTGACTAGACTGGTTCTGATGGAGTTGGCCAGTGATTCGAAGGGCACGTAGCCAACTTTGTTGATCCACCATTGGAGGGCGTCTGGTCTCGAGGGACGTGGAGTGAGCAGCTGCCTTAGCGTTTTCAGTTTGAGCTTGTGCGATGTGACTTGCAGGGGCTTCTGGACGCTTGAGTGAACACCGTTGAGGACGATGTTGCTCCAGATGAGGGGCATGAGTTGAGTGCGGCCAACATGGTACAGTTGCTTTCGTGGGAGGAAAATCTTTCCCCGCTTGTTTGGTTCAGGCTTGGTGTTGGGAGCTCGCCAGTAGACGACGGTGGCGTGTTGCGCGGTTGCCAGGCGGAACTTGGTGAGGACTAGGCCTGGCTGGGCAGGCGCGATCAGGGCGTTCTCCGACTCGTAGAACACTTGGCCGGCTCCGAGTGAGCTGCTTGTGAGCGGGCTGCCCGTGCGGAGTTTGACAACTCTGAAGAGTTTGGGATTGGCGTCGTCGTCGTCGGCTGGTTGGGCCCAGCACCACGGTAGGTCTTGCACTGACGGGATTGTGGCGCTATCCTGCTCTACGAGCGACGAGAGCTGGCTCCGGTCGAGTGCCTCGTGGAGCTTGTTGTAGTATTTTGCGTTGGTGAAGCTTTGGACGAGCGAGAGCGGGGACCACTCTTCTCTAGCTGGGTTACCGATGAAGCGGCGCAGGTCGCGGACGCGCATGTATCCGTTGAGGATCCAGCTCGGCCACCAGAGCGGCTTGCCGTCGTCCTGGATGTCCGGTGAGTCCCAGAGCGGGTGAGCGAGCGCCTCGTCGCGGCAGGCAGGGGTTTGGAGCTCTGGCCTGAGCTCGTGCCATGCCTCAAAGGCTTTGTGCCAGAATGCAGAGATGCCAATAAAGTCTGACGAGGCCTTGATCACCAGCCTGAGCACGTTGAGTGGGCATGCTGGCTTGTCTGCCGCACGCCAGAGGCGGACAGCAATGTGCTTCCATGGGGCAGCATACGGCTGACACCATGCCAGGGCGGCTTGGGCGAGGAGGGCTTTGAGGTGACGCCGAACGGGGATGAGTCCGAGTCCGCATGCCACGGATTTGATTGGTGCTGCGACGTTGGCCTGGTGAGTTCGCGGCCATTTGCTTGGGTGCCAGAGGAACTTGTCGATGATGCGGGTGAGTTTTGCTGTCTGCTCGGACGAGAGGGGCACAAACCTCGCTCGGTACCAGACTTTGGACAGCGCGATGGTGTTGGCGATGAGCACACGGCCTGGGAGTGACGGCCCGTGGACGAGCCATCTCGACAACTGGCCGTGCAGCTTGTCGAGTAGGTCGCCAAAGTTTGCGACGGTCAGGTCACCGTGGCCGAGCATGACACCGAGGTAGCGCGTCGTAGAGTTTGGTCCAACCCACTCGAGGCCTTCCAGGTCAGGGGGAGGCTTGCGCGTTGCAGTTGGTCCGAGCGGGATGATGGTGGTCTTTGGTGCATTGATTTCCAGATTTGTGGCCGTCCCCACAAACTTGAGCTCGTTCAGCAGGTTTGGGACGTCTGCTGGTGAGGCGAGAAAGTAGGACGAGTCGTCTGCGAAGAGGGTGGGGAGAATGACAAGATCGTCTGGCCGGTCCTCATTCGCTCGGCCACGCTTGCGATCGGCTTTGAGATTGCTGCTGGGGATCCGCAACAACTTGAGCTTTGTGCCGTAGGTGATGTAGTCTACGATGGCGCAGGCGTAGAACGCGAAGAGTGTCGGCGAGTCGCAGCCTCCCTGGCGCACCGACCTTTGGATTGGAAAGTGATCCGAGACCCGGCCTTGGTACACCATCGCGGAGCGGCCATTGGTGTTGTAGAGTTTGATCATGTTGATGTAGCCTGGCCCGACTCCGTACGCTCTGAGTGCAGCATACAGGAAGTCGTGTGAGACCTTGTCGAACGCCTTGGACGCGTCTGTCATGGCAATCACTCCAGGGGTTTTGATGGTGTTGCACAGATCAATCACATCTCGGGTGAGATGGACGCAGCCATCGATGGTCCGAGAGGTGACAAAACCGTTTTGGTTGAGTGGTATGATGTCGTTGACCACCAGCTGCAGCCGAGCGATCACTGCTTTGGTCAGGAGTTTGAAGTCGCAGTTCAGCAGCGAGATTGGTCGGTAGTTGCCAAGGTCAGAGCGCGGGCCTTTCTTGTACAGCAGCTTGACGAAGCCGTCCTGCATGTATTCCGGAAGGCGACCATTTTCGAGCGAGCGGTTGGCGATGGCGGCGAGGATTGGGGCCAGCTCGTGCTTGAACTTCTTGTAAAACGCAGTGCCCAGCCCGTCGGGCCCTGGGGACTTGCCAGATGCAGTTTTGTTGATGGCGTGGACGATCTCCCATGCCTCCAGCGGTCTGCTCATCAACTCGTGGTCCTCGTCGTCGAGCATCTCGTTGGGCTTTGCATGGCTGAGGATGTGCCGGGCAGCTGCTGGGTCAATGGGTACGTGCGCATAGAGCTTAGCGTAGAAGTCACGCTGGGCGTCCGTGATGCCGGCCGCATCGGTGACTTCTTTGCCGTCGACGAGGAGCATTGGGATGTGCGTCGCCTTTTGGGACTGCTTTTCGAGCGAGAAGTAGAAGGAGGTGGGGTGTTCGCCCTCGGTGCGCCACTTTTTGGCCGAGCGGACTCGTGCTCCTTGCGCGCGATGCTCGAGCTCAGCTTTGACACGGGCTTCCTGCTCCGCTCGTTCGGCTGCAAGCAGTTTTGCCTCTGCGGGGGGATGTTGCTGCGAGGAGGTTGCCTTCGATGATTTTGAGCTTGCGGCTCGCTTGGGCCAGAGCCTTCGCCCGGTCTTTCGCAATGGAGCCGCACAGGCACTGAGCTAGCCATGCTACGTCGGCCTTGAAAGCAGTCCAGTGGTTCTCGGGGTCGGGGCGGCGCGCCAGCTCTGCTATCTCGTTGAGGACCATGCCGCAGAAGCCAGCGTGTTCGAGAATGGTGTCGTTCAGCTTGAAGGGTGGCGTGCATCTGTCTTCCGCGGACGGCGCCACTAGGTTTACACAGACGCCTCGATGGTCCGAGTGCTGGTAAATCCTGGTCGCAGTCGACTTGATCGTGAGCGGGAGGTTGGATGACAGGAGCATGAGGTCGATGCGGGAGGCTCGGTGTGTCTGGTTCTTGCTCGGCCATCGTGTGTATTCGACAGGGTCATCGGCGCGGTGGTTGAGCAGCCAGGCATCCTCGAGTGCGTGCTTGTTGATGAAGTCCTTGAGAGCGTGGTTTGCCTGTGTGGTGCTCCTAGGCTCTTGGCTTGGCTCTGGTTGGACGTACAGGGGGCTGATGTTTGGTGTGTTG